GCCGGGACTGACCATCTTGAAAACGAGGGGTAGAAGCTTGAAGTCTTGAGGTTCGTGTCTGCAACCGTGGCACAGAAGATTAGGTTTGCTGTGATATAACTAACTGTACAGTTCTAAACCACGCATCTGGAACGTGCCGAAGACACCAGATTTGGAAGTATCTTCTCACATGATATTTCTTCTGTGATTGACGCAAGAAATTGTTCAAGCGGTTGATACTTACGGTCCTAGATCGCAACCAAAACTTTCGAGCGATGACTTCAACGCTCACTCGCGACCAAGTCGCATCTGCTCAGCTGCAGGGTGACTTTGCTATAAAATCTGAGAGTTCTCAGCCCAAACTCGACACATCGGAATGGCCTCTCCTGCTCAAAAATTATGACAAGCTTCTCGTTCGCTCCAGTCATTTTACACCCATACCGTCTGGAAGCAGTCCGTTGAAACGAGACCTTGTCTCATACATCAAGTGAGTATACCACATGAATTTTGCGCTCAAATCTGAGATCTTTAAAGGTCAGGTGTGATCAATCTTGACAAACCTTCTAACCCTTCGTCACATGAAGTCGTGGCCTGGTTGAGGCGCATTCTACGTGTTGAGAAAACTGGACATAGCGGTACGCTTGACCCTAAGGTCACAGGGTGCTTGATTGTCTGCATTGACCGTGCTACGCGATTGGTCAAGTCCCAGCAAGGCGCAGGTTAGTACACCTCGATGCTCAGCTGAAACCCCCTTCACCGATGCTGTTTAGGCAAGGAATATGTATGCGTGCTGCGCTTGCACTCTACTCTACCGGATCCCACCGCCCTTCCTCGGGCATTACAGACACTCAGCGGTGCGCTCTTCCAGAGGCCACCACTGATCTCTGCTGTGAAACGACAGTTGCGTATTCGAACGATCTACGAGTCGAAGTTATTAGAGTTCGATGAAAAGCGTAATCTCGCCGTATTTTGGGTGTCTTGTGAGGCTGGTACATATATTCGAACGCTTTGTGTCCACCTTGGTCTTTTGCTAGGCGTGGGCGGACACATGCAAGAGCTTAGGAGGGTAAGGAGTGGTGCGATGTCAGAAAACGATGACATTGTGACCATGCATGATGTTCTGGATGCTCAGTGGACGTATGATAACACCCGAGATGGCAAGTTCCTGCACCTGTTATCAAGGAATATTCTAATATTCACATTCTATGCAGAATCGTACTTGCGCCGCGTTATCCGGCCTCTGGAGAGCTTGCTCGTGGGATATAAGCGTATCGTTGTGAAAGATAGCGCGGTCAATGCAGTCTGCTACGGCGCGAAGCTCATGATTCCTGGGCTCTTGCGCTACGAAGCTGACATTGCAATTAACGAGGAAGTGGTCCTGATGACGACAAAAGGTGTGGTAATTTTGTCACTTATTTAAGTACCCCTCTAATATCTTCGGCCAGGCGAAGCTATTGCTCTGGCTATTGCACAAATGTCGACAGTCGAGCTTGCTACTTGTGATCATGGAGTTGTTGCAAAAGTGAAACGATGTATCATGGAACGTGACACCTACCCACGTCGCTGGGGTCTTGGACCCATGGCCCTTCAAAAAAAGAAAATGGTCAAAGAGGGGAAGCTGGGCAAGCATGGTGAGAAGATTGACGGTGTAACGCCTACGGAATGGAGCAAGGACTACGTGGACTATAATCGAGAGGTGTGCAATATTCCTTCAAGATAGCTCGAGAGTCCTGATTGTTTCTTCTTATTTAGCAATCTGGCCCTTCTACGATTACCCCTGCACCTGCCCGAGAAGTGGAGGTAATCGCAGAGCCTGTTGCTGAGGCCGTTTCCCCAAGGAAAGAGGAGAAGGAGAAGAAAAGGAAACGAAAGTCGGAGGCGGCGGAAATTGTTGCAGATGTGTCGATGGTGGAAGCTCCTGCCGCGGAGGACGATGCTGATAAAGCAGAGCGGAAGAAGCGGAAGAAGGAAAAGAAGGAAAAGAAGGAAGAGGATGCAGGAGAGGATGATGAGGCTCGACGGGAGAGAAAACGGCTCAGAAAGGAGAAAAAGGCTAGGGAGTCGATGGCAGCAGCTGCAGACGACTCGGAGTAGTCATTTGGATGAGATGTGCTTTCATATGTTATTTTTCTTGTATTATCTGGTCGTCCAACATGGATTGTCACTCACATGCAGCTGAGCTTGGGAGCCTCGGGTATGTGATAAACGACAAACGATTTTAATTGGCTAACTACGTTACTGTGATAAACGATAAACGATTTTCATTGGCTAAACTATTTCAGAAACGGGTTTGTAACATAATTGTCAAATTATATTTTATAGAATTGATATCCAGAAAAACTCCGAGGCAGACTCGAGGGGTGTTGGGTGTTGTTGCAGTGCGCACAGCTCCCGAAGCAGTACTTGATGTGCTAAAAATATGTGCACGTCATCTGCTCAGTGCTGATCCCAGAGTCGAGCAAACGTGCAATCTGCACACAAGTGCTTGTTGAATTACCGCCAAATCCACGAGGGTTCATCACACCCAAGCACTCGGCGGCGCCGGCCACGACAAAGTCCAGGGTGCACGACGCCGAAAGATTTCGAGTTTCTGACAGGCCACAGCTACTACGGTTGAAAAGACTTCGCCGTTGGAACCAGGCACTAAGTTGTAGACTCTTGGCGCATACCTTTAGAAGGCCTATCACACAAGAGCGGCAGACGGCCTCGTTTTTCCTGGCCTGTGGTGATAACAGGCTGTGAACTTGTGTTGCCGTAAACGCGGTAGTACGGGACAGTTGTGAGACCAAGCAGGACGTGCCTGAGCAGATGCCCTTGAGGCCAATTTGATGCCTTTTGATGCCTGTTCTGCGAATGACTGGAAGAAGCGCCTGCAAGGCTGTGTCTCTTGATGGCCCCTGTCACTGGCAGCCGGTAGCTGATCTATACTAATAGCTACTATTACCGATACGCGGCCCATTTCAGCATTACCCGGATGGTGGGTGCTCAAGTTACACTCTGATACACTGCCCGTTACCAGCACTGTTTCTGTGCCTCCCAGGCCATCATTCCTCGTCACACCGCAGATGCGACCGCATACATAGGGTCGGTGTTCAGTTTTCAAAACAATCCCAAACCACAGCTATAAAGTGACAAGTTTTCTGTCTAGGTTTTACAAAATATCTGACTCACTAGATTCAGTTTCTCATCAACATGGTCGCAGCGCCTGTACAAAAAGCAAAAGTGGCAAAGCCTCTTCCTCGGTTTGAAGTCGGTGAGTGCCTAATGGCTCGTCGTCTTGTAGATGCCTTGCGCTAAGTCAGGTTTCAAGGCCCCGACTACGATATTTTGCACTGTCTGGGTGAAGGAGCATATGGAACAGTGGTAGCTGCATCACATAAACCCACTGGTCGACAGGTAGCCATTAAGAAGATCCTGCCTTTTGACCACACGCTGTTCTGCCTTCGAACATTGCGAGAGTTGAAGCTCCTGAAATTCTTTTCGGAGACCTGTGTCAATGAGAATGTTCGTCAGTTCTCCGTTCGTCATTCGGGGACATGTCATCGAGTGATAATTCTAGATCATCTCTATATTGGATATAACGAAGCCACCGTCACTCGAAGAATTCAAGGAAGTGTACTGTGAGTTCATTCAATTCATCTACCCGGTCCAGCTGAATCCCAGAAAGTCATCCAGGAATTCATGCAGACAGATCTACACCGTGTCATACGGACGCAACATCTTACTGATGATCATTGCCAGGTGAATTCTGGTAACTCATCTAAAGCCTAATGCGATCTGAAACTTGCTGTCCAGTACTTTATTTATCAGATTCTCCGTGGCCTAAAATCTATACATAGCGCCGATATCGTCCACCGAGATTTGAAACCGGCGAACCTGTTGCTCAATGCTAACTGTGACCTTAAAGTCTGCGACTTTGGCCTGGCGAGGAGCGTCAAAGCAACGACTCCGGGCGCCAAAGAGGCTGGGTTGATGACTGAATATGTAGCAACGCGATGGTATCGCGCACCTGAGATTATGCTTTCTTTCAAGATGTACACGAAGGTCAGTCTCCCGCGATCCTCTGATGGTTGCATGGCTCATTACGTGTGGTTGTAAAGGCTATTGATTTATGGGCGGTTGGATGTATCCTTGCCGAAATGTTGACCGGAAAACCCCTGTTTCCCGGGCGCGACTACGGACATCAGCTGAATCTCATCCTGGATATAATTGGTGTGTACTTTTTTTGTTTTTGGAGTGTATAGCAATATCAATATGAACGATTCCACCAAGGCACGCCAACCTTGGACGAATTCTACTCGATCACTTCGAGGAGATCAAGGGATTATATCCGAGCTCTTCCAATCCGCAAGCGAAGGTCGTTTACATCGCTTTTCCCAAAAGCAACGCCCGAAGCCATCGATTTCCTACAGAGAACTTTGGTATGTCGACTCCTTCCTTTGAAATAATCGAGCGATGGTATACCTCTTTTCAGACTTTCGATCCCAAGAAGCGCTTGACGGTTGATGAAGCTCTTGACCATCCATATCTTGCTGCATACGTAAGTTCGAATATATCTCTTTCCTCCGTCACACTTACCTTAGGCAAACAGCATGACCCAGAGGATGAACCAGTTGTAGCATCCCTTGATCCAGACTACTTTGACTTCGACCGTGAGTTTCTTTTAAATGTTTCCGGTGCGCTCACTTAGTCGGGTTTCGTTCTTAGAATTCAAAGACGATCTCACTAAAGCAGAATTGAAAGGTACGTGACTCTAGTTTTCCCAATAGCTGATGTCTTAACTTATCCACAGAACTTTTGTACGATGAAATCATGTCCTTCATTCCGGCGCTCTAAACTATTATATCTATCTTTCGACTCTTCGCAACTCTACGGATCTCCAGGCTATGTGTTATTAACCCAGACTCATCAGCATCATAATATCATGGGATTCATCACACTGGCTTATCTATCTTCGTCGCACTGGTTTACGACGTTATCACTATATACTTGTAGGCTCATTCACACGACTTGTCAAATAGAATGGAAAGTAAAGCAAAGTAACAATACAGGATGATGCAAAAATACATCTGATCTACTGACACAGCTGTGTGCGTAGGAATGATAATCAAGTATATTAGAGTGATGTAGATATGTAGTCGAAACCGACGGTGAAAGAAAAAAATAAACATCCGAAACAATTCACAATCAGCGCCTACCTCCAGCCCAAAAGCCAGACGCTACACCCTCGACTCCAAAATCACCAAACCGAGTATCACTATCTAATTCAGTCCCGTACATGGTACGGCGTGCGGGAGGTACTGGAGTGCCTTCTTCCGTCGCCGCCGTGCGCAGTACAGTCAGTCCCAAGCCCGAAGCCACCTCATTGCTCGACGGCTGTCTCTGCATAGTACCGGCCCTCATCGAGGGATTTACGCCACTTTCTTGTCCACCTGTCGGCCCCCCTGATCCACTCCTGGCGGTCGTTCCAGAACTACCGCGGTGATGTCCAAAAATCCCGAAGTGCTCTGATTGACGACTGCGTGGTCGATCCACGTTATTTGCTGGTGATGGGGATGTAGGGGGTTCAGGATGTGGGAATGTTCCCATTGCCGTGGGGAAAGTAAAGCGAGCTGGAGTGGATGTGGTTATATAACCAAAACGGAAAGTATCTGGAGGCGCTCCCACAGCGGTGGGTGCGTTCATCAACGGAGGTGAAGGTAGTGCGAAGAAATCAAGGAGGCTTGCTGTGGGCGGAGGCGAATCTTGGCAACCAGGATCACCAAACTTCGGGACCACAATTCCAACAGAGGGTTGTGATGGGCCAGCATCGGTGTCTTGACTTCCCTGTGCACCTAACGACGGACCCGAGCGTTCATCTGCAACCTCCGTAATGTCGGAGAGGCCTAATTTAGCACGCTTCTGAGCGGGCCGAGCAATTCTCTTCACAATCTCAGCTTCAGAAAGCTCTTCCTCTTGTCCAAGCTCAAAAAACGCAGTAGCGGTACTGGTATTAGAATCTCGAGGGCGCTTCCCAAGAGTGGTGTGAAAGCCAGGAAGAAGCGACCCCGCCTGGTTCGGGTTATCTGTATCTCCCCCTTGGTGACCGAGTAAGCCATTGGGATTTGGAGAATCGCTAGAGGTTACAGATGGCTCTGGTTGCTCCACATAAACATCGCTGGAATACGGTGAGTTGAGCATGGAGCATGACAAATGACGAACAATCCTCACCCAAGAGAACCGACTGGACTTCGTACGCGTTTAGGGGTTGATGGAGGATTTGGTATTCGTTGGGAAATCTCTTTATGTCTCTGAATTTCAGCAGTATGTCCAGGCGGTTGTGCCCGTAGGCGTTCAATCTCCACCGTGAGGCCCCGAATTTGTGTTTCGAATGTCTCGATGATGCTCGACACTTTGTCTCTTAGCTCAGACAGCTGAGCTTTCTGATCCTCCAGCTCCTTATGTACCGGAGCAAGCTGTGATGTCCGCGAGTAAGACAGAGATTAGACACCGTACATGTATGGAACTTACAGCTGCAGCCACAGCGTTCTCGACTATCTGTGAGGACGAAGACCCTGTCATGCCTGCAGTATGCGTCTGCAGCGGTATGGAGTGTGGTTGGGGCACTAACGAAGTGCCGCTCGGTCCTTCTTGTTCTGATGCTATGGGGAGAGTGAGTGAGACTCGACGGCCTTAATTCACTTATTGACGGACTGACATGCTACGGCCGGTGTTGGCTCTGGCTCTGGTTCTGGCTCTGCATATGCTGAGAACACTGATGGACGTATCGATGAAGGTTAACGCTCACCTTCAGCGATGGTGTCTTCTGATGGCTTGACATTTTTTATGCTTTTCGTCCTCTTGCTCCCTCTCGAGACACCGACAGATTTAGTTACAGCACGGGCACCGCTACCTCCGGCAATGATTGGTCGACCAACACCCAGACGATATTGGGTATCTTTGGCTTTGCGCGTCCTCGGGGCGGGATCAACAGGGGCCGGCGGGGGTTTGTGTTCCTCCGGCTGCTGTTCAATTTCTATGTCTTCGATAGCTTCTTCTTCTTCGTCTGTATCATGAATAATTACAGATCCACTAGAGCGTCCACGAGGTCTAGCACCGGGTTGATTTGCTATTCTGACAGATGTAGATCGCGGAAGAGGTTGCGGAAGAGTTCTTCGGGGAGGTTGGGGTCTATGTTTTTGATTTAATTAATGGATCGACAGTAATACTGAAGCTGGCTCACTGTGATGCATGGAGCAAAAGTTCTATAAGAGCTTCTGTCTTGAGGTTTGCCTTTACGCCGTATTCCTGGTGAAGGAGATTTAGTACCGGGTATAGCGAGAGCGATTTGTCTGACTTTGCACAACTTCTGAATATCGACTCGTTTCATTGCCTGCAGGACCTCACGGCCTGGCACGGAGATCATTGAGAGATGAGGTTGGATGGAGTTGAGATGAGATGGGAGTGAGACAATTGAGTTGGTTGTTGGTTGCTGGTGCGCGCGTGGTTCAAGTATGGAACCTACACAATAACCGATGCCACAATAACGCGAGCCCAACCACAGTCACGTGCTTGTCTCATAATCAGGTTCGTGATAAAAATGTTAATCCACAAGGATCGGACTCGGAGTAACTTGACTTCGCGATGTTTATAGCATGCTATCTGTTCTTTCTGGTCTACTAACATGTTCACATTAACTTCCTCAAGGCACACCTCATGTTGCTGCACTAGGTCACGTACAGTCTTGCTCGCGGCCAGTCGGCCCGGCATCGACCCATGCGTTTAAATATCGCAATCCTACTATACTAATCTGGGCTTTACGGTCTCTCCACATTTCCGTCACGAACGATGCCGGAGTTCACTCTTGAACAAGTCGCCCAGCATAAGACTACCAGGTGTGTTCCATACTACGTTTCATAGAGGGTGGTCATCCTTACATTTTCAGCTCCTGCTGGGTCATCATCCAAAACAAAGTTTACGATGTGACTGACTTCCTCTTCGTGGGTTTCGTCCATTTTTTCCTCGTGCATTACTAAGACTCATCAGGATCATCCCGGAGGGGGGAATGTCATCCTCAGATACGCAGGACAGGATGCTACTGCTGCATATGTACCTATCCACCCATCAGACGCTTTGGACAAGAACATTCCTCCGGAAAAGCACCTCGGTACTTTAGACAGCCAGTCAATAAATCGCCTAAAGGAAGTTGGGAAGAACAAGGTTCAAACTAGAGATGAGTTACGTGTTCAAGAGGCGCTCAAGAACAAGCCACCACTTCAGAGAATCGTCAATGTCGAGGACATGGAAGTAAGTTACTCAAGCACACCACCGTGCCGCATTTTCATCATTGCAATCTGCAGGAGGTTGCGAAGAAAATTTTGCCGTACAAGGCCATGGCTTACTATTCTTCAGCCGGGGACGACTCTATCAGTAAGCATGTGACTTTCTCTAGTTCACTCGCACTTTCACACTTGTCAACCATACAGCGCACGTAGAGAACGGTCGCGCCTTTGGCCGCTTCTTTTTCCACCCTCGGGTTATGAAACCTGTTTCCGGAAGCGATACCTCAACGACCATACTTGGTTATAAAAGCACGATACCCGTTTACATCAGCGGTGCAGCATTAGCCACATTAGGCCACCCATTAGGCGAGGCCAATCTTACGCGCGGTGCCTATAAGACTGGCATTATACAAATGGTGTCCACCAACTCTTCTCTATCTTACGCACAGATTTCCGCTGCGCGTCTTTCCCCAGATCAGCCTATCTTCTTCCAATTATACAAACACGTCAACGATGCAACCGCTGAGAAACGCATCAGAGAAGTTGAAGGATTAGGCTACAAAGCAATTTTCTTGACAGTCGATGCTCTGGTTCCTGGTAATCGCGAGCTGGACATCAGGGCACCGCATTATCTCGAGGACTTTGAGAATCAAGGTCTGCCCACTCAGAGAAAGGCGGACGAGGACCAAGGTGAGACTGACCGACTTGGTACCGCTGGTGGACTCGTCATAAAGAACGATGCTGACATGACGTGGGAAAAGGTGAGTTACAGTATATTTCACGAGGGGCCAGGGAGTGAGTTTCTTCTGTAGACGATACCATGGATACGAAGCATCACGAAGTTACCCATCGTTATCAAAGGTTTGTGCACTCACGCCGTCGTTTGTCACTCTGTCTCATCCCTGTTCAGGCATCCAATGTGTTCAGGTTAGTAGATATGGCTCCTCGTATATCCCAGACGTTGACAATGGCTACCAGGATGCTGTTCTGGCTTGTGACGCTGGTTGTGAAGGTATTGTGCTATCGAACCACGGAGGTGTGCCGCATTTATTCGCCGCTGCGAATTACTGAAGCTAACGCTATAAACAAGGCCGTCAATTAGAGTACTCTCTGCCACCAATCGAGTTGTTGTACAAGATACGACAACAACGCCCTGACGTGTTTGAGAGGACTGAAGGTTAGTTCCCCGATTATTTGAGCGACACTTCGCCTGAATGCACATATTTAATAGTGTACATCGACGGAGCAATCCGCCGTGGAACTGATGTCGTTAAAGCACTGTGTATGGGTGCAAGAGCTGTCGGTTTGGGACGTGCGTTCCTTTACGCCCAAAGTGTAAGTCATTTTTGTTCAGTCGCGTGTGAATAAAAGCCTAACCGGTGTATGTAAAGGCATACGGTGAGGCTGGTGTGGTTCATATGGTGCGTATCCTTGAACGCGAAATCCGCTTTGGGATGCAGTCGCTCGGCGTCCGAAATGTCAGGGAACTTGTACCGCAGATGGTAAGTACCACCAATTGTGCACTTGCTTATGTCTGCTAAGCGACTTTTCTTGCAGGTCGAGCGTGTCGACTGGCAGGCAGTTTCCCGTGCGAAGCTGTAGATGACTGCAGTGCTCCTACAACATCCTGTCGTGTGATATATCTATTGTGTTAGTACTTATACCTTGTATAAATATGGAGTCCCTGTCATCTGGACATGCACTTACCCGACGAAAATTGGTCGATGCACTAGGTAATACCGCCAACAAGAGCCGTCACTCACGATTGAGGATGGAAGTTCTGAGGTGAATTTAATCATCCAGAGCCGCTGAGCGGATCACTCACTGCTAGCACGGTCGTCCTGGTTCACGATGGAGGATGACAATCTATGACTTACATTTGTTCATGCTACTCGATGGTGCATACAACGATGCTGCGCCAAACTATTGAACCGATAGTCTGGCTCCCCCGCACACCTTTAGAAGGAGGTTTTTGTTTCAAATTTCGACCGAAGAGGAAGGTGACTAGTCATGTGACCGCGACGTTAATGTTCAACTTGCCACACGCTGTGCGCGTTTTCGGCTCTCTTTACACAAATACTTTGTCTTTCACTGGCGTTTGTCCCGATCTTACCAGCATTAATATCACTGAAGCAATTTTCGTAGGTCGACAGGTAAAGGATGGGCTTCTGTCGGAGATGCGGGAATATTGTCATAGGAGAACGGTGCCAATGTGGTGGCACAGCAGTTGGTTTGTCCCATTTTCATGCGTCAGAGAATGCTCAAATCAAACGAGGTATCAGCCCCCGTAGTACAATGGGCAAATTCCAAAGAGCCCGCTGAAGACAAATGGTCTCAGACTTATGTCTCTCGTGAGAGGTCTCCGAGTCGACCTCCCAGCCGCGCACAACCACTCAACTCCGACTCCACCTTCTCGACTGCCAGCAGAAGTGTTACTCCAAATGCCTCATCTTCGCCCCTGAAACGTCTACCTCGAAAGAACTCTGTAATTGACACATCTTCTCCTTTCGGAAACCGCACCTCTTTACACTTTGGATCAAGTACATCGCGACCTGCCTCACCACTGAAGCACTCAGTGTCGTTAAGTAACATCCATCACGAAACCCCTCCATCACCAACAACTATCTCTGCTGCTGCAGGAATCCTTCCTTCCCCATACGCACCTGAACTCTCCAAAGCATATGGGTCAGTCCTTCAGCCCAAAGAATCCCTTGCGTCCTACTGCTGCGCTATCTGCTCCGCTGAATTCCCACCAGATGCAACCATATACCCAGACCCTTCGGCTCCTGCAATGGATACAGACCGATTCCTGTGTCGACAGTGCTTCGTCAAGAACGGCGGATCCAAAGGCGACTGCCCTTCGTGTGATCGCCCAGTGCTCATCGTGAAGAGTGAGGGCGGTTTCGTAGAAACTTCAGGACGTGTTTGGCACAAGAGATGTTTTCGTTGTGACGGGTGTCACAAAAACATTGGCGACACTCCCATGGTCGATCTACTAGGTCGACCATCCTGCGCAGACTGCTTCGAAAGTTGCTTGAGGAGGGATAACACGCCTAGCAAACCTCACAAATCTCCTGGAATAGAGCGAATAGAGCGAAGCCACTTGAGCAGCTTTCGCGGAGACTCGACGAGCAGGCAAGGAAGCCCTGCAATCGACGAACTAGAACAGCGACTTGGAATTATGAAGAGTAGAGAAGGTAGCCCTGTGATGGAAGAGCTCACGGCACGCTTAAATGCAGTCCTCAATCGCACACCTTCCAAAGATGCCTCTCCGACACCAAGTGCCTCAACGTCGCGTTATGCCAATGAAACTTGTTGGGGAGAAAGTCCGATTCCTGGTCGCATTCCAGAGAGGAAGCTGCCCCAAACATTCTCTCCGATGGGGTCACTTGCCTCTGCTCTCAACGGCGTCGATGTCAGCAACAGCTCGCCACGAACTGATTTTTGGCAAAGCAGAAGTCCGGATGCTGGTGAACGCAGGACGACACCTAGCAGAACCGTTCGCGAACGGTTTGGGACTCCAGAGACAAACTCCAGTCCCTCGTCAGGGCGACCCTCTGCTGAAGCAATTGAAGAGATGAAGCAGCGATTTTTGCCACAATCACCTTCGTCGCCTGGCACACGAACAAATTCGACCGTCGCGTGTTCGTCATCTTCGCCTTCATTCTACAACAATTCTCCTGTCGCAAAATCCCTGGAGGGATCGCGAATTCCGCTCTCGAGACGTTCTCGCGGTTCTCCAGCGCTTCGCAGTGTAGCTAGCACTTCAAGCCTGTCGTCTCCGCGCCTTTCCTGGGCTCCATCTACACCGGAATTGATGTCCGATATGTCAGACGTTACGACAGAATCTTCGTCTCCGCCTCCATCTTCTCCCCTGCCCTTTAGTCCACCGGCGCGCCATGTCAATATCTTTGGCAGTGGTAGCACACTTTACTCGCCTGACGAACCCAGCGACTCTGTTGAGTCAGAACATGACACTCGGGGGATTAATTCAACGCCGACACCAAAGTCAGCCAAAAACGCACTCAGACGATTCTCTATCCCTGCTACTATCCTATCACCCGACTCGCTGTGCGCGAAGTGTGGGGGTTCTCTTTCGACAAGCAGAGCTGCAGGCCAGTTTGTCACCGTCCCTGAAGCTAATGCCGCAGGGCCACCGAAATCTTATCACCCCGAGTGTTTCAGATGCGTGATGTGTGATGGCCCCTTTAAGGTGTCTGGGATCGGCCAAGCAGTCTTTGCCAGAGGGGAAGGTGGGGCTTGTCATGTGGAAGTCAGTCTGATGGTTTTAATCATTCACCTGAGCTATCGACTCACTAATTGCAGTGCGCGCCTCCTGAAAGGGCTCAGGTCAGATCTACTGCTGTTTCAGGTTCAATCGCATCACCATTCCCTTTGTTGCCGTCGCCCCCTTCGCCGTCAGAATCACGCAGGGGTATCGATCGGCCGACGGCATCAAGTGCCGCGAGGACCGTCACTCGAGCCTCAACGGCAGCCAACACCAGTCTCTACTCATCATCTCGTCTGGAAAGAACATCACAATCTGGAACTTCAGTATCGACAACGTCCCCTCGTTTCGGCAGCTCGACGACGTGCCCGGCATGTTCCAAATCCGTCTCTCCGATGGAGATGGGCGTAGTGCCTGGTCCCCAAGGTTCCAGATGGCATGCGTCCTGTCTTGTGTGTGGGGGTAAGGGGGTGAACAAAGGACGACGTGACAAATCACAACCTGGTTGCGGCAAGAAGCTGGACTCTGCTGCAAAACGAGACAGTGAAGGGGGTGTCTGGTGCAGGGAATGCCTCGTACGTCTGCGCGATGCTGATCTTTATATATTCTAATATATTCATAACATCATCGACAACCAGCTTCTGCTACCTGCGAATCTGAGAAGCCCTCAAGCAGAATCGCACACCAAACCACTTGTACAATCACTGACGGGCCGCAGCGTAGGCGGCGGCTCCTCTGCTTCTAGAGCTGTTCAGCCTCAGTTCACGGGTACTACGACAATCGCACGTCAATTTACTGGGCTACGTGGCGGTGACGCAGCGGTTGCGAGACAATTGACCGGCGGTGGGTTAAGTCCAACGAAACAGTTGGGTACTGCCACGCCTCGCCCCAGACCAAAGAGCGTGATTGGTATGAGAAGTGGACAGAGCGTGGATGAGGGTCGGGGGATGTTCTTGGTCCGGCAAATGACTAGTGGAGGAAGTTCATTTGGTGTATAAACCTGTTTAGGGCTGGACTCGAAGGACAATTTTTCTTGGAATTTATGGAATGTAATTGTGATAACGCCCACGTAAATAAGTACAGAGCGAGTGCATGTAAAGTCGGATAGGTGCTCGAAAAATACAACCCGGAACAAGTGACAACAAACCAACAGCGCGTACCTGATACCAATGAAGATCGAGCGCATATGTATCTGAACCCAGCGAGAAAAAATTATGAAACTGAGAGCACTGAAGTCATGACTTGATTTCCACAGGCCTGTGAATTCTCACGGCACTTGAGTGGTGCGTGTACCATTGCGTACACTATGTACAGCCCAGCCACCTGTGCTTGCCGCAGCCGTACAAGGCCCATGGGTACCTGGACTCAAAACGCAGTGATTGCAGCCACGTCAGGAGATACCTCGCACGATTCAGATGACTTTGCGCGCGATCACCAAAGGTAGAGCCAAAAACGGTCCAGTCACGAGCCCCGGGGTTCTTCCGTTGGGCTTCATGTTACTCCCAACAATGTTCAAAAATGTATCCTCCTCCGCACATGTCACTCGTGGGGTACTAAGACCCGTCCGCCGTCAGGACTAGTGTAGCGGTGCTCAAACAAATGATGCAACTTGCACCACAGCACTGGCAGATCAACGGGATTTGGCTGCGCAGCCTAGTCACGCAACTGCTGTGCTATGAAGACTGATTTTATAAAATACGAGTTAGAACGTGCTGGTAAGTCGTACGCTTTTTTTTTCTTGGAGGTACATATGGATTTTGCTTCCTATCATCATTTCCACGGAAAAGAACGTGCGTAGGCACACGATGTCTGCCCGTTCCTTTTTCCGCGTTGCTATGGACCTCAGTTAATATTGGAGGAAGCAATTTTATCTCTTTCCCCCTTGTCAGTTTCTGGTTTCAGCAAAAGGACATGTACTCTCCGAGTCTCTCTCTTGTTCTTGAAGCACTGGAGGTTCCTTGCATTACTTCAGGATGCATCAGTGTCGATAACATATCTAGGATGCCCGACGAGCCCGCAGAGTTATTTGAGTTGTCCTTAGATACTCTTTTACCGTAGAAAAATTGATGCATTCTGATCGGTCGCACTCTGGAGTGCGAGAGGATATGATACGAGTTGGTTAGACACTACCGCGAGCGGCGATCTCGGTCTTCTTGCCAGGTCAAGAGTACTAGTACCTCAATATTCAAAGTTTGGGGAGCCGACCGGATATCGATCATAATTTCCTGATTAGCCTTTTTGGAACGTTACTGCCATCTCGTCCCAGATTGTCTTTGCAAACCTTGTTAACCAGGTTACAACATGTTACACACGGCTGCGTTCCATCTGTTCACCATCCGTTCGTTGCTATTGTCCATGTCGCCCGTCGTCAAGCAAATCAATCCTTTGCCTCAGGGGATTTGCGACCCATCGGAGCGAGAAAATAGACTGTCTATCATTACTCTTGCTTTTTCATTTCCCTCATGTCCTTGGAAGACGTTCAGTCCTCCTCCTAAGCAACATCCCTTGAGCTGTTGGGCTGGAGCCGCCATTTTGGATGCTTGATAGCATCAGTCTTTGCCCAGCTTTCCTTCTACACTGCCAGTTGGTTTTCACACCAGATCACTGCATCGCTTCTTCATTTTCTTTCTCATCTAATTCCAGCCCGTCTAGTTCACTAGTATCAGCTGCGCAGAGGCTTGCCTCTACCCCTCCTTTGCAAAGGCACGCACGCCATTCCATTCTTTTAAGGTCAAATCCGCTTCCATGTCCAATGTATCTTCGACATGTACATTGGGATATAGCTTCATCTCTTCTGCAGCATCGAGCAACAATAACTGCGATGTGAGTCCAATGACCTATAAGTTATTCCCAAAGCTGATAAACACTTGAAGATCGAACTCATATTATCTGACATTCCCTTCATATCGGTCGGGATGTTAACTTTTGGAGCATCTGCATTCTTTCTCGTTATTAGACAGTTCACGCTGTGAGTAGCCGCTGTATTTTATTGACCGTCCAGAACTCACGTTTAATAAAGATCCGTTGCCTCCTTGTATTTTTCGGTGTTGCTCTCTTTTGCAGCTGCTGTCATCGACCTAACACAAACCCTTATCCGTGACTTGACCCAGGTCACCGTACAACCATTAATCACCACAAGGGAGGTTTTGCTTGCTCTGTCCCTTGGCCTACGCTTTCTCTTTTATTGGCTGTACGTCTCGGAACCCCCTATTGGAGAACCCCGGCCCTTTTCATTCCAGGATCGATGTCGAACCAACTTTCTTTCACTCGGCTCTCAGGACAGCATCCACAGCGGTAATTGGGCTCGGTGGGGTGTTACAGGATCCTATGCAAAGTTTGCTTTGTTGGCTGCCATCCCTGCTATCACCGCTTTGCAAATCCTTTGGCGCGTAATTCAACGATACCACAATTATGGCCCGGTGTATGCAGCAAATGTTACACTCGAGGTCCTAGTCTCCGTATTGCTTCTTCTCAAAATGCTATTAAACACATTACCAACCTTGTCGATTCCCCGATCGCACACTTTCGGGGAATATGGGTTTCCCATTGTGGCCCTAATGTTCAATATTGGCATTTCCATCGGAGACTTGATTCGCTGTAGGTTCAATGCTCAGACATGCGTTACTTGACTGATTTGTTTGGCAGTCGCATTCACAGAATCAATCCTTGGCCGGCTTCTTCAAGGAGTAGAACTTTACATCTTGATCGTCTTTATGATGATTCTCCACTTTTTCCGTCACAAAAAGATCCTAGTCATCTCCAAAACCAGGGATTCGTTACTGTTGAAAGCCAAGTTGCCAGAGCAGCCCCGTGAATCGACATTCAGGCTGTCCCCACCGGTGGTACTTACACCCAGAGTAACAGCCCGTTTCAGTTCCGAAAACCAAGGCAGGAGTACAAACACTGATGTCGCCCGTCATTCTGTCCGTGCCAGCGTAAGCCGCGCGCCCTGGGCTTCTTGGCGCATGTCCCACAGCCAGTCGAACCAAGATGAGGAGAAAGCCAAATTATGGGACCAGAGCGAAGCTGGAAAGGGGGCTCTCGATCCGCCTGACATGGGTCAAACCAGTGCCAGAGACCAGAGCATGACTTCCGCTGCTTCTGTCGCAGGCAGGATATCCACAGAATGGAGAGACATCGTGAATGATTCTGTTCCCAGTTCTTCGAGGCTATCCATGCTCGATGTTCACTCGGCAACCACAGGGTCTCGGAACGGGTCTATGAGCAGTGGACAAATCTTGCATGCAATCCGTACAGAAATACCCGCCCGCCCCCTCCCTCTGAAGTTGCAGACGATGTCTCTTATTACTATTCCGGCTACTGAAACATCCTCCAATGAAAACGGAGGTGCCGTTATCATGACTGCCCCTCCAGACCCACCAGCTCGTGATTCGCCTATATATGCGATCAAGGGCTTTACTCCTCAACCTCCACAACCTCCACGAGTTTCCAGCAGGCATTCATCCAGCAGATCGCTCGAAGAACTGCTAGAACTGCAGAATGAGCTAGATAAAACAATTGCAACGCTGCGATTATTTTCTCCGACTTCTCCAATTTCCTTCTCCCCAACCTCTACTACTCCAAGCTCCCCTTCATCATCGAGAAGGGATTCAAACCAAACTGAACAAATGCGTCAGTCATCCTCCACCGGCGCGCGGACACTGTCCGATTTCTCTTTGAGCAATTTCCCCTCCCCACCATGGTTGGCTGCACGGGTTCCTTCTCTTCCTTCACCCTTACCGGCTGTTAAATTACGACTGAAGGAAGATCGTCGGGCCCGTCTTCGGTTAGGTCAGGACTCGATTTCCGATACTCTTGGGCTTCCGCCGCCAAGAATTCCAGCAGCTTTAACAGATATGCCTAGCTCTCCTCGTTCTGACCTCACATCAGACTCCCCCTATCAAGAAGACGGGTTGTTGCCTGCGGACGCGGGGCGATCATATAGGTTCAACTCCGGCGGAACGCAGTACGAAATTACATCTTTCATAGGCGGTAAGTCTTGATTCTTGGATTTTCTGAGTGATTTCTAAACTATTTGTCCCAGATTTAACAACTCCTCGCAGCAACAGGAACGTGACAATAGACAGGCCTTTGGATGATTCTGGAGAGAATTCGCTCAATCTTGACGTTGCTGAAAGCCACGGATCTCGGGAAGCTTCTTCTTCCCATTTGCCCATGTCGTCTTTCCCTCAATCGACTTTGGGAGTGACGGGGCTGTTGGGGGTGCCACCATCCTCTACAAGACGCAGGCGATCGCAACCCTCAATGTTGACGAGGCTATCACCTATTCCCAAATCTGAGGGGGAAGCTTTGGATTTAGACCTAGACTCGGTCGTGCCTTCGACACAACGGAGGATGCGACCTCTGATACTTCCGTCCATGACTATCACTTCCCCTCCTCATGTCCAGCCGTTAAACATCAGTTCTGGTATGCGACCGTCAAGAGGCCTTCCACAGAGACCACAGCCAGCACCGGATTTTAGTGTTCCAAGGCCACTACTCGAAGATGTACATCCACCTCCTGGAGCATTTGCACGACCAAGACCGGCACCGTTAATTTTCCGTTCAGATGAAGAGTATTTCTCGAGAGGTTCAAGATAATGATAGTCGTATTTATTTTTAACGTTATGTTGACTTCCGCTGGTCGAAGAAGTTGACAGCTACAAGTCCTATTCGTTCTGGTAAATATGTCGTCAGATGCGTTATATTCAACTTCGTTAGCAATGTGTTTTTACATAGTTTGTGGACGGTCATGATGATTATGATAATATTCTCAGTTCACCGTACAGAGTAGTGTACAGTAGTACCCTTTGTAAACTATCTTCATGGGTCTTTTTCCCCATGAGGCACAAACGCACCGATCCAACCCCATGCCCGTTTCTCCGTCTAATCTGAAAATAGCGCGGCGCGGTTTGTTGTACTCCATCAGGCTGTAAGGGGAAATGTACAGAACACGGGCAATATCCGTTCCATGACAGAATACTGTCAAACGTTGTCCCTGCATTTTGTATGTAATATTTGCACATGGTCTGATAGGGTCTGGGCCCCAAGACGACAAACGGGATTTTTAAAAGAGAAGAAAAAAAAACAGTGGGATGACAACGCAAACAACAGACTGCGGACTCGGAAGCATGCGCTCGTGATGTGCAAAATGATTGTTGTCTAGTGATAGGGGCCAGATAGCGGCGAAAGATAGCTGGCTCGCGGGAAGGTTTGTGTACGAAACATAGTTTGAATGTATTGGTATATACTAGCCTCATGGGTATGGTTGTTGCACCAGGAACGAGGAATTCCACCAGAAAACTACCCGGCTGTTATATCTCGCTGAAATGTTGCTAGTTCGGCGAAAGGGTTCAATGACAGGACCGAAGCAAATGCATTCTGATCAAAAGGAAAGGGGAGGTGCATACGTAACCTTTCAGGGTTATGCTGGGCCGGGATCGTCGACATCTTAATGATCATCGAGATCATCGAGAGCAGTGCAGTCCTGTGAAGTCAGGTGTTCATTTTTCAACGGAAATTGTTGTGGAAATATCACGGGGGTTGCATATTTGAGCGTAGATTAGTGATCGATAAAGGGGCATAAAGTTGGCGAAATGTTAGCGATGAGAAACATGTCAAGCAAAATGTATACCATGTCATCGGCAGCGGAGAAAGAGATGAGCAAATGTGATCTGCAAAATTGACTCAGCATCAAATACGAGATAACTCAGCGAAAGTTGGACTCTACCCGATCAGTGAATAGGCTTCTGCTATAGTGCTAGCGTGCTAGGTTGCATGTTTTCTGCACCGCAATCAATGGAAGCTGTCATGAGATGACATAACAACTCGCAGATAGCGAGTAGCAACCCAAGCAACAGGCAACAGGCAATAAAACAGATCACCAAAGTCATGACATAGAAGCAAGTCGTGAAAGGACCACAACTTTTCGATTCGAAATCTCCACGGAACCATGGCCAGTTCCTAGATGGGCACTCTATTGGCTTCAGATGAACGCTCATTGATGGTTGCAGATACACTTTGACGATTGATCGTTTGCAGATCGTAGATAGTGCCGATCTGCGAAAGAAAGGTAGACGGCGTCACAAACTTATTAGTCCCCGTAGGTGTTTGGGCGCACATCTGCCGCGATCCAGAAGACCCGAGACACGGCATCATAAGAGCACAAGGTCTTTGGCCGCAGGGGCCGAGAGTGCGCCGCCCTTCCGAGATGAGGCAAAGCTACTTACTCATGAGGCTCTTGGTACGCGAGTCGCGATATCTGCGATGGGAGATTTCCAAGCAGCGAAAAAAATTAAATAGCACTTCTCGTGGAGTTTGGGGATAGATCTACCGTTGTCGTATCCTACCCTGACAGGAGTATTCAAGTTAATACGGGCTTTGTAGAAGGGTATGGAATCTAAATTTGCACCCACCGGCCCCAAACAGAGTTTTCCAGGATTCCCTCTTTTTTTTTGAATATTATGACTCCTTCCACCGTATTGATAATGCTACCGCGTATGCCCTCAATAAAAATGGGTTTGGAAGATGAATGGTTTAGTCCCCTAGATTCGGAGATGAAAAAAATCACGGCAGCTGACCTTCCTCCCTCATTTTTCGCTTTTGCTGGTAGAGCCCCGCCGCCTGACGAAGGAATTCGCCTCATCGATGTTCGCGTCGTTATCACCAGTAGTGCGGGTGAGGAGACCACACTTGAACTATACCGTGTCGATGTCTGCATTCCTACTACCAAGACCAACGGCGACGATTAAAGAGCAGACTAGGGGTCATGGCAGGCTTAGTAGTCACTGTTTATGTGAGGTTGAAATGAGATATAGAGACCATAAGGTGGGTAAGAATCCCTACACAGGTGATAGCGATCAGCATGACCGGAGCACGTCGTAGATCGCGCAATACAGCACTGTTAAAAAATCCACATGTTAATAGTATCTTGCCAAGTCATCATTGTTATCCCACAGCCTCTTGCCAACTGTGACCGAAATGAATAGACTCGGGTCGATGATGTAAGTGGCACGACCCTTGGAGCATCCTTGGAGCACGCTCATTCTCCATACCCCGTAACTTCCAATTCTATTTCCTCGACATTCTTGATACTCCCCATGTCGAGCTTTCCCGATTATTATGCGCTGCTCAACGTACCAAAGACGGCCACCACCGAGGTGATCAGACAGGCTTATAAAAGGGAGTCACTCAGGTGCTTTGACAGTCATACTACCACTTGCACTTATTTCGACTCACCTACTTAGCTTTGCAGGACTCATCCTGATAGATTCGCCAATGCCACTGACGATCAGAGAAAGGTGGCGACAGAAAAATTCCAAGTTCGTGCAACGTGCCAACTTCTGGAAAACACGTTAACCAACCTACTATGCAGGCAGTAGCCGATGCCTACTATGTTTTGTCGGACCCAGTACGACGGAAAGAATATGATGGACTATATTCCTCGAAGGGCGCCGGGGATAAAAGCAGTGACCCGAAGGCGTCCTCGAGTTTCTTCATGAATTTTGCCAGCATGTTTGGCGGTGCAGGCGCAGCACCAGCTCAAGGGCCGAGACCCGATGCTGAGAATGTATTTGCAGACGTATTCGATGAGGTTCAGCTCCCACTTTCTCAGCCCTGTATATTATTCAATGTTTTGTAGTTGCTCCGTCCAGAGGTCGAACGTCACGCGCCATGGTGGTCATACCTCGGCGCCGTTTGTGGTGGTGGTCGGTAATCCATCGTCTTATAGAGTTCTCTCAATGAACACATTTTATCCAACAGGAATGGGGTTCATAATCGCTAATCTCCCGGGTCTCATGATAGGCGCATATGCAGGTAACCGTGTCGGTGCGATACGCGATGCCAAAGGTAAGAGTGTTGCTGCCGTATTCTCTGGACTTGGAGGTAGCCAGAAGGCGGAGGTGAGAATCCAATTCGTCGACTCCATTAACATTATGTGCCGTCTGACGAGGTCTAACCAGATATTGCGCGCTTTGGCTGCGAAGGTGCTAGGTGCCACTATGTGATGAATATGTTATCCGTCGTACCTACGTTCTGTTCTATTATTATGCTCAGGGATCCATAGCGTATCATTTTTACCCAAGCTGTCAGCATAATTATAGTACTTGGCGTTGAACGTTGAACGTTGAACGCAGAAATTTCTACTTCACATCATTTGTTACACCAGCGCTCAGCCTTTGTTCAGTTGTGCATAAACTCAACGTTGCAACCACTTGGTACCCGTCAGAAGTGCTTGAAGCTCACCGTCACAGGGCACAGCGGTTTCGCACGATCGCAAAACCTGTACAAAGTTAAACTTATCGCGCTACATACTTGCACCCAACAATTTGTCGATTATCCCAAAACTTATCAGCATACATTTACCGTGTTCAGCTTGTGTTCGTCGGTGAGTTGACTCAGGAGATCACAACCCTCGTGCTCATCATGGGTGCCATTCACTGCGTGACAACCATAAATGGTACAGGATCAACTTGCCAGGAGCGATTCAGGACATGCCATCTGTCATCACTTTGCAACGGACTTGCATCTGAACTATGGCTAACAAGAGGAGTACGTGGTACCTGTTCATGAAATTCTCCTCGTCGCACGAATGGACGAACTTTTAGGACGCTTGGTATTCGAAGACATCAATGAAATCGATGGCACCGACCACACAACCAATTCTCGTGTTATCGTTTGTGCACGTGAGTTCGTACCTGGTGCACATTTGACACCTTTGCTGAGAAATAGCACCATCTCAAAAGCATCCACCGGATCGTCAAAATCTAAGAACAGAGACGCAGTGGCAACCTCCGGACAAACAGATGTTCCAGATGACCAAACTACTACATCAAGTCCACCTCAGAAAAAAATGAAGCACAAGTCTGCAACTCGGCGTGGTTCGAGCGCTGAGCTGAGTACTCTCGTGAAACAGACCGCCGTTAGCAGTGTGCCGACTCGAATGTCAGCACGACTGGCAACGAAAATTCATGCTTCCATCCTTTCAAAAAGTCGAGACATCTATCCACACTCAGCTTCGAAGGATTCCCTGGACTCGGCCGAGTCATTTCGAGAGGAGCACGGTGTCACAGGGAGCTCGATACCTTCAGCACCTACTCTCAAGAAGAAGAGGGGCAAACCTCCACGTAACATAAGTCTTGCAGATGAGGGTGCGAAGGCTGCGCTCATGGAACAGTGGGCAAATTTCCGCATGTCTCAAGGAACACTGCTGTCAAGTACGGATAGGGACACAACGCTGCACCTATCGAGCAACCGTGGAAGCCAAGAACCCCGCAAAGAAGCGGAGATCCCGTCTGGTGAAGTGATTGAACCTGATAAATCACACCCCACTCCAGCCAACGACTATATAGAATCTACTTATCCTCGGCCTTTCGGCTCCCCGTCTGACCTCGTGGCTGAGCCACTCCCAGAAATGCCTGCTACCAATGAGCCGTTATTCACTCCTCCGCAGGCTGAGGCTGAGGGATTAGCCACATATAACACATCGGCAGAACGTTTACCGCTTTCAGATTACGACTTGAGGTATCCAAGCTCGTCCCCGGAGAATAGACATCCAGCGATTGAGGATATGGCTCCCTCGCAGTATGTTGATGAGGGGACAAAGGAGATAATAGCCCAGGCTTCACATTTCCCCGCCAACGGTTCGCCAGAGGCCGGGGACCAGCCCCTCCAGCTACTTGCTACCGACAGTGATATCATGTTATTGCATCCCCCCGGTAGTCCTATAATGTCAAAGCTTGATATCCTCCCCGAGACCACGATTTCGGCGGGCCCTGCTGCCCCTGCCGAGCCTGAAGATTCTTCAACCAGAGCTTCTCTTTCTGCCGTTGATGTGCATCCCCCCGGTAGTCCTATAATGTCAAAGCTTGATATCCTCCCCGAGACTACGATTTCGGCGGGCCCTGCTGCCCCTGCCGAACCTGAAGATTCTTCAGCTTCTCTTTCTACCGTTGATATTCAGCTCGTTGTTTCATCTCAAGCTGATATTGATGATGTCGTTTTGGGTTTTCACATGCTGGACCTGCACGAGGTGCTTTCGCCATGGGTGCCAATATCTCCCACAGCGCCATCTGTCTACGTCCCTCCTGCTGTGCAGCACTTAATCACCGGTACTTGCACCAGTTGCATTGCGTTGACTGAACTAACCGTTCCTGTCAACTAGCCATGAATCGTCAACTGGAGATTGAATGCCAGGCTCGAAGACGAGCTGAAGAGCTTTATCTAGAGGAAATGCGTAAGCGCATTAAGATGGAAGAAGTGGTTGATAAGTTACAGAAGGAAAGAGAATAGACACGGGAGCAAGGAGCATCTCAGCAACCTCCCTCATTGGATGCTGTACCGCGTGCGGCTTCGGCACATGCAAGCCCAGAAGTTGCTTGTCAGCAGGACAGTGAAGCTAAACCAACACCCACTGATATCACTCGTCTGAATGTGACGATGGAGGACTTTTGTGCTTGATGCTTCAAACGTCTCGTCATCCACTTGCTTTCGATCTCTTTGTCGCAATCTATACAAACTCAACTCAACTCAGTGCAACGTTTCTGGACGATTTTCATCTGGATCTCAAGTTTTCATTAGTGCTATCGCCTCAGTTGCTTCGAATCTGCATATCATTTATCTCCAAATAACAGTTCAGATACATGATTGATAAAATACAGTTTCGTCGATCATCCAAAAAAAAAGGGAAGCATTCTACAGAACAATTCAATGGCAAAGAAATCTGCAAAACCGTGACTACGGTATCAGAGTGTGTGCATAAAGAAAAAATATTGCTGTTAAAAAGAGAGATAGGAATTTTGGATCTTGTTCCAGTCCAGACGGAGGTTGCACTATCCTATGGAAATGAGGGCATAAACAATGACTTTTGAAAGATAAGATCCGGATAATTGCAGTTGTGAGGGGTGATGCGTCATCTAGTGCCAGAGCTCACCCGCTTGGGAGTCTATCATGATAGAAGGGATATCAAGATCATGAAGGACGTCATAGTCGCCCAGACCTGCTGCACCGTTGGCTATTGCCAAACTAAGAGCCGCAATGGCCTTTTCAGTCCGGGAGGCAGAAGAGGTCAGAGATACATCTTCCTGGCTGGAAGCCAAGGATGCAGCGTTGGGATAAGACGATGGAAAAATGGAGTTTTGGTTTGTGGTGCCGGAACGCGGCGCCTCAAAGGAACAAGCTGGTGAGCTGAATGAAGGACCAGATAGAGCTGGACTAAATGCCATGGTATAAGCAGAATATTTATATGCTGGAGATGATGATGTTGAATGCAATGCGTGGGGGGGAAATGCGGTGTTACAGGAGCGGCAGGAAAGATCATCTGCGTCGTCATTGGAGAACGAAGAACGGGTGGATGCTTGATCCACATATTCTGTGAATGGACTGGCCTGCGTCTCATCATTGCCCATGTCCATGGACCCAAGACTCGAGGCTCGCTTTTGACGCGAGACAGGAGGACCGCAGAGTTCTCCCGAGTATATTTGGACATCATCTTCGTCGCTCTCAGAGCTGCTAGACCTTCTGACAGATCTGGTAACGGGGACGCTGGGGGAATGCCGCATCTTGGCTCTTCGTCTGTCAACGGTTCTAGCGCGGTTGTATATACCCGATTTTAAACGGGAATGCTCAAAATCACGCATCCGCTTTACAAGGCCTTCCCCGCTTACGGCAATACTCCTCCGGAGTTCCCAGAATGCATCCGACCTGAGGCGAGTAGCGTCGGCCTCGGAAATGTCAGAATGTGAGTCCCGAATGCCGGAAGGGTTCGTGGACTTCGTTCTTGACTTTTTGGATGCGGTTTCTTTATGACTTGAGCGACTAGGGAACAGGAGAAAGTCTTCTGGAGTAGCAGCGAATAGTGGGGTGTGGGGAGCAGAAGAACTGAGTCCGGAGCTTTGGCTATCCGTCGATACCGGAGTGGAGGACCCAGTGGTATATGTCACAGAAGGGGGCTGAAGATACACATGATAATTAGTGACTCTAGGATAGGCAGCAGCGATGTCATCGGCACGAACGGATATGTCTCTGCGGAGTCTCTTGCCCGTCCGCCAAAAGTCGAAATTGCGTGCTTGGGAGGGTGCGGAGTCTGGAAGGGCGGGGCTATTGCACGATGAACGAGCTCGTTTGCTTGCTGGACGCCATAGAGTTTTTGGAACGGGCGAGGGTGAGGGCGAAGAAGCTGAGTGGGATCGTCGATGATAATTGAATGTTGACGGGGACTCCGACATGGACTTTGAACGTATAAAAGATTGAGACGTCTTCGTCGACGCTGGCGGCTATGAGAAACGGAAGGTGGTGGTAGTGGTGGTGGTAGAATGGAAAGAGACTCCTTGACGTTCCGTGTCGCTTCAGGCTCATTGAATGACATATCACTGGCAGCTTATATAACGGATTATGTCTGCAGACCCCTCAGTGAGGTTAGCCAACGTTGAACACTATTCGAATACAAACATCGCCGTCTTACGTGCGGGCACCATCCTTCTCAATTCAAATGATATGTACTTTGTGCATACGGTTAGATACGAACCGTGGCGTTACAGCTCCTGACAGCTGACTTGAATACACGTTAGCGCCAATCCAGTGGTATGGAACAAGTTCTCCCTCGGCTCAGCATGCTGCCGATTCCAACCAATGGAATGAAATATTATGCAACAACCATGTAAGTGTATCCAGATGCAGTCTTCCAAGAAGTTGTTTCGCTTCACCGAAATGCCAGAATTTGAAATACCCCACCCTCAAAGGTGCCTCGTGTTGCACGAGACTTCACTTACGATCACCAGGTACAATAACACTTCTTCGCGCGAATAGTGTGGGCATCTGCGAAGGCGTACATTCGTTACCATATGCGTTTGATGTATGTGAGTGGATTAGGCCGCTTTGTTCATATCAAAATGACGTAGCGGTCATGCAGGCCCTTCAGGTGCCAATCGCAGAATATTCGCTGACCCGTTAAGCCTGGCCAGGAAGCCCCTGTCCAGCGTTGCAACAATGACGATCCGTATTGACGCCTATTTTCATTACAGCCTTATTCTCGGCTCGGCTCACCTGGCGGTGTACACATCTGTTTCTGCAAGGCGCTTCAGGTGCCTTGAGAGTGCTACTTGATGGCACCCAAAGAACTCTAACTCACTAATGCTGCAGTGTTAGAAACTATTCCCTGATACAATTTGAATGACTGACTACGAGGTACACAGACAAGCTGGAATAGACCGTTGATGCGACATGGTATTATATCAATCGCTGTTGTAGCCTGAACCTATGTTGGTATATGACATAGCTTCAGAAGGACAAGGTGAAATCTCACTTGACGCAGCTCCCCTGAGTCTGACGTTCGCGTAATCTATCTTTGTCGCTTAGCTTCGCTACTACGTTTGGTCCAAGACCCTACCTGGTTCATTAAATCTGCCGCAGGCTTCAAAATGATCTTCTTCAGCCATGATGAGTAGCCTTCCGAGTCGGGACAATCATCTGAACTTTGAATCCGTTGCAATGCTGATCGGAGATGCGATGTCCACGGAGAAGACTGCATCACCATCGCTAGGGGTCACAATTATCGATGAGGGATTCCAGGGCAGTATTCCGAGATACGTGCGCACCAGTATGTTCGTCTGCATTCCTCAGCAGCTGTGAGAGAGCATCGCATATTGTCGGATTGACAACAAGAGCAAGGGGGCTTTCGTCTCCCAAATAATCTTGCGAACCAATCATCAGGAGAACATTTCGTAGGAAGTCCCAGGCCTCTACTTGGGTAAGTGGCTCTGGCAGTCTGCGGGATAAGATTATATGCAAAGCAAATGAAGCTACAGCAGACGTGAGAACTTTGCGAATCTATCTCAATTCGACGCTTACAAGCCAGGGCTAAATCAGGAGTGGCGTTGTCTATAGCGACTTGCCAGATGCTTTCGGCATCGGATAGCAAAGGAGCATCACAAACCCTGATTACAGGCTGTCCACGCTGGAATGCTGTCAAACACGAGAGGAAACTCGTGGACAAACTCGGCAGACGCTCTTCTGCGGATTCACGATGCAAATATTCCATCGTGGCCTCGAGGAACTCGATTATTAACTTCTGGTTTGAGATCTGGACATTTGAAAAGCACTCGATAGTCAAAAAGTCGAGAAATTGTTTCGCTCTGCGAATATGATTCTTGTCAGGCCTATCCTCGAGTAGCTGCCTATGGAAACGTAAGTGAGCCAGAAACGTTTCAGTTGATGGAATGCTTGCATCCGAGTAGTGGACATGCCTGTTGCAGACTTATTATTACTTGAATTTTACAAAGTATAAACCTACTTTTCTCTAACTCATCGTTAAACTTTGATGATTCCTCCTGTATCGCCTGCTTCCAGCCATCCCTCAGGCTTCTAGGCTGCATCCTAGCCATGGCGTGTGTAACGTAGTCGCTAGCTGACGTCACTCACAGGCTTGAGTAACGACTTTAACGCAGAGAAAGTTCGACTTACCATCGTGTCCGTTTTCAACGCACGAAAGATAGACGAAGAGAAGAGTGAGGTATCTGCAGCAATCGCTAGACTTGCGAATGCCTAACAAATCTGAATCGCTCCAATGAACGAAGTACTGACAAGTCTTTAGTAGAACATCCGTTTGAGTTGTGGTAAGATTTCGAGGACGCGGAGCTGAAGAAAGATACGCTAAAAGCCGAGAAAAGTAGGCCTGGAGCCAAAGAAATGAGAGCATTAAACGGCCGGTCTACATACCACTCACAAGATATGCACGGATCATATATTTACCGTGTTCGTCGCCAGTAAAGGTCGCCAGCGTAGATAAAGTAGTTTGAGGATCTGAGTCGAATGCGTGGTGAAGCCACGTAGTCGTCTACTCTAATCAATGAAGGGCCTTCAAATAAGAAGATGGAGTTCTGACCAGAAATATGATGGTCTCCGAGTCAGACCCATTGCATTCCGTGAGTAGTCGCCAGGTCCAAGGTACGAAATGCCTCCATAAAACGAGAACAACCCGCGGGGCATCGAGATCTGGGCAAGCCGATACAGCAGTTTGCGCTGAGAATGTGTTGTCAACAAGCATTACAAAACGTAGCAGTTTTATCACTGTCGCTAGTGTGTATGGTCGAAACGGAACATCTGTTTCTGCATCTTTTGGATTTGTCGCAAGGTCCACGAGCTGTCATGCATTAATTGTCGTCGTTTTGGGCTGAAAATGTGAAATACGAACAGCGAAAAGTGAGAGCAGCATTGCGCAATTCATGCGCTCCTGAAATCCGGATTGGTGTTGCGCGTGTAGTGGAGAGCACTCTGAGAGTTGCACCACGGTGTGCTGCATAAATTCTGCTAGATAGGGAAGCAACAAGACCATACTGTTGATACGATCAGGTCTGGTGACGCCAAAAGAGTCGGGTGAACACTCACCTGTCATTCAGTGGTGCATCGACAACCATTGGAGGAAGAACTAACTGGGGTTGCAATACATATCGCGAGAGCAATAGGCGAAGGGATAAGCGCTTCGCGGCAGGTGAAGCTTTTTCGGATGTCAGTACCGAAGGGACGGAATCCCACCTATCTAAAACAACATCAACGAGACTGACATCCAACAAGATTACTAACTACCTGGGAGCTGAGCCGCAGCCCGTAGATTATCTTCCTCTCTTCGTTTCTTCAAAGCTTCAGGAAGACCATCGTCGAAGTAGCGATCATGCATGGCGCTCGCGACACGTGAAACCACATCGCCGAGCTTTGCAAGGACAGCGTCTACCCAAGATATAATGATTGGAATAACTGCGACTGTTTTTAGCTCTTGGACGGCTAGAGCGTGAAATAGACGCCGGTACTGGAACAGCAGATTTAGGAAGGATGGTCGCACTTGAGAATAAGCACCTCATGAACAGAGGTAAGCAATAATTAAAAATTCACCTACGTATGTGAGCGAGGGATTGCATCATGCGGCGCACATCATGAGCGAAGGTTGGACTCATCGTAAGCACGACATGCAAGAACTCCAGGAGTGTGATCGATGACTCCTGAATGGTTCCATGCAAAGACGCGTCCTGTAAACATTTGAGTGTGTGTTGAGTATGTGGTTAGTATCCGCTGATTTCGAGAGCGATACTACCTTGCGAATAAGACTGAAATCCAAAGACTCTAAGATCTTGACGGCTGAGTTCACGGCGCTGATGGGATCTGAGGAATCGGTTTTGGGCGTGTTCACCAGCTGAGCGATAGTACTAGTAGTGGTGGGGTCCAATGGGCATGAAGGAACGTCAGACTCTGGTTCAGTCTCGCTATCGGACATGGTGGAAGGGCATGAAAGCAAACCGTCGTCGTCGCTCTTGTATTATATTTGCGCTGAGTGACGCAGAATGAAGTTGCATCGAAGTTAGAAGCAACACGGCCATCTTCAATAGCTACCGTGTCCATGCGTTCATCATAAATATCTATAGTACTAGTCCTTTAATGCCCTTCAAAAAAGCAGTAATATCAGACTTGCATTCTAAATGCTCTTCGTTTTGCGAAAACACAGCTTCAAACACTTCGTGTCCTTCAGCAGTCTACACCAAGTAATCAGTATCCAGCTCGCCCTATCAAGAAAGAAAGAATACCTCTCCATCACAAAAGTCTAGGTCTTCCCAGACCTCGTCTTCCTCAGCTCGGATGGCAAGCAGCATTTCACGTCGCACGGCAGATAGACCTCCTTGCAAATTACCCTTGTCATCTGCAGCTTTTCGCGCGGACACTTGAACTTCTTTCACTTCAAGCGGCTTTCTTTCTTTCTTTGATGTAGTCTGTACTGGTGGCGGCTCGTCAGGGTCAGGCGGAGGACCGTCGTCAGAATCGTCATCAGATCCAGCATCGCCTCTCGAACGTCGACTCTTTCGAGACATGATATCCAAGTACGTCAGCGTTGGTCGAAATTGGTGGGTTTCGCTGATAGGTTGCAGGTGTAATTGACCTTCATGCACTAGATGAGACCGACGCCATCGCCTTAGACGAGGACGCATCACAGACCATTGCGAACCACTCCTAACATGTACGCGCCTTCCTGCGGTATCAATTCGCTGCGCATGCGCACTTCCATCAACCGCGGCTCCTCTCCTTCCATCTGCCTCATTTTCCCAACATCCTGATTTTTTTCGCGGTCATCTTCTTGTCGAGCAGCACCAAGTTCCTTGCTCCGTTCGCCATTCCACACCTCTGGGCGCGGATCTACTGGTACATGAATCTCTAATCGCCGCGTGATTGGCTTTATTCGTGCGCGAATTCGTTTTCCACTGAGTGCAGCAGAGGGCGGTGTTTGTAGTGGACGAGAAAGAAGCGGGAATTGATGAATGTGCACGTTTGGGCTGAGACTGTTTGAATAGTGGATAGGCAGCACACTGATGAGCTCGTCGTCGTCCATCGCGAACCTTGAAGCTTTGAAGCTTTGATAAACTAATCGTGGGAGTTTTGATATTACTGATCACTGATCCGGGATGGACAGGGGCTAAACATTCAGCACGAACAGATATCGAGGAAACGGTTTAGACGACAACTCAAAGCAAAGAGCCTCTTTCCCCCTCTTTTGATGTAATAACAGAGATCACCAGGCTCAAGTCCTGACCAAGTCATAGTTTAGCCCCCCCTCATATCACAAGCTCTATTGCAGTGCAAGTAAATTGGATGTGCAGTATCTATATTACAATGGGACTAGCTTGGAATGAATGTTGATCGTCTGAATGAGGACGTGGTGGTAAACTAGGTAAACTATCATCATACCGGTACCCCAAGATGTTTTCCTCCGCGTGTTTAGTATCACTTCTATGACATGATGAAGAATCAGAGGGAAAATAGTCGACTTCGGGGGTGGGCGGATGAGTGGGTAAGGCGGTATTATTTCTGGTATCAACTCTGTGTAGAGAGAACACATTAGTATCTCCTCTTGGGGAATGAGAAGTCGTCATGTATCGGGTGGAGGGATCGCATAAACCTTCAGCAGCGTCATGCCGACGAGTTATTGGACAGTGGCGGGTGCGCACTTGAAATGATCGTCCAAAGGAAGACCGGTTAGCTCTTACCCTCCCGTCGTCGAGCTCTGCGGTAGTGCGGTTTGCACGCACATTACGATGCCAAGTACTAGGCTGCTGTAGTAAGGCTTCGGTTTCGTGCCTGCGGATGACGCGACCAAAACTGTGCATCACAAGATACGAAATCAAGACCCCTGGATTAACATGTTTAAAAATACTGGATATGTTGGTTCACTCGAGCCCACTCACAATCAAAACCCATCCAAGCCACATGGTCGGCTGGGCCCGCGCTGTTAACACCGACTATAGTCATTATGACGGAAGTGACGGTGGAAGCGGTGATAAAGGTAGTGTAGAATAACTGAATAATTACGTGAGGTTGGACAACATAATGAACGGGTAAATATCGCTTACTTCATCTCTCATGACTTCTCTAAACAATTTCACTCGAGGCATATACCGACTTATGCGACTTATGGACGAGACGGCGGGAGAAGAAGACCGCCGAGGAATTGGGAGGGCGTCGTTGTGAATATTTGGTATTGTAGTGGACACGCGGACTGTCGATGTGCGAGTGAGAGGGAATTCTGTAGGCAGCGGGGGTCTAGAGGGCACATTCTCCGCATCACGTACTCTTTCACCTGTACGAAACTTGAAAAGACCGTCTCGGGCGCCCATGAGAATAGTCGGGTCATGGGTGAGAGACTGAGTCCTGCGGGATCTGGGCGAAAGGGGACCAGGATGGTCTACAGTAGAAACATAGTCCCACCAGCCGCGGCGACTGTTTGCGGTCTTGTGACTCTCGATGCTCTCTTTCCGAGTGTCGAGAGGGGGATCAGCGACATCGTCAAGAGAAAGTGATACGGTGATTCTGCCCCGGACAGCGGCAGAGCCATTGGATTTCCAAACAGCATAAAGAACTGTGATGGTGAGTCTCGTTGTGGTAAAGTAATGAATTGGAACTCACAGCAAAGACAAACGAAGAACGATTCGACGAACAAAAGTATTATGAAAGCATATGAGATGGAATCAGATGGTCGATAGCAGCGCCCTGGTGGTTGATTGAGTAAATTTTAGTGAGGATAAAGACAGAAGAAATACGCACCTGCAAGACTGCGATGACTACGGAGTGAGACTAGATCGAGAGCCAGGAGAACAAGTGCGGCACTCCTGAGGGCGGCTAAGACGACTAGAACTAAGCGAGAGTTGTCTAGGCATCGGTAAGCCTTGACGCCTAGAATACCAGTTATCTGTGTAGATATGAGGTATGAAGGGATAGAGAAGTGATTTGTGGAACGCACCAATAAAGAGAGGGATATTCCGCCGCTAGCGACGGTTACGCGTAAGATGCTGATTACATAAGAAAGTCAACGAGGGGATTTTGAAGATTGATTGGAAGAATGACTTACAGTTGACAATCGAAAGCAGGGTGAAATTGGGCGATAAGCAAAGGTAATAGTGCAGGGATTGCGAGAAGTTGACTGAAGAATACGGTGTACAAGAGACTCTTCTTGCGAACTTTACCGGACCATATGAATGCAATTGAGGTGTAGATATTCCTTGCGAATACGGTGAAGAGGCAGGCGATGATGACGAGTGCGAGGTAGGTGGTGCAAAGGTCATCGAAGAAGGGGGGCGCTACGAGGGAACCGTCGTTGAATATATTGTAAACGGGCTGAAAAGCTTGAGTTGGTAAGTCTGAGGGATAAAAATGAGGGAAATCTGCTGCTGCTATTGTGAGGATTGTGTTGAGTTGAATGACAATTTGTGATTGAGGTGATGAGGATGGAGTTGGGGTTATCATTGGCGGTGTCGGTAGGTAATGATGGAGAGGAGGAGGAGAAGGCATGTTAAGTTGACTAGAATGAATACATGAAGTTAATGGTAGAGTCACATCTCAAAAAGTGTAGATTACTTGATGACGGTTCGTCCGCTCAAAATGCAAATGACAGCAGTTAATTATATCCGATCATCGCACAAATATATCTTTCCATAGCTAGCCTATATCCGTAACATCCATGCCGCCCTCTCCAGTTATCATCATCACCGGAACTCCAGGTACTGGAAAATCAACTCATGCTCAACTACTACAGGATGCTTCACCAGTCCCTCTAAAGCACATCAACGTCGGTCAATTGGTCAAAGATAATGGCTTTCATCAAGGCTTTGATGAGCAATGGCAAAGTTACACCGTAGACGAAGACAAGGTCCGCGGACATTCTTCATCCACTTCCCTGTCTCACTGATCCATATCAGTTGTTAGATGAACTCGAACCATTAGTATCCGCTGGTGGAATAATTCTTGATTGGCACACCTGTGACATATTCCCCGAGCGATGGGCAGATCTAGTCGTCGTTCTACGCTGCAATCATACCATGCTATGGGAACGCCTCGAAAAACGGTGCGTACCTCTTATCAGAATCGAAATCAGTGCACATTTGACGCCATTACAGTAACTATCCTCTTAAAAAGATACAAGAAAACAACGAAGCGGAGATAATGGAAGTCGTCCTCCAAGAGGCCCGAGACTCCTACCCCCAACAGATTATTGTTGATCTCAAAAGCGAATCTTCCCAAGATCTCGAAAATAACGTTGCAAACATCGTTGAATGGATAAAACAGTGGTTAAAAGATAACGAAAACAAAGTCGATATTTCATAACTGCATCTCCTTCTGATTGCGCCCATCATCGGTACCGCACCCTTTCTATAGAAAGATATAGATTGTCATACTTGGTCAGCTACTAGGTCATTGCCAAGTGCCTTAGACCCGTCAACCCATCTGAGGTCTCCTACTTTGAGTGTCCTCGGGGGAACAATTATAAGCGAGTTGCCTTCATCACCAGGTCAGACCTTACTGCGGAACTGTCAAGAAGAGAGCGGAATCTTTCTACTTGCAGCTTATAATAACTTTCATTCTTAATACGAGTATACAAATCTAAGTGAGCATACAGGGTACTTGGTCCGGTCCGTGCATGCAGCTTCTCCTAGGAGTTGTCTTGACTTTTTTTTGGGTTCAGATAGCCACTATCACGGTTCATACACCGGCGTGCTGCTGTTCTTATTTCCAAAAGCCTATGTCCGAGGAAACATTCGCGGGAGATGCGGTCACGATGGGTTAAAGTGACGGTGCTAACGCGGTGACACTGACTTGTGTATCTGTCAGTGGCTCACCGTGCCTGCGCCCATCCGAGGAACATGAGGAGCACTTGGGGTAAAGCACTAGCTGCGCGCTCTACAAACAAGGGGATGATCGTTCCTGGGTTTACACTGTCAGTGACAGACATAGCCTGACATAGCTCGATGTGTTTCATGGGGATCCCGGGCGTGATGTGTACCAGTGTGTTGTGACACGTCAATCTGCGAGAGAAGCGCGTCAAAGTCACAATAAGCATACCGCTGTATTCCCCACGTTACATCAGTGCTGCCGCTCTCTTAATCCAGTAAAGTATCGCCCAGGATCTGTATTCGACGTGATCACAGTAGTCGGACCCTAACAGAATGAACACAGTCGTCAGAGTGATTGTTGCTGGCACAACGGAATACGATACTACTCCTCGATGGTAGCTGAACCATAGATCTTGAAGCTTGAAGTGAAACTCAAGCTTGGATCGTTGGCAAGCAGAGACTTGAATTTGATCACGACAACTTATCTGTAGTGCGGAGACCCTCATTGGGCATTAAGAATAGAAGAAGGAATGATTCGTACCTAGTTGGGGTTGATGCATTGACAATTGCAAGAGCGCTGGTCGGAAGGTTGACCATTTCAAAGATCTTGGGAAGAAACAAAGTGCCTAGATAGTGATAAGTGGCTCCTAAGGAGCGCCAAATGGAGGCGAAGAAACAATGGAACGGCTAAGACACGCACTGTCAGGTAGCTAGTAGGCTACTGTCAGAACCTTTGGAGGACCGGGACGAAAAACGTGAGATCGTTGCGCATGCACGCACGGGTTTTATGAACGTGCAACAATATTAATATCGCATTTTCCGTCCCGCAACGCTCATAGCTGACTAGACAGGTAGACGATGCTAGATTCCAAGTGATAGATGTAGTTGGCAAGTGACCAAACCATAGTCGAATAACAAACAACAACGTTGTGCAGACCCCAGCTCATGAGTCAACTAACCTACAAACAAGTCGCATCATTAATAGTCGACCTGACGCATGGCGGCTGATAATGCAGCCAAGGTAATCGACCCACAGACTAACTCCTCGACTACGAGGAAACCATTGTACGAGGGAAGTACGCAGTACAAAAGCTGGAGATACTCCCCAGAACAGCTGGAACAAGTTCGCACTTCCCTCAATGCTGCTGCGGTAGCGGTCATACGCAACACTTTCGAGGCAGATGAGGTGCGAAACCAAATCTTCGTCGCTTCACTGCCTATTGAATTGGATTAATTTGTCGTAGCCTGGATCGTCCTCGGACGTGTTGTTCCTTAATGCAAACGAAGAGCAGCTTCTTGTGAAACTTTACATCACCAAGATCCCTCAGCTGTGTGGCCATTTTCGTTTCCCCGAGGAAGTGGAGGCGACCGCTATCAGCTACTTGAAGCGATTCTATCTTAAAAACACTGTGATGGACTGGCATCCAAAGAATGTGATGTGCGTTCGTGTGTTATACTACTGGTGTCCCCAATGACTCGATGCTCTTTGAAGGCTCACCGCACTGTTTCTTGCCACGAAGACCACCAATAACCCAATTTCGTTGGAGTCTTACACTTCTAACATCCCCAAAACGTCGAACTCTGACGTTCTTGACCTCGAGTTCCTGGTGTCCCAGAGTTTGAATTTCGAGTTTGCAGTTTGGCACGCCCATCGCGCTCTCTGGGGCATTTGGCTTGACCTCCAGGTAATCCTGTTTGTAACATCATTTCCGTACTATGACTCACGCAATTACAGAGTCTGCCCGACGTATCCGAGGACCTTCGACCACATGATGTCTACGATATCGCCATCAAACACGTCCGCGCTTCGCGCTTCACTGATGCAGAACTCATTTACACACCCTCACAAATCGCCCTCGCTAGCCTGGCTCTCGCCTCGCCGCTTCTCGCAGAACGATGGGCTGACTCGAAAGCGGTAGCTGGCGCTGCGCAACCACTTTCTGCAACCCTGGACCCTACCCTCGGAGCGATCAAATATATCATCACGCAGATGGGACATCCTCCTGATGTGGAGGCCGTTCGCGAGGTTGATAGACGATTGAAGGTATGCAAGAATCCAGAGAAGGTTCCTGGCAGCAAGGCCTATCTTGCACGGCAAGTAGCTGAACAAAGACGAGCGGAAGAGAAACGCAATAAAAAGGCGGAAGACGTAAGGAGAGCCGTCACGGAAAGCGTCAACCCATTTGGGAGCGAGCTTAATGAAGATGAAAAGGCGAAGCAATTGGCTGAGCTCGATGACGATGATGATTAGGACACAGACGCTTTTAAAGGACAGTTTGAAACGACTAGCATTTTTATATTATCGATGTGACCCTCGAGAGTAAATTAATACAAACGCCATCTCAGATAACAAGTGAATCGGAGAATACGGAGAGGGATGTATGGTTCGCTTTTGGCTACACATTGACCCCCACAGATCATGACCTCAGAAGGCTAACTGGGAGGCTTCGAAAGAGCCGACATAAAAATGTGCGGGGTAACTGCGTCCCCCTGCACTGTTGTGAGATGCAAATGTGTAAATTGTGGCATGCGAGACCGATGAAGATCTGCGTGAGGAAAAGTGAGCAAGATAAATCGATCGAGAAGCTTTGACACTGACCTGAGACAGCCTGTTGGCAAATGCCGCGGATTTGCGGTTATAATGACAATCAAGCCAAATGAAAGCGAAAATGACCTGGGACTTAAAAAGAGCCGTATGCAGTCTGACCATATCGCAAACTGGCGCCGGAATATCATGGCCAATATACGGGTATCTTCTTGCACGTAAAACTACAGATGGAGTGACTACCGTTCAAAAGCCTGGAAAGTATTGAGCCTACAGAAACAATTTTGACAAGCGAATACATACAACATTCGCAATCGAAAGGACACAGCGGTGTGTCTGGGGCCGGGTGAATGTTGAATGTTGGAGGGAGCAAGCGCGCAACATACCTCCTCCGGCATTGGAAATACCTAGTTCATCTTCTTTATATATGTTGAATCCATCGTCAGTTTTTCGTCCTGGCCGAGCGTGATCATCAGTTAAGTTAGGAGGACAAAATAAAACAACTTACTAGGTCCAGATCCCCTCGAATCCTTGAAACGGGCTTCATCCCCTTTGCGGGTCTCGTGGGAAGTCTTTTCACGTTGTGAAGAAGCTAAGGCATCCAACTTTGGACGTTTACTGCTGCTGGAAGATGTAAATGATGGATCTACAACAGTCTCGGGGAGTGGTCGTTTTTTCAGTGTTTTTGAGTCTGCAAACCGATCGATCTCCTTCGTTTCGTCGCTGGTGGGGGGTCTGTCTTTTCTTTTCTTCTTTTTCTCTTTCTTCTCCTTGAGGGATGGAAGGGGAGCAGGTTCTATGGCTTTCGCCTTTCCTTTGGCAGCAAAAATGTCGTCTATTTCTGATGTAGGCATGGAAGATGATCAAGGTTGAGAATCGATATCAAAAAAAAACTGAACTATTAAAATATTGTCACGCACTGTCACGCACGTCACAGATCACATTTGTTCGAATGCCTCCGATTAGATCAATATTGTCTGTTTTCTCGGGCGTGATGGGTGATCATGCGACCGTATCAGCGCGCGAGAGCGTTGGGTGGTTGAAGGATTAAAAATTGAATGAGTGAGCTGGATGAAAGACCTTGTGTCGCTGTCACAAGTATCAGTGGCAAACCTGGCAATTTCCGAGTCCTGATTTGTTGCTTTCTTCGACCGCCAGCGTTAACAAGGTTTAGTACAAGCAAGCCAAGTGGAAGCAGGTGAAACACTGTCTGTACACCTGAACTATGTTGTAAGCCAGCCTTTCCCATTCGCCGTCCTAAATCATCATCCCAACAGGCCACAGTCTGCACAGCAAATCAGACCTCAGCAGACTCATCAACAACAAGGAAACGTTCCTTTCATTCAACCACCTCAAAACTTCGAGACAGCCCAATACTTCACTAGTACTCTTGATCTCAATGCTGCCGCGAAGCAAATGGCAGCCATGAACGCTGCAGGTATGCAAAGGCAAATGGCAAACGTCAACGGCCGCCCATCCGCGTCTGTTGGCGGAGTATCTCCGGGATCATATATCGGCGGAATGTCATCCTCTTATAACCATCCAGGCGGCTTTACTGCAGGGCCACCTCACGATACTACCAGTTCGATGCAATTCAATCCCACAGCTTTGTCAGCTCAATCAAATCCCCAAGGAATCTACCCTACCCAACAGACCACCAATGCACCGTCAAATCCTTCCATGAACCCATCCATGTCTCATCCAAACTTCTCTGCATCCGATGTTATCAAGCACCGACAGCGAACTTTCCTCACAGGATTGTCCCAAGCCCACCTTACCCGCGCTCCCTTGCCGCCGGCTTTAACTGGAGTCCCATACCCACCCAATTATGACCCCACAACTTCGCCATGGAAGTCTTTGGACTGCTCACCAGGTCAGCCAGGTGTTGTCCGCTTGGGCGGCAAGGACATCGATCTCCTAAGGTTATGGCATGTTGTAACTCAACTGGGAGGATTCCAAAAAGTATGTCAATTCATACTCTATCATTTTCGCATGCTGAATCCAGCCATCATAGATCACACAGCAACAAAATGGCTGGTTACAAGTCGCTCACCAATTTGACCTGCCGGAGTACCTTCCTCATCTATCGAACCCTGGCCAGCAACGTCCCGTTGCTCACATTCTGGGCAATTTATACAACGCCATCTTGCTCCCATTCGACGACATGTATCGCCGTAATATGCAGGAGAACAACCGCAAAGCAATGATAGCAGCTGGACGCCAGCCAGGCGTTAACGCTGGAGCTCCCAACGTGAATACGGGGCCCAGTGCACCTCATGCAGCATTACCACCAGGAACAATGGGCGCGAATGCAGCTGGCGGCATGATGGGACAACACACGGTGAACAATCAAAACCCCACCATCAGCCCTGCCTCTCAGTCACTGCCACTGCCACAAAGCCCTCATCTACGCCAATCTTCTGCGCCAATTTTTCAATCGCCCGCCATTCCCTCATCCTCGGACCCTACACCTAATCAGGCTTCATCGCAGCTCAACACTGTAAATTCTGCACCCCAGCTTATGAGGCCACCATTGGATTCATCTGAACCAGAAACCCAAGGGACGAAGAGAAGATTAGAGTCAGAAGAGGCAGAAGGGAAACGAACAAGACAAAAGACAGGTATTTTCCACAAATATTATTTTTGTTGCACAGTGAATCTCAACCGAGCTGCTACAGATCCGCCAGATACCGTGAGTACTGACTGATAGATATCTGTGCCCTCGAATTGAATTTTTTCCAGACCGAGACCAATAATACCACAACGCCACACGGATCCGTCCCAGGAGCTCCCCCCTCGCGTACTCAATTTACGAGGACAAAAGTCGAATACATTCCTTTGTCACGCGAAATTGATTTCACTGGCGGCCGTGATTTCAATGCACTGGAAGAGGATTATGTTCGGTCTCAGCGGCGGCCCATGCGAGATATCAACGAGTGGGGCACGGTTGACATTGAAGCCCTTACAATGTCCATCCGATCGCGACTGAACTCCGAGCTTTCCTACGCTCTAACGACAATGACGTTGTTATCTACGATGCGGGGTCCAACCCCTGGGTCTGGATTTCCTATTTCTCAATGCACGGATTTACTTGAGGAGGTGCTCGACCTACTTGAGGAGGAAGCATTTGGGACTACCCCAGACGTCGCGGATTATCGGCTGGGCAATGGTGCCGAGATAGTACGACATCGGGCGCTCGTAGACCATGTTTTCGAAAAGGAGTCTATGCTCTTTGCAGGGCTAGAAATCCGTGATCCTCAGTACGAAACACGTGGTCCAGGGCATCGCGCAGGCAATGTTGTGCTCACTGTGACCAACCTCATACGAAACCTTTCTGTCACCCCAGACAATATCATCTGTCTGGCAAGACATGAACGCACACTTGATCTTGTGCTACGTGTCTGTGGTATCACCACGTCATCAGACGGAACACCCAAACCAACTTCACCAGCACTTGCCCTGTCAGACGTAATCAACGTTCGAAAAGACGCGCTTCACATTTTTGGTAATCTATCAAATTACATCGCATTCCCGAATCCTAATTCCCCTTCGAACGCAACAACTGTCACTGCGAGCCGCATTCTCGACATCATCACGTCTATCCTCATAGAGCCCTTCGACTCAGTTCCCCCCACGCAATTTCTCAAACAAAGTGGTGTTCCTTTCCCGCACAGCAAACCATCGTCTATTGCCGACCTAGCCCTCGACGTTTTCACCCGCCTCGGTCAGTCGGACTCTAATCGCCAGGTTTTCTCTAGGGTCATGCCCCAATCTCTTATTTGGCGACTATTGGAGTCCCTCGTTCATCGTCTACCAGTATCAGACCTCGACTTTGCTTTCCTCGGCCGGGATCCATGGCTATCTTATTTGGAAAAGACAATTATGGCGATTTACACGATCGCATTCTTTTCTCCGCCGGAGTTAAAGAAGAAGATCAAAGCAGATCGCCCTCTGTGTTTCTCGCAGGTTATGATTCGTCTAGTACAACGTTTTGTGACAATGGGTGGTAGCCCGGAGGTGCGCCAGTGGCACCTCGCCGTTGCACGAAGAGCGGTGGAAGCCATGAAAGTTGTGGACGAAGAGGATGATGCTTTTGACACCTCACAGTCTACTCAAACCACGCTGGCATTCGGCATGGGCTTTATTGATGGTAATGATCCCGGTATTGAAAAGGGGATAGGGTTGCTTGCTGGCCGCCGGGACGCTGCATGGGAATTGTTGATGCGAGATCTGGATCCTGTAATGTTTTCGGAGCTGGAGAGTTTGATGAGGGTTGAATGTTAGTTGTCAGGTTCGCGGGATGGTATTGTTGGTTTAACGTCTTGTATACTAACTCCTAGCTTTACATTTTGCTGTCCATACTATATGTAACTCCGGATATCCATGTCAACTGTCGCTCGAAGCCTTGTTGTCTAGACATTTAATTATTATTATTGACGTTCTGACTAGCTAGTACTTATCTCGTTTAGGCTGTGTAACCTTTCCCGAGTACTTCGCGTATTAGCAGCTTAGTGGCTTAATCTCACATTGTCTTCCACCGTCACTCTACATTTCAGAAGAAGAGAGAGAGAAATTGGCCTCACCATTACATGCCGTCCTACACGGCGCCTCCGCCAAATTACTCTCCAGAATGCCCCCAGGATCCAACTGGGGCGGTGGATGAGCCGATCTCTGGCCTTCAGATCTTCATCATCCCAGCAGCGGACACGTTGACCTTTCAGAAGGGCTATCTAGGTGCTGAAGGAGAGCGCGCCGCTATCGAGGGAGAGATCCATGTTAAGGGTGCCCAGCCAGGCCAATGGAAATATGTGTTAGTGTGGTTGCTTCTCATCTATCCCGAGGAACTCACCGTGGCAAAATAGCACTATGGCTCTTCGCGTCGTCGAGTCTGCGTTTGGCCAGGAAATTGAGCTGGGATCATCAGAAATAAACCTAGCCTCGTTCACGGGGACGTCTGACTCGATGTCATCCTCGACGTCATTCGCAATACCCCTGACATCTGATGCACCCCAGTGCATTCATACACCTCATTCGTCGCTGGAATACGCACTCACGGCGACTTTCCATCCTACAAGTCCGTCTGAGCCAGTCATGTCAAAAAGGATTGTCGTGCATACGCGGCGTTACACTTCGCATTCTCATGCTGTAGATACGCTTCCAGAAACCCACGTTCTGGAAAGTCCCTCCCGTGTCGAAGTCCAAGTTCCTCGCACGATATTCCGTGCCGGAGAATCCATCCCAGTCTACGTTACTGTGCCTCCACCGACCAGGGAGCTTATGCTGCGCGAAGGACTTAGACTCCGAAACGTGAAAACCGAGATTGTTCGCATCGTGAGTATGAAAGGGCCCGATGATGGCGGTGATTTTGAACCTGGTACGCCTTATGGTCAACCCATAGTAGACTTGCCACCTCAGGTCGGGCCTTCATCGGTGACACCCACTCCGCCCGCGGAGAAACCTCCGATCACTTCTCCTGGATCGGCCTATAGTACAGTAACTTCACGCTCAGGTGCATCCTGCAGATTTCACTCCTCTCGACCTGTGCGGCTCCGTCTCATCCTGCATCAAGCTTCGCCATCTGCGTCACCAGTAGATTATCAGACGAGTTTGCCCGAGGGTGACTACAGCAGTCTTGACAACGATTTGCAATGCATTTCCACCACTCAATCAACCCTCCTACATTCAGTCTCTTTCCTTTTGAACGTCCACATTTCATTCGTGGACACGACCAGTAGGACGGAACGGCTCATGACTGTCCCTATCCCATTAACTATCATTCCACCCCCAGCGCCGCTGCCTGAAGTCGAAGAATGGGTTGACGCTGCATATCAGAAAAAACATGACCGTCCACCTTTGAGGACAGTTCGTCAAGAAGATCCAGAACCATCTATTCCCTTATATCAGGAAGGAGAAGCGGGTCCGAGTTATACTCAGAGCGGTGCCCCTCCCCCTTTTGAAGACCGCGATATACCACCTCCACCATTCTTCCATTCTATGCCTTCTACGTCCAATGCCCCTCCAAGCTTCCAGGAATCCGAGTCTGAAATATTTATTTCCTCAGACACAACGGACCAGGAGGAACCTGCAACCACAGGACTCAGCATCATCGGCGAGGGAATTATGTTTGGATTCGCTGCATCAGAGCAGTTTGATGGACATTCAGATACGATGCACCGCTCATCAACTCCACCTCCTTCGGTAGAGATGGCAGAGCGAGATACAGATGTGACAGGATTTGCTGACATCGGAGCGCCTGTCCCAGTCTTTGAGGCCCTGAATATCGTCGTAGATGATCGTGCCCCCCGCTCTGGAGGTGAACCCCCTCCTCCTCCACCTGCAATGGATGATCCGTCAGATCCTCCTCCTTCAATAGATTCCGACTTCAGGTCGCCCACGGTCCGGGTCCCTGTGCAATCCCACTCACCTCCCCTTGCTCATCAGTCGTACAGTCAAGCTCCCGCGACTCGTGATTCTCTACACCCTCCCAGTGACATCTTAGATCATTCCTCCTCACATGGGCATGCGCCACCGCCTTATCTTGTTCCTGGTAGTGATCCTGACCAGGAGGAACATGTGACACGACCACCTCCGTATATGGATCTGGTCCCCTCTTCGTCGTATTTGAACAGCTCGATTCACTAAATGGACTTCATTACCATTCCAATTTGTGTACCTCTTAGAACTTACTGTTACCTCAAATGTGCTCTGCTGCAACTGTATTTATAAGTTAGTATCGAACTGTACCGAGTCCAATGTTTGTGTTGCAGATGAATTATAAAAGCAAATTACATATGAACGACCAAGGCAACGGTAAATGATAAAGACAGGACGTATGGGGGGAATAAGAGGTGTGCTAATAGAAGCGAGGGTAGCGAGGTTGAAGTGTGCAGTCCGAATAGTCCATAGTGGCACACTTAACAGTTGCAACCGTCTTTCTTGGACTGTTGCTCCTCGAGATTCACCTCCTCTCTGGGCCCTCCCGCTCGTCCGCCTACACCGCCAGATCGACCTGCGCCGCGTGTGGATGCCAGAATGTGTTCGATAGGTATTTTCTTCGCTGAATTTAATCTTGAGCGGAAGTTCCGTGTTGAGAGCAGTGGACGTACCTATTTCTGTAAATATCTCGACAATACCCTCGCCAGTCTTGGCACTGGTTTCAAAAAACAGCAAGCCGGCCTCAGTAGCGTAAGCCTGAGCCTCCTCGCGTGGCACCTGTCGCAAACTCTGTGGCTCGCCACCACTAGGGCTAGGACTCTCCCCAGGCGTAGCTGTAGCATCATCCGCTTCATCTTCAGACTCTGATGACGGAGTGGACCCAGATGACGAAGGAGAAGTTTGTACGAGATCCACTTTGTTACCAGCCAGTGCGATAACGATGTTGGGGTTCGCCTGTCTTTGAAGCTCCTTCACCCATGACTTCGCCTTCTCTAAACTCGTTGCTTTCGTCACGTCGTAAACGACCACTGCAGCTTGAGCATTACGGTAATACATTGGCTACATCCACGAATCAGAGCAGGTCGGTAAAGCAGTGCTCAGGACCTACAGCGAGAGAATGGAAACGTTCCTGGCCAGCAGTATCCCAAATCTCATAACGCAGGACGCGGTCTTCGAGGCGGCATTTCTGAGTCAAGAATGCTGCGCCGATAGTGGGTTCCTTGTTTGCTTGGAATTCGTTGGAGACCTGGAAAACGGTTCAGTGGTGGCAAATACTTACATGAAAATATACACTCACAAAACGGAGGACTACTGAAGATTTGCCAACAGCAGCCTCACCTGTAGATGTGTATTAGTTCTCATTCGTTGGCAGGTGTAAGAAACTAGTTTGATAGGAAGTGCGAATCGATGGTACTGTTAGTGGTAGCTGAGAAAGCTTACCGAGAAGAACCAGCTTGACCTGAACAGACCTGTCCACGGAGCCTGAAGCAGCGTCAGTCATTACTATCGTTTCGACGTTGTAAAGGAAATATAGACACTGCAACTTTGAAGGAAGGAAGCAGGCGGCAGAGTTAACTCAGCGCTGCGTATCCCGGCTTTGTTTACGTCTGTATTCAAATCTCACAATCTGTCAGCCCATGAGGAACGTGCAATACATTGAACACAATACTACATGTAACGTTCAACTATGTACCGTAGTTCATCGTTGGAGCACGCATCTCTACTATTAGGGCGCATCACCGAACAAAGAGGCCAGCTGTACACATCTCACATGAAAACCCAATCTGCCATTTTCATTACTCCAAAACGGCAGGCCGCAGGGCAAGCATACAGGTCTCGCATCTAACGCAGGAGCTTCGGGTGATGAGCATGTGAATGTTGTTTCTTTCAATGGGTCGAGCCCACCGGCATCTAAGCTTCTGAGGCAGCATGTGAATTCGTGATACAAAGTATGAGTTGACTTATACTTGCTTTGCAGAAACTGCACATATTTGCCGTCAGGGTAGCCGCATGCGCAGCTACGGGGGCAACGCGGGGGATGTCTGCGATTGTCCTGGGTTCAAGGACATCGTGTAATCAAGAGCCGTCTACATCGTTGCGCTGCCATATTTTGATTTTGTCGACCAGAAATCCAGCTCGAATTGTTCTTATTTTTCTGCAGCCAGAGAATGAATATGAGCATTAAATCGTCGCTTCTCATGAAACGACGTACGATTACAGCCTCGAGGTTAAAGCATCTGTAGTGATATGATCAAGTGCGAAGGGTTTCGATTGGTTTAAAGGCTTTGGGACCGGTCCGCAATATTATCATACCTCATAGGACTGCTCTAGGCTATCGTTCAATGGCTATTTGACCTGCGAACGTCTCTGACAAGTGCTTCAATGTGTTCGCTGTCCACAGCTCGTGTTATTTCTCCCGTGAATATCTTTTAAACAGCCACAAGCGGCGATGGAGCTGTGGTTACTGGAGTCAAGTTGGCCAGTTTGGTATTGCCATGACAGAAAGAAAGGACATATTGGGTGAGACTAGTACTGTAAGAGGGCCGTATCGCAGACAGTGTTTATGTACAATCATGGGAACTGTCACAGTACTTAAGCTGACAGTGCTTACAGAGACTCAGCTTTCTTTCCGAGTCGACTTGGCCTGGGCGCTACTTATTTCAGCGTATCTCACCCCCCAACTTGGTTGATAAAGGACTTGAAGCCAGTGAATTCGTTTCTGACGACTTGTGGACAATACAATGCACGTCGACGGCGCGTTCGGTGAGTTCTGTGAACCAACATCGAGGCAGCTAACGTGCTAAACACGCCAGATACAGATTTCCAGCCAACTCGGGAGAGCATACCCCCTCCAAATGTAAGCTACCAGCAGAAACCAGTGCTCGGTCTTGCCCCAAATGTACATCCTCTCGTAAGCTGTAATACTCAACGTTCAGCATCTCTTTACTTACCAGAAATCTCATAATGTTAGAACCCGTTCCCTTTCATTCTTCGCGCCGCAGCTGTATACCCGGACAAACTTGCTATTGCTCATCCCGATGTGAAACATCCTGCGTATTATACCTATGCCATTTGGTGGGGCTATTGTGTTTCGTCGAGAACTAGTCTGATAGAACTACAGGGCTCAGCGCATTCAGAATATGGCGTATGCTCTCATACAAGCAGGCATCCGCCCAGGTGACCGCGTTGCAGTCATAACGCCCAACTGGTGGGTTCTACCGTATCACGAACTTGACGCGTTTCACACAGAAGCACGATAGCCCTTTAATTGCAGGTAGAGCCTCCATCATGATTTTGTTGCACCTGGCAATGATAACATATTCTGTGTAGATGCTCACTTTGGTGTTCTCGCTGCTCGTGCTATCGTCACACCTGTAAACACCCGCCTCACACCCCCTGAAGTCTCATATATTCTGGAACACAGTGGTTCTAAGCTTATACTCGTTGATCGCGACTTCACGCATCTCATTGGGAATACTAATGTTCCTATCATTGTTTGCCATGACACAAGCAGAGCAGGGGACCCATACGAAAGCTTCCTTAGTGCAGGCAGAGTATTCAGTGCGGAAAAGGGGTGGGCCGGCTTGGACGTTGAGCCAGACGAAAACGCTGGTGCAGTATTATGTTACACGTGAGTCACGACCCTGTTATGGAGCTTGACCAAGAAATGAACATGTTTCCACAAGGTCGGGAACTACAGGTCGTGTAAGGTTTGCCTGTGTTTGCAGGTTAAAGCAATTGCTCATTTGTGCATAGCCGAAGGGAGTCCTCACTACGCTGCGCGGTATGCTCTGTCAACTTACTCCACTTATATCAGGCTAATGTTATTGTACAATCAGGTTCTTACTTAGCAGCAATAGGGAATGTTGTCGAGGGACAGTGCGTGCCTCTGTCTTGCTGTATCCGTCTGCCAGGCTCACTAGTGGGATTTACAGGATGAATCGTGAGTCGACGTACCTGTGGTAAGTTTCATGTAGTTTCACGAACAGCCGAGACTACAATAGAATGCAGGATTCTTCCAATGTTCCATGCAGCTGGTTGGACGTACCCATGGGCAAACGTCTTCGCATGCGCGACACAGGTGTGCAAAATACGTTGTGATTCTTACAACTACGGACCCATTTTGACATTCTGAATCCAGATAACTATGCGCTCTGTTGACTACCCACTTATCTGGAAGCACTTCCTGAATTCTGGGGTAACACACTATTGTGGTGCACCGACTGTTCAGGTATGTGCGTCGCACAGGGACTTGAGCTAGTCTGATGTGTCAATAGATCGGAATTGTGAACGACCCCGCTGCTAGACCTCTCGCTCATACTATATACGCGGTTGTTGCAGGGGCTGCACCCACTGCTCACCTCATCAGCCAGCTCGAGCAAAAGGGAATCAAGCCTGTTCATGTATACGGTTTGACGTAAGTACAGCGTAGCTTTTGACTTATCCCTAAGCTAATTCGTTCTTCCATCATCACCAGTGAGGTAGGTACTTCGGCGTTGTTCAGAGAACTGCCTGAACATGCTCCTTAAAGACGTACGGACCCTTCACGCGCTGCTATGACCAACCCCATTGGAAGACGCTAACTTTGGAAGAACGTGCGAAACTGATGGCCCGACAAGGTCAAAGCTTCGCCACCGCACAAGAGGCACGCGTAGTGTATCCTACACAAGATGAAACCGACGAAGAACTCCGTGACATCCCAAAAGACGGACGTACAGTGGGTGAGGTTATCATGCGCGGAAACATCGTCATGAAGGAGGTATGTTTCTCACCACTTGTGCCAAAGTCTCGTATCTATGCTAATCATTGGTTAGTATTTCCGCGACCCAGAAGCTACACGCAAGGCTTTCCTAGGAGGTCACTTCCACTCGGGTGATTTAGCCGTCTGGCACCCCGATGGTGTCATACAGGTCGTCGACCGAAGCAAGGACCTGATCATTTCTGGAGGCGAGGTGAATATACGTCCATGAAGTGATTCAATTTGTTGACCCCAAGCCTGCAGAACGCATCAAGCCTGGCCATAGAAACAGGTACTTTTCCGTTCGAATGACTACCATATTATGGATCCTGAACGAGTTACGCAGAGCTTTCGAGTCATCCTCATGTTTTAGAGGCGTCTGTCGTCGCCCGCACGCACCCCAAGTGGGGTGAACGTCCCATGGCTTTCGTCATTCTTCGTCCAGAGCATGCCTCCAAGTGGACGGACAACCATCACGGTTTCGCTGGTGAGCTGATCCGCCACGCTCGCACACTTTTGCCCGGCTTTGCGTGCCCAGAATGGGTGCAAATAGTGGACGAATTACCCGTCAGTCGTATGCATAACATCCACATCCCGCTAGGTACTCATAACACTTGCAGAAAACATCTACTGGGAAGATCCTCAAGACGAACCTTCGCAAGATAGTGGCTAAATTATGATCTTGTAGTGATCTAATGGTGACAATTGCGAGGGATCGTTAATAGGAATCTGTACAATCTTATGCTCGATTTGCCAAATAAAAGGGTATGCGTGAGTGATAAAACAACAGCTGGGTGGAAATGTCGGAAAAAATCTAGGCATATTAAGTTCAAAATGGTCACGACAAATCGGGACACAGTCGCAATATCCGGAATGCACCAGTGTTGCGTTCGCATAGGTAAACCTCATCTCCCTGACGCCCAAGAAAGAGCACCTCATCTGTGCTCTCAGTGTCCCCATCTCCCGTACCATTAAACTCTGCTCTTGCGGGAGATTTTCCAGTCGTATAACTTGGCTTCTTCCCAAGATAGCCCGAACCTTTGGTCTTTGACGACAGGGCAGCAGCACCTGATGTGGAGGTACCGATAGGAGTGCCTATCTTCCAAACGAATGGTCCACGTCTGTTGATATTCGATGGCGGCGGTGCAAATTGAGGCAGCAAGGTGCGCGACTCATCCGCAGGTTTGAGCAACGCGTCACCGAAATCCATTGCTTCCACGCCCCCTTGGCGCATAGCCACAAGGACAGAGCGGTCTTTGACGTCAAAAGCCTCCACACGCTTCACATCCCCCATACGGGAAATCATTTTCGATTCGTCAGCGTTGTCTGTGCTCCAGATAAAGCGGCCTTTGAGAACAGCCCGACCGCGAGCGTCGACTATGGAGGTGCTGTGCCCGCCACGCGAAGAGAAAAACAATGCAGGCGGGCCGAAATGTCGAGGCTGGACGAGAAGAGATATTGGGGCCAAGAGAGGTTTGGCAGCATCCAACGCAGGAGGAGCATGCTGGGCCGCCGATAGCGGAGTTGCTGATCGGAATGGATGGGAAGGATCAACGCACTGCTGTCTCAGATCCTTGAGCAACATGAACTCTTTGTCATCCTCTTTACGAACTGGTAGATCTGGGGGAAGCAACCCATCCTTGTACCATGCTTGCATAAGGCTTGCTTTCCAGGGTCCTGACATCTGATTGAGCAAAGTGTTTCAAAAAGTGACGTCGTTGCTACATACCGTGGACAACCCCTTTCGGATCGCGGTAAAACCATCTGGAAGGCGGTGCTGGTGCTGGCATGGGTAGGCCAGGTGGGGAAAATTGAATGGATGCTAGGTCAACATTGGCAGTACCTTGAGCATCGGGTTCATGCTCGGCGCGGTAGTCAAGGAACTCCGGGTATGTTGGTGGAATGATGTAGTCATCAGCGATGGTAGCCAAAGGCAACTTCGGCGCATAGGACAACTGTTGGAAGGTGGTATATGGTCCAAGGGGAGCAGAAGCTAGTGCTACAAGCTCTTCAGCATGTGCAAGAGCAGATCCAGGGGCACTACCAGTTGGTGTATGCGATTGAGACAGTGGTGCGTCTGGGAGATTAGTATTAGAATTATTCCTAGACGGGTCCTCGCCGGATGGTAATGAAAGTCGACCGCCGATACTGATGTTGGTATCCTCGTCATCCTGCGCAGGCGGATCCGTGTCAAGGACATCTGGCTGACCCGAACGTATTTCTCGAACTCTTCGCCGAGCTGCACGTCGCTCGGCTCGACCAATTCGAACCTCGCGAACTCTTACTGTTGCAGGTTCCAGCCCAAAGACGTTCTGAGAAAAAACAAGAAAAACTTCGACAAGGTCATCACCCTGCAGTTGAAGTTCCAAAGAACGCGGTGAATCGGGAAGAATAAAGGTGCGAGAAAGACCTAAGGCTGTTCGATACGTCCCGGCAAAAAGCTCGACCTTTTCGCCATTTTCTCCGCAAAGTATAGCAAGGAAGCTGTCCAAGGTTTCATTAAATTTCTAGACCTTGCGAAACTCTGAATACTCACCTCTTTTTTGGCGTCTCCACGGCCTTGATAATAAGAGAACCTTTCGTACCCGGTAGCTTCACGTAGTCTAGCTTTGGCGGGGGTAGTGGTGTTGTTGGAGTCTGTGATCCATTCCTCCTTTCAGGTTCTGTGAGTACTAGCGCTGGAGGCCGCTCGTCAGACCTCCTGGAACTGAATGCATTGCTTATAATGCGAGGAATAAGGCGAGAGTGGGAAGGGGTTGTCGGATATGGAGGGGCAGTGGGTAAAGGTGGTCGGTTGACGGAAGGGGAGACGCTATGTCCTCCTGACGTCGAAGGACGAGGAGCGAGCTGAAGAGGTTCTGTGGGACGTGAACGTGTTGAAGCTGAACGTGTCAGAGTCAGAGGTCTTTCATCGGCCTCTGGTATGGGCATTGTCGGATATGTTAGAGATGTGGGGGATCCCAGGGGAGTATCGTACATAACAGGGACATTGGGACGGGGCGCATCGGCTGAACCACTGCCGTTGAAGATGCCGGCGAATACTGACCACCTCCTTCTCCGCCTTTCAGGACGACTCGCGATGCTCGGGCGGCCCAGCGAAGAGCGACCATCCTGTAATGAAGGACTGAGCGGCACTTCATCATCTGTAACTGATGGAGTTGCCCCGATCATAATAGGAGCTTGTGGTCTCGTTGTCCCTGCTGGTGGGAGGTCCGGGACTCTACTCTCCAAAAGGGCCTGAACAAGCGTTATACGGTCAATTGTACCAGTCGCACCGTCGTCATCGTCATCATCTAAATCGATGTCCGGAACAGAACGTCTTTGAGATGGCTCATCAGTGGAAGCCGGCGTTGGAGGTGTTGTGCGGATATTAGGTGGAGAGCTCTGCAATGCTTGACGAATGGTCAACAGGGTTGGCGATGGTTCAGGGGGTTGAGCGAGTATCGTGTTCGGTTGCGCCAGAGTCAGATCTAAGTTCGCAGGACGGTTCCTTCGACTAGAATATGTGGCTTGACTGCGCACAGGGAGTGACGTAGAACCATTTTCTACAGTATCGCTATTTCGGGGTGGGGGGATAGCGCTAGTGCGTTCATCCAAAGCCTGACTACCGCTTGCACCTGCGGTTAGCATATCGATGGCCTCGTCGTCGCTTGCCTCAAGCCAATCTGCACTCTTGGTCATTGGGTTTTCCTGCTCTGTTCCGGAACCCACATTAGGTAGGGATGGGATGGGAGGGACGACTACGTGAGAAAGGGAGGAACGACGGGACCTTGAGAGGTTTATCGAAATGGTGGATGCTTGTGCCTGCAATCGGGGTCGAGTAGTTTCCGTTATTGTAGAATAAGGTGGGGGCTGGTCGACTGGCTGGCGGGGCGTAACAGGTTGGAGTGTGGGCGGCCTGGGTAATTTCTGCGTTACGGTTGTCGTAAATGACGACTTCCTGAGTACCTTTTCCGCCTTGGGGACCTGGGCTGCGCGTGATAATGACTTGAATTTCGCCTCCGTTGGATCACGTTGATCTACACTGGAATTGCCAGATCCCCCCTTCTTTGACTCCTCCCTCCTGGATCTTTCACGTTCTCTGCGAGTCTCGACCTCCATTCGCCACTCTACGGCTTTTTTGACCTCCTCTAGAGCATAAACACGAACTCCATCTCGTCTGCCTGCTATGGCTACTAATACACCACGATGTTCCATGACCACCACGCTCTTAAAGCTGACCCTGCGCACCAGTGCGTAAGGATGAGCGGCTGGGGGAGATATGAGAGGAAGGACATCAAGTCCTTGGGCATGGCAGAGGAGAAGGTAGTGGGGTGCCATAAAAGTCCCACTAGTAGGAGGAGTAGTAAAATGTGAAGGGGATAGATCTTCTGTAACGACTGATAGGGAGAGACCGAGCTCTCTCAGAGTTGGAGGGGCGAGTGAAGGTGGAGGGGTAAGGGGTCTTGCAGGAGTAGGGGATGGAGATCTGGAGTTAGAATCGGACTGAACCGGGTCGGCTGACTGCGGTCTATCGTCTCGGGCAGATGTTCGTGAAGAAGATGGGGTAATGGTGTCCCTCCGATGTATTAAATTTGACCAAAAGCCAGAGAGACGATTGGAGGGGCGTGTCTAATGGAATACATTCGACTCACAGAGCAGAAGTAGAAGTAATGATTGAAACTTACATCCATAACAGACCTGCGATTGTTTCGGATTGAGGTTGATCTTTCAATGAGTCTATTACTGGGTTCCGGAGACTGTTCTGTAGATATGGCAGTGGGCATTTGAACTGAGGGAGTCTGAGCAGCTACGACGGGCAAGCTGTGGATGCTTGCATCATCAGAGGGTTCTTGTAAATTCGAGGGAGGAGAAGCTGTGTCCATTGGAGGTTGAATGACAGGTGCCGTACTAGTAGTGGTCTTCGGAGTAGCGTCGACGACTTTTACTATGGCGGTGACGGTCAAATCTTGAGGACTTGGATCCACGGGGACAATATTATCCTGCCTGTCGTCGACAATGACCACTGGGGCATCGCTGCACTGGTCGTGAGGTTCGTCCAGCATGGAGGAAAGAGCGACAGAGCGCAATTTCCTTTCTGCCAGCGAGGTGAGACTATAAGAAGGAGAGAGAGAGCCCGTTTACCGTGACTTACTTACTTGACAAGTCTCAGCGGCCGAGACTGATTTATCCCACGCCACGTCTGTGTGAATGACTTTTTTAGTATTTTTACTCAAACATCCGACGGCGGTCCTTTAAGCTAGCTTCACTTCGCGGCAGAGCATAACATTCAAGACTGTTCAGTTCGTTTTCGTTGACGCTAACACTATGCTTCGTCTGCGCCATTCTACCCGTCTAGCGTTTCAAGCTCGTAGATGGGCTCATAATATTCCTTCGTTTTCTCACCTAAACTCCGTCAGCGAAGAGGATCTCGCACACTTCTCCAGTATCCTCGCACCCACGTCCATACTATCAACTTTACCATCAATCTCCACCCCCGCAGATGATCTTGCTCCCTACAATGTTGACTGGATGGGAAAGTACCACGGACAAGCAAACTCAGTTCTTCGCCCCCGTACAACACAACAAGTCAGCGAAATTGTCAAGTATTGTGCTCAACGTAAAATTGGAATTGTCCCCCAAGGTGGTAATACCGGCCTGGTCGGTGGTGGTATCTCTCTACAGAAGGAAATTGTCCTCAGCTTGGGCGCAATGAACAATGTTCGGTCTTTTGACCCTGTCTCCGGTATTTACTCTGTACCTTATTACAATGCTTCCCTATATTTCATTTCAGGTATTCTCGTCGCCGATGCTGGGTGCATTCTACAATCACTGAGTGAATATATTGCTCCTCACAATCACATAATGCCCCTTGATCTCGGTGCAAAGGGAAGGTGTGTAGAGCTACACTACATATCCAGTAAATTAACCCAACGGACCTTTTCAAGTTGTCAAATCGGTGGTAATATCTCCACAAACGCAGGCGGTCTCCGACTCCTACGTTACGGTTCCCTGCATGGCACCGTCCTCGGATTGGAAGTAGTTCTACCAGACGGTACAATCCTGGACCAGTTGTCAACCCTGCGAAAGGATAACACCGGTAATTAATTTTTTCAAGTTCCACCCAGGATTTAAGCTCTCCGGCTAACTTCTGATAGGTTACGACCTCAAGCAACTCTTCATTGGCGGAGAGGGTACGCTCGGTATCGTTACCGGGGTCTCCATCCTCACACCTCCTGCACCCCAGGCCACCAATAACATTTTCTTGGCATTACCACGCTTCGACAATGTTTTACCACTCTTCCAGACGGTCAAACGCCAACTTGGAGAAATCATGTCTGCTTTCGAGTACATCGACCGCACCGCTTACGATATGGGTTTGCAGCATGGCCTTGGTCCCTTGCTCAGCGCAGATGAAGTTGGCGATTCACAATGTTTTGTACTCGTCGAAACCAGCGGTGGGAACCAGGATCACGATTTAGAAGTGTGTCATTTTCCCTTGTGGCCGGCGTGTGAACTAATAATTTGCAATTCAGAAACTCAACAGTCTTCTGGAGAATTTGCTAACCGCTGATGAACCCCTGATTAACACTGGTGTTCTTTCCCAGTCACCCACTCAATTCAACTCGATATGGGCTCTGCGTGAAGGCTTGACTGAGTGTGTTCAGAAGGAAGGCAAACCATACAAGTATGATGTTTCTGTCCCCCTTGTCGACTTCCAAAAAGTCGTCGACGCTGTTCGGGAGCGCTTGATTTCGAAAGGGCTCTACGGAGACCACGCGATTACCAAAGTCATGGGATATGGCCATGTCGGTGACGGTAGTCCCATCTCACGAACCCATCTCAAGGACTTGGTGCTCATATCTTCGTAGGAAACTTGCACTTGAACGTCATTGCCAAGCATGGATACCGCCCGGAGCTTGAGGAAGCTCTCGAGCCTTTCATTTATGAAATCGTCGGTGCGTATCACTTCTCCCAGAAACTCATCAGTGCCGCTGTTAACAAACATCTGGATTCAGCTGCTCGGAAGGGCTCTGTGTCTGCGGAGCATGGCATTGGATCAATGAAGAGAGATGTGCTGCATTACTCCAAGAGCGATGTCAGCATTGACTGGATGAGGAAGATCAAGCAAGTCTTTGATCCTTTGAATATCATGAACCCGGGCAAGGTTATTCCATAGAGCTGAATTATATCACGGCGCGTTGCTCAGTGGCTGCATCGCTGAACGCATCGCACAATTACCTACCACGGGCTTCCCGATGATCATGATTAGTAGTATAAGTATGGGTCGTTATGCATTTACTAGTGTATATAAAGTCGCAATGGAACTTACAAGCAGGTACTCTCCCACATTTTTAATAGTCAACCGCTTTCATTTATAACAGTCGCCAGAATTGAACAGTCAATTAACCCCACAAACGTGAGTAGAGCTCATCGGACCGTGACTATTAATACTAACGACATTTCATGTAGGTTACTAGCGGTCACAACGAGTCAGGCCCATACGCCCCATCTCACACTAATCATCCTCTTGAAGAACCCCTGGAGTTCGGAGGAGGTCAAAGAGCAGCAGATCCTCGGAGTTGGAGTGACGTGGGGAGCTCCCGGACCGGATCTGACGAAGGCAAGAACTTTGATAAGCTAAGTTTGGCTAACGTTGTTGGCGGCCATAAAACCTGTCTCACGTCACCCTTCCTCACAATTGTAGTTGTGACAGGCAGCTGCCAAACCCAAATGTATCACGGGAAGCGATATGTGGTGCCTAAACCCTGTTGGAACGGTACGTACAATTTGCGTGATCCTTTCTTTTGAATCCTCGGTTGTTGTTGTCAGGTGGCCATGAGCGTTATGTGTGGTACCGTGCTGCAGCTGTAGGTTATCACCAGTAGGCCTGGACACGGCTGGTATGAGGCCCAACATCGCGCTAACCTGTAATGAATAAATTAGTTACAAGCGTGAAGACAATGAACGTTGTGACCCATGTGGTATACAAGTGTTAGGTGTTCACGAATCACGATGCCCCGTATCGATGTGGATTTGCACAGGACACACTTACCCTGCGCAATCTGCAGGGATGATCATAAGCGCTGAATAAGGTCAGTCTGGCTGTCAACTCACCTGGTCACTAGCTGTCACTAGTAGCAGTACATCTGTATCTTGAAAAGTCTGGGTTTTATCGTCCGACCTCAGGCTAGAGATCAAAATCCGTAGAGCGGGTTAAGGCGAGCGTCCCAAAATGGTGTCAAAGACATGTTTGGTGCCACACCAATCCCTCTTGTAACCTAAATCTAGTAACCTGGAGTGTCTGAGTTTTGGCTGTGGAAACGAAAGTTCCAGTAGTATAGGAGAAACCCCCACCCTCGAAATGTCCGCTGGGAAGGAGTGTGACGTTTGGTACCGTAGATCCTTTTCGGCATTGAACGGTGAAGGCTAGTATACTAAAATTAGTCTGTGCAGCGGCTCGAACTTGAAGGAATATGCGTGAAGTACTCCGAGTGTTATGGGTGAGGAGGCTGGGTCCTGCAAGAGTCAGTTAGCAGCAAGACTACTGCTGTGCTGCATTTGTGCTGAATCTGTTTTGGCACCGCTGTCGTGCGACATGCCCCTCTAGCCACTGGCACATCACGATCCTACTACGAACCTGTTTGAAGAGTTTTGGATCACTCCTGATGGGGTGGGCGAAGGAAGAGTGGTAAGATGCACAGGAAATGTTTAGCGGTCGTGAATAAGGAGTGTATAATTCAAGAAGGCTATCTAAGTACGCTGTTCTCGGAGTGTCCGCGAACTCACGTCGCTAGTGATCGAAGTCATTTACGTGTCTTGATCTTGTTATTTTCCGGGTACAACTGCGACACGATCAGCGCCGTCCTGTCAGAACCATCGGAAATTGATCACACACCTTTCCAGGATTGAACAAGTTCAGAGGATCGATGGCGTTCTTGACGGTTTTCATCAGTTCCACAGTGTCCTCACCCAATTCTTCCACAAGGTACTCTGTTTTGCCTACCCCTACACCGTGTTCGCCCGTACCTGAAGAGAAAATAATTAAAGACAACGCATCTGAGATACATGGGACACTTACATGTCCCGTCCATCTGGATGGCGCGATGGACCAATCTGTGAACTGCCGCACCAACATTCTGCAGTTCTTCTTCGTCTTTGAATAAAATAAGCGCGTGGAAGTTACCTGCAGAACTCAATTATACACACGAAAAAATAAATTTCGATGCCCTTACCATCACCAACGTGCCCAACGATAGTCGATTTCAAACCAGCTTTGGCAAGATCCTCTTTGGTTTCATAGACAAGCTGCGGAAGCCGAGACACTGGTACGCTGTAAATTAACCCACGTCATACACATCATTTTAAATCAAATATGGGAGGACTAACCATACATCGGTTGTCCAAACCTTTGTACCAGGGTGAGTCGCTAACGTTGAGAAAAAAGCCTAGGATTAAATGATTATCACAATATCACGCCAAAGCAATCGCAGGTTACATACATATTTTCGATTTTCCCACATCTCACCTGCCTCCTCTTCTGTGGCCGCGAATTCAAATCGAGTGCTGCCATGACGTTGTACAATCTCTTGGACGACATTGGAGGCATCTCGAATAGATTCAGGGGATCCTTGAATCTTAAAGAAGAGAGTGTCCTGCACTGGATAAGGAGCATCAACCACCCCGGCAGTGTTAATGGCTGCCATCACTGAAAGTACTTGAGGTAAAGTCGAAGACATGAAATCTGTCTACTCACTGTGATCGTCCAACAGCTCCACGCATTCTGGAAGGAATGTTTCAGAAAATCAAATGAGGTATAACTTGCCACTGACGTATGTGGGAACCGTATGGAGTATTAAGGATCTGCTGGACGGCACTGACCGCTTTTTCGACGTCAGGGAACTGTGCCATGGCAACCTTGGTAGGTACTCGAGGAGCCAATCGTAATGTAGCTAAAACGATATTGAAATTAGAATGGCGTTCCGAATACTGAATGCCAGATGTACCCTCTGTGACTATTCCAAGTGTTCCCTCGGCACCGATGAAGAGTTTGGTCGTATCGAAGCCAGCGGACGACTTGCGCGCCCGCCGGCGTGTCTTGATTACCTTGCCAGATGGAAGGACAACCGTCTGATACCGACTTGTGTGATCCCAAAACGTTGTTTAGAAGACTTGGATTGGACTTACAATATTAAGAAACCATTCTGCTTTAGCAGTTCCGTATCTAACTGCATTGGCTGTGTCGGGGTTAATACATGCGGGGCTAGAACGACGGAAGAAGGTACCAACTTCCTGAACACCCTGTACCAATCATCCCGCCGATAGTCTGTAACCAGTCATGATTCAAATTTGGAAAACTTGAGATGCAGAAAGGCTTACAGCTCCAGGACCTGGGTCGAGCTGTTGAAATTCAAAGTGAATTCACGGGCAATGGAGAAGCGTACGCACAGGGAAGAACAGAGGAATGCCCCTGTCTTTCAGTGTATTGTTTATGTCTTCCCACTTCGCTCCAGGTTGACACCGCAGATCACCATCAGCCTCTATAGCCGGTCCCGTGAGCGTTGGTATTGGAACGAAGCAGAAACATTGCACACCATTGATTTCCAAAATGCTATTCATCGCAGACAGGTCAAGGCATATGCTACCCGAAGGAAACTGATGAACATCAGCATCGCCCAAGTAGTGAAAGATACTTGAAGCTCACACCGTTGAAATGGCCTTCTATACTCGTGGCGCCGCCATACGCAGTGATAGGAACTTTGTATTTGCGAGAGATATTGACAACTTTCACCACATCCTCTGTACTGTGTGCCACGACTACAACCGAATGAGGGCAACTCGGGTGATACGAATGGTCGGAGGAGCCATGCACCCGGAGGGAATCTGGGCTGGTCTGAACGCAATCCATGCCTGGGAGGGCATCGCGTAGTTCCTCAATTGCGTTCCGAACGTCTTCGGGAGACCCGTAGGTGGGCGCTGATGATGAGGAGCTCCCGAACACGTCAGTTGTAATTCCTGCACCACTTGCACTAGATAGTTCTTCTGGGCCACTCCTCTGGAGGTGTACAGAAGGGAGCTCTTCATACTCACTGCTAGATGTAGCATGGTTGGTAGTAGCATTAGCCTCCAGTCTCATTGACATTAGCCCGTATTCGCGGTACTGAAAGACATAATAACTTGTCCCCATCGCGAGCAAGGAACCCAGCACAAATTTTCCAATGCGAAGAACATCATCTTGCGTGGTACGCCCCGGAGACGATGAGTAATGGTAACTTGCTCTACAGCTGCGGATGGCTGCGTTGCAGCCTGGTCGCACCGAAAGATGACAACCCTTTGCAGCGAGCACTCTCGTAGAAAGAGGGAACATGATGTGCCGGGCGAAAGTAGAATTGTCGCGTAGTAGACAAACGTAACGTATTTATATAAAACAGTTTTAAAAACAAACCCCATCAGACCGTGGCGCGTGAGGACGACCGGCGCGGGGACTCCCACAAGACTAGAATCGGTATCAGTCCTTAGACTGCTATGACATGATGCTAAGAAGCTTTGCTGTCCTTACAGCCGCCGAATTATATGTTGATTCAATCAGGAAAACCACGGTACCTGGTTTCGCGTTGAATGCATCACGATGGGAGCTTCAGAAGTGAAGTGTTTTTGCAGTACTAACATCTGCGACGATCATTTTCTGAGCAGTACGTACACAGGATCTCCGAGAACGACATTGGTCAAGTGACGGTATGAGCCAGTTATTGATAGCAAAAGTCCACCGAATGACGCGTAGGCCGCGCTACGGAGTAAGGATGAGCTCGGAGAGGCGGTCGACAGCAAACACGCAAGTAGCTCACACAATGTCGGAGGATCCGGTATCAAACTTATATACCTGCAAGACCAACGAGTAAATTCAAGCCCGGGACCGGGATGATAGAAAGACAGGGTAGCACCTTCCCATACATTATATAGTCATAATATTCTTCCAAGCATCTTCTTCCCTTACCGTCTTGTATCCATACGTCTCTATCTTTGTCTTCGTCATCTTCACCATCTGCGGTGGGTGCACTGCCGCATCTCATGAAAGCGACGAAGCAAAGGGCCATTCCGAAGCTGTCCCCATTCACTAAAGGGAAGAGCTCGATATTATAGTCAAGCGTCAAGTCCATATCGTAGTTCTTTGAACGAGCGTATAACCGAGATACTGGTCGTACAATATTGCACATGTCAGTAACAGGAATAAAAAAAAATAAGGATTCGCATCATGGGGCAAATCCGGACCTCGATCGATTTTTTTTGCCGTGCGCGTCCTTGTCGATGGCATTAGTCGTGAAAATGTCGTCAAACACGATGCTGGATGAGGTTGAATAGAGGAGATCGGATTGGACTCGTGCCAGTGAGACTAAGTGAGTGCTAGTGAACCTCAAGCTTGTGAAGAACTTTTACTGCGTTTTTTGCTTATAACTATGGCGCTGGATCTGTTCAACTATTCTTACACACAACATGCACACATACACAAAGGATTTACATAACACAGAGTCGCGTACCGTTGCCGAGATGTATCAGGATGCTTTGGGATTAGCGTGACTTCCCGTTTTGGTAACACCGCACGACGACAAAATCGAGCTCGCTGTTGAGGACAGCGAGCTCAAATAGTTGCCCAATCCTTCACCCTTTTCACTGGTTCTTTTGAGGGAAAAAAAATCAACTGTAGCTAGTTAACTATGCTTACTTTTGGACAATACAACCCTCCTTCCCCACCTCCTCCTCCCCCCACCCTGACCGCTTTTCTGGTATTTTCTGGACTCTAATTGAATACTTCTGGCTTTGTAGAAGTTACAATATATTTATACAACGAATACATCATTAATTGAGCCCATAATAAGCCCCTCAGAGCGCCCAGTATAAATACATGACAGGAATGGGTGAATATTGTAAGTTTGGAAGATATATGGTCAAAATAGCATATTTAACTAGCTACAGTTGATTTTTTTTCCCTCAAAAGAACCAGTGAAAAGGGTGAAGGATTGGGCAACTATTTGAGCTCGCTGTCCTCAACAGCGAGCTCGATTTTGTCGTCGTGCGGTGTTACCAAAACGGGAAGTCACGCTAATCCCAAAGCATCCTGATACATCTCGGCAACGGTACGCGACTCTGTGTTATGTAAATCCTTTGTGTATGTGTGCATATTGTGTGTAAGAATAGTTGAACAGATCCAGCGCCATATATAACCGTACTGTTTGGGACATCCACGCGCGCTATCCTTCAAACTGGCATGTTCGCCGTGCACAGGAGCAATGGCCTACGTTTTCTCCGTTCAGGAACTCGCACAGCTGCGTTTCAAGTGAGACATTCATCGACATTTGCTGTCTGGAACCCACCCAAGCAAGCACCGCGAGAGGTTCCAACGCCTTTGGTTTTATGTTCAGCATCACATTGGGATTCAGGAACACGGAATAAGTGAGCATTCTGTTCTGCTACCATTGCATATTCAACTTGAACCTTGCACGAAAATTGTCGACGATCATGATAGCATCCCCCAAATTTTTGCTACAATGCTCGCGGAGAAAGGTCACACTTGTATTGAAGTCGATTTTGGACTACCTGGTGACGGCGAAATGTGCTCCAGCTCACAAGATCTCATGGATCGTTTGAGTGAAGGTGTGCTCTTTGCTTTATTCGAGGCGTACATATTACCCATCTTGTCGGCTTTAGAGCTCAAAGTCAACTTGCACCTTTCCGGCAGTCCATTTCCACCTGTAATATTCGCGCGAGGCTTCGCTTCTCTGATCGCACAGGCATATATCTCCTCCCACCCAGCACAGGGACTATTCCTTATTTCCCCTCCACCATCGAACACGTCGTTGTTTCCTAGCATTCTTCCCACCCCGCTAGGAGAATTTGACTACGAACTCAAGTTTCCTGTCGCAGTTATGGCCTGTCCCACAGAAATGGTTCAGCTAAGGAAACATAGTCGGTTAGGTCAAGATGAGTTGGTTGACTTGATTGAAATTGACAACTTAGAAGGTCGCGATGCTTTCCTGAGAATAGAGCAGTGGTTAGACGAACTGGGGATCTGATATCCTGGATGTACCATATGTCTTTATTTTCCTCACTGCGGTCGTTGCATTTGCCTCTGATCTGCTTTTAGACACAACCTGCGAAGGTTCCAGACCTACGCGTGTAGGAAAACACGACAATGCATAAACAGCGCTAATCTCTGCATCAACGAAATGCAAACACAAAAGCGCCAGACCCTGGAAAATGAACCTGCAAGATGAGCGGACTCGCGTCTTTCGAAGACGCGATTTCCAGAATCACATTGATTAGACAAGGAGAATGTACAAGTCAAGCTGGCTAGCGGTAGCATGGGTGAATGAATGGACGAAATCGCTGGTCCCATACTTATACCCTGACGATTGCTCGACTTCGCATGCCGTTCCCGTTTATCAGACCTGCAGGCGTATGTGCCGGTACGATGTCACGCCATTGCATTGTCAGGTCTATCGACTAGACAGCTTCGATATTGTGTCCTGAACTGCGAAGACTTCACTCAGTGAACCTTGGGATCGACTGAGCCTAGCACAGCGTTGAGTTTATCTCGGTAATTAAGTGGGTTGCTGGTATAAGTACAATTGACGGCGATCTATGACGCACGTACGAGTGAAATGATTATGCGTTGTAGAGTAGCATGAAGAAATATTCCCTGCGCCATCAGTCCTGCTTATTGCAAGCAGCCTGTTCCTTTTCCACTTCATGTTGAGCAGTAGCTAAGCTTCCTACACCAGGCAGGACGACTTTCCATGTTCCTCGGAGGGCTAGCACTTTCCTGACCTGATACTCAATCAACTCATGAAGTTTGGGCACATCCCTGAGCATCGCTCGACTGCCCATGAGTGATGTTGTCTTAAGGTTAAGAGTAAAGTCTTGCGGCAACGATATGGTCAAAACAGGGGCTGCTGATGCAGGGGATGGTGGAACCAGGGTAACCTATAGAACATGACATGACTCCCTGTTCCAAAAAACAAAATCTGGTAATCACTCACTTTTGACTCGAAGAGAGATAAAGATATCGTGAGTGATACAGGCAGCCGAGCAAACGAAGACATCGGGTAGTTGAACAAATAGGACGTAGACAGTGAGACGGAAATGGTGTCCGTATATGACATGTCAAATTCAATCGTCTGTCTGACCTGGTGAAAGAGTTCTGTGCAAGAAGGGCATGAAAACGAACCGTTAGAGAGGAGTCCCTGTTGTCATTCACGACCCGTGCATTGGACAATTTGGGTGCGGACATTCCTAGGTCCACGGAATGTACCGTGATATGGTCCTATTGTAGTTGTGAGTTATGGACAGAGACGATGCAGGCGTAATAGACTTGCAAGAAAACCGCGGGGACGCATCTCATTCGCATGGTCCTCAATTGTCCTGCGAGCGACCTCGATGCCCTCATATCCTGTCAGGTTGTTCTGAAGCTTAGCTCTGTACACATCTACGACCTAATATTGCATGAGACTGATCGGGAACCGTCCACAAGGTCTGACAACAAACCTGCCTTGCAAGTATATTGAACCAATGCGCTGACTCGTTCTCTTGAGCATTTTCTGTGTCGTCCTCCTCCGCGTCCTGATGCCACGAAGGGTTTGAATTTGACAGAGGATGGAATGGGCCGGTTTCCTTTTCACTTTCGGGGGAGACGAAAAACAGATATTTGAGGACAAGTGCGAGGAGAACCAAGATTGAAAGTTGACCTAGCACGAGGCCCTGAGTAAAAGTCGGGGTGAGGGAGAAGATATAGTTGTTTCCCATATCGGATGGGCGTTGAGGGCAAGCTCGCTGACTTCAGAAAAAGCGCTGGTTGGCATATGTGTGCGTGTTTCAATTTGACAGGAAGTCCTCTTGTTAACCGGTTACATAGACAGTCCGATAAAGGAAAGATCTCCTTCAAACTTTACTCTATCAATATGGCTGCTGCCTTTGTCTCTTGGCCATCAGCGCCATTGACCGAGTCGCTCGTCAAGAGAGCTTTGTTAAATCTGTCGGTCCCAATCATCACGTCCCTTCCTGGCACCAATGAATGCTCAAAGCTACTTCAATGGTCCACCTACGATGCCATCGACCATGACCTGACACATCGCAATCCTGACAATGTCTTGTCGTCCTCTTATACCATCAGAAAGGCTCTCATTCGAAAACACTACTTAGCACGATGCATTCATTCGTATTTGACCAAACATCTCGACTCCGTCCTCAAGAACGCGGTGCCAAGGACATGGGATCTCGAGATCTCTTACGCGGATGAGCTGGATGAAATGTGGAGCGACCAACTTTGGGATCTTGGCAATGAAATCGATGGCTCTTCTCAATGGTGGATTTTGAAGCCTGGCATGGCAGATCGGGGAATGGGTATCAGATTGTTCAACAGCAAGGACTCGCTATATCAGATATTTGAAGAGTTTGAAGAGTATTCCGAGGACGAAGATGAGACCAATGACACCTCTGTAATAATATCACAGCTTCGTCATTTTGTCATTCAGGTAACATAGACTCTTTTCTTTCGGTGTAATGCTGAACGGTGTTCGACCACAGGAATACATACCTAGCCCGTTACTCCTGGACCCCAACGAAAAGTCTCCTTCTGGCTCTGTGTTAAAGCCACTTGAAAACTTGCGCGGACATAAAGTCAATCCACTCTATCCTTTCCTCGTCAGCCTTTTATGACGCTGACGGACAGTTCCATCTACGGGCGTACTTTGTTGCATCAGGAGCTTTGCAACTATTCATGTACGACCGTGTTCTTGCTCTATTCGCTGCTGTTCCGTATGTCAGTCCGACGAAACGGGAGGATGACAACGATGCTGCTCCCGGGAACATCGATTTGACACCTCATCTTACGAACACCTCGCTGCAGATTGATCGAGGCGAGGAAGGCGTCTATCTACTTGATGAACTCTCAGGATGTCATATCCTGTCTGGACATGATGTGGATAGTGAAGCGTTATTTACTTCCGAAGATATTGAGAATATAAAGGTCCAAATGGGCGCCGTTCTCGCAGAAACGTTTAAGGCCGCTGTAGAAATGCCTATACACTTCCAGGTAAGGGTCATTCGCTGCTGAACCTCTGCCTCGTTTTCAAGTCTTGTTCTCAGCCGCTTCCGAATGCATTCGAATTGTATGGAGTTGACTTTCTGGTTTCTTATGACCCAACCGGCCTCGATTCATTAGACAACTCGCGAATGTTTCAAGTTAAACTTCTGGAAATCAATTCAGAGCCCGCCATCGAACTAACAGGTCGAAGGCTTCATGGAATTCTCGAAGACCTATTTATTGCAATCGAGCAGGTTGCAGTGATACCCTTCTTTAAACAGGAAGTTGGATGTGTACCAAGCACAGAAGTGCCTGTGGTACCAAGGTACTTGCGAAAGTGTCTTGATACAAAGGTCCGAGGATCTGGAGGTTGGTGAAGGGGTTAGAAATTTGTTACACATATATTCCCGTCCTAAAGCACACTTGCCTATCCAATGTGTTCCATAGACCGTTACCCTCAACCCTCCTTGGTACCAGATTTTGAAGCCTTTGGTTGACGGTCTTCGTGCGTTTCATCAGTCTCGTCGCCTCTTTTCCGCTTGATACTTGTAGAAGTGGCATCCTTCACGCTTTTGGGAAGGTCCTTGCGCCTTTCGAAGAGTTGTCTAGCGAATTCCTGGTCGTATGCGACACGTCGGATACCAAACATTTCGACTTGGAGCAGTCCCTCCCAAAACATCTTCTCCACCATTCGCATCTGCGAAGGCGAAACAAGGTCTCGGAATAAGACAGTTTCCTTAGCCAACGCTTCAACCCTCTTTGAACTCTTTCAGTCATGGTTGGTTTTTGAATGGATAGCAGCCTACCGGAAAGCTCAGCTTCTTCGTGTGATCCGGTGAAAGGAGGAATGATTCGCCTGTTCGTTCATAGGTGCCAAGATACTTCCAGCCGTGGCCGTCGTAATAACATAAATCTTTCTTTTGACCAGGTTCAATATCCGGACGCAGTCGGCCCCATGCGCCGTTGTTCTTTTGGGGATTGTATTGATACATTGGTCTGAAGATAAGACCTAGGGCGATTCCTGCGCGGGCGAACATAAAAACATCCTTCTCCAAACGGAGGGTGCCGTCACAGCGGCTGTGATTTGTCAGTCAGAATGCCGCAGATCTTGCGAGTGAAGTGACAAACCAATGAGATCGAGCTGTCTGTCGGCAAATATATCAGTAACAACCTAAGAGCAAAGACTATCGCGAACCCTGGGAATGCCCATGGACAAGGTGGGAGAGTATACGGGGATGTCGCTGCTATTCGGTTGGTCACCGACATCCGGATACTCCGTGTTGCGAAAAAATGAAGCTGGGTCGGACTTGCTGCATATCATTTCGCTACGAGAGGTCGTCACAAAAAATCAAGTTCTGCTTACAGTACTTTTCCTTCTGACGCCGATTTCTCTCGTTCTTCTATACAGAGTTCAAGCTGGCTACGCAGTTCATCGATGACCTGTGGAGACGTTTCAGGCGTCAACCAATAACATACATGTGAGAATACCTCTTGGCACTCTCGTTTGCTCGCTTTAAGCTTCCGATATTTTTCACGAACACTACTTAACTCTTGGAGTTGTTCATCTGCCTTCTCCTAGTGGGGTAGAAGTTTGAAAAGTACTGTGACATGTCTGGTCCCAATGTACCTTGTCCAAGGTTGCCAAGTTTTTATCCCTGATAGCGTCAGCCAGTTCCTTCTGAATTGCGTCCATCGACTGTTGATCACGATAAGATACGAAGAACAGATGTCCAGCCACGAGTTAAATACCGCAGAGTATTGTGCTACAAGACCAGAGTGATCGCCCTCCATCTTGACTGAAACGTTCGTTGTCTGATCCTGGAGACTTGAAATGTTCGCTCGAAGGCTAGAATTCTCAGCCTTCAGTGCAAATATCTCTGCCCGAAGGGCTTCCTCGCGCTGTGATTGAAGACCAGTTGACATAGCATCGCTGGCAGGAGTACCGGTTCTCTAGAGGGTCTTGGGTATAAGCTATCATGATGCTCCTAATAATTCGACTCATTTTACCTGTTCAGCTTCACGGAGTTGGCTGCGGACAACCTTTAATTCCTGCCCCAGAAGCTTAACCATCTCAGCTGCAAGCTCTGGGTCCATGACATTATCCATGCTGACGACAGGAGTGAAAGTGATGAAGCGCGCGTGAAGCAACTGATTGACGTGTCACGTGTTATTGTTCTTTGTCTCATCACCTCAGGCTATAGCCTGCAAAGCGTGCCAATGGCATCAGAATCAAGGACACCGTCTTCGACATCAACACCGCGCAAAAGATCAAAGTGGGACGAGGAAGATCCAGATGACATTGCGATTCGCCAACAACAGCAGCCATCGAAACGCTCCGTAAGGACTAGGTCTCGCGGCGCACGCCCACCCAGTCCCGTGCATTCAGAGTCGCATCCTGCTACCAGTCGTTCTTCCCGGCCATTGCATAGTATCTATGTACCTCCCCGAACCCACCATCCATCAATCCAACCATCTCGTTCAGTTTACTGTTATGAGAGACTCAACCAGATCGAAGAAGGGTCCTACGGCGTTGTCTTCAGGGCGAGAGATAAGGAAACAGGCGATATCGTCGCTTTGAAGAAGCTAAAACTTGATGAGGAGAAACACGGGTTTCCTATAACTGCCCTACGTGAAGTCAACGCTCTCATGTCATGCCACCACGATAATGTGGTACGAATCAGAGAAGTTGTGGTCGGAGATACCTTGACTCAGTGAGTAAAGTGTCTCAGTAAAGCCATAACATCACCACGCTCGCATACCAGAGTATTCGTAGTGATGGACTTCATTGAGCATGATCTAAAAACACTTCTGACGCTCATGCCTTCGCCCTTCCTGCAATCCGAAATCAAGACACTTATGCTTCAACTGCTGTCCGCGGTCGCCCACTGCCATTCTAACTGGATACTCCATCGCGACCTAAAGACTAGCAACCTGCTTATGAACAACCGCGGGACTATCAAAGTTGCTGATTTTGGCCTTGCGAGACGGTATGGAGACCCTGTAGGTGTTGGTGGTCTGACCCAGCTTGTTGTGACACTGTGGTATCGGTATGTCAACTGTTCTCAAAATCCTGACCGCAGATGACGCATCCTTTCAAGGGCTCCTGAAATTCTGATGGGAGCCACAACATATTCGACTGCCATCGACATGTGGTCCGTGGGGTGCATTTTCGCTGAACTCCTCCTGAAGGAACCACTATTTCAAGCGAAAAGCGAAATAGAGCTTCTTTCCATGATCTTTAAGCTTCTTGGACCTCCCACTAGTTCATCTTGGCCTGACTACTCCACTCTTCCGTTGGCGAAGACCATCACTCTTCCCTCACCTCAACCACATCAATTCCGTCAGCGTTTCCATCACATGACAACCGCTGGCATCGACCTGCTTGTGTCACTACTCACCTACGATCCCGAACAACGCATCAGTGCTGAAGAGGCTTTACACCATCCGTATTTCAGGTCAGGCACCTTTTATCCTCTGCATGTTCGCAAGCTAACACGAGCCAATGAAGCGAATCCCCACTTCCAAAGCACCCGGATCTATTTGGTTCATTCCCATCCGCTGCTGCAGGCGAGAGGTACGCCTGTCGGACTGCGGATGCTGGTGTTATGCTCAACACACGTTGTAGACGACGAAAGCCTTTCGACAGCCCATCAGCACCCGCGCGAGCAGCAGACTACAAACTTCTTACTGAAGTCGATCTTCCGTAGAAGAAACGGAAATATATTGCGTACAATGTATAAAATATATTCCTTGTACAAAAAATTATGGGCGTTATGATTCTCCGATACTCGACAACATTTGTCGCATCTTTTGAAAACGAGTCTTCGTACGCTCCATCTCCCCACACTGGTCATAAAACTCTTTGACCTCTTCTAGAGTAAACCTGTGCTCCGTGGCTATTTCTTGTAACGTCCGGTCGATGAGATGGACCCCATTGTCCAATAAAATCCCTTGAATAGAGTTTGCATCACTGAAGATTCAAGAATCCATGAGCCCGTGATGCTCAATAGCTGCCATGACTACGCACTTGGTCTTCATTCTCTTACGAGGGCTTTGTGCCTCACTTTCTTCACTGGCGGATCGCTTCCCCCAATCTGGAGGAGGTTCATTGCCGATGCGAACTGCCCACCCCTCACTGTCTTCACCATCCTCCAGTTCTTCCTCCGCGGGGCTGCCTCGAATGAAAGCTCTTGATGTAGACGGTCCCGAATCAATTGGTGACGCGTCGAACACAATTACGGGCACTTCGGCTCCATTACCGTTAATGCCGCCAATTATCATTTCCTGTTTATGCAAATTCTGTTCCGCAGGTTTGGCGCGCTTCCTCCTAAGGCGTTTGTTTTTTTCTTCGTCTTGCCGCACGTAGCCATACTGCCCTTGTTCCCCAGGAGCTGGCTTCTTTTGGTCAACAATTTGAGCGATCATGGTGTCTAACCGCACTGCATTCTTCTTGTAACGCTCGCGCCAAGACTGCCATGTATGACGTGAAACCCATGCGTATTCTGGGTCCGCAATCTGATCCTCGTGAGTATGGACATGAGGTGGTAATAAAAAGGAGTTACCATTTCGCACAGTTGTTGATAAAGCCTGTTTCCAGTTCTCCCACCTGTCTGCTTGTATGGTATCTTTGCCGCAATCCATTCACACAGGCGCTGTTCGTCGTCTTCAGTAAATGGTGTTCTCCTAGGGGACACGTCGGTTCATGTGCTGGGTGCAAGAGCGAGTGATATACGTACTCTTCCCCAGGACGTCGACCGCCGGGATTCTTGTAAATGAGGGGGGTGTATACAATAGCACCCTTCTCAACACACTTCTTTACCCACAGATAGGACTCGACATGTTTATCTGGAATGCCTTGGTATGTCTTGACGAGATGTTGGAAGACTTCTGTGTTCGGGTCTGCAAGAATGATCTTAGCAGACTGCGGAGATGAAGTAGGGTCGCCGCCGGAATGCTGAAAGAAAGTCGGCGTGATTGGCTCGAGATAAACTAATGGCTATGTTGTTGTGGGACACCACTCACCATGATTCTCTGACTTAAAGTTGTGCGTGCATTGATATTGGCGATGCTAGGATGCATGTGCATCTTAACGGGCAAGCCGTTTTCAACAAAAATCTGCTTCAACTGCATGCCCGCAATCTTGCAGGCTTCGACGTATGTATACGGCACGAAATGGCGCTGTGGACGATCCTGCGCCATCCAGCACAGGCGAAGACGCTCTTCCTCCGCAGTGCCAGGCTGGACCAGTACGTACCCCTGTCTTGGAACCTTCGCTTCTACGCGCCCACCTAATGACTGAAAGCAAATGAGATAAAACTAGTACTTAGTATGTCAGATAGTGGGATGCCACAACTCACAGCGACAACTTCACACAACTCAGCCTGAATTTCCTGAGCGATATCTTTTTGAATGAAGAACTTGATTGCGAGACCATTAGCGTCCTGGAATATGGGCTATAATGCAGAGTTAGAGGGGTATGAATACGATATTCTTTGCCTACCATAACGATGTGCATTGACTGGCGTAGTGGCGTTCAGAAAACCCTCGATTGAGGTTAGGGTTAGTGGAGCCAGCTGAGTTTAAAAGGCAATCTGTGTCACTGTGACAAATGCATCCGGGTGGACAAAGGACTACAAAGGATCGTGCATGAAATATTCTACCAAAGAATAATGCGCAACCGCAGGTGAATATTGTAGACAATATATATATATATATACGAAGTGTTAACATTAAGAGCTCCATGTCAAGTATTTTGGTCATGTAGAAGCTTTCATCTCCCTCAGCTGCATCGCAATATCGTCAGGATTAACGCTCTGCACCACATCCTTCCCGACTTTCATGCGCCAGAAACGAGTTCTTTTGCTGATCTGCACGTCGACTTCGAGATCAGAGCATGAGGGAATCTGGGCTAGAGAGGGACGGATGCCAACTGCTAGATCTCCGGTCGGGTGTAGTGACCGGTTTGTTAGAGATCTTAGCCCGGGTTTGGTGTCGACGCCAAGAAAGCTGTCTGGTTTCTCTTCTCCGCGCTCCATATTCGATATGTTGTTGAGGGCCAACTCGGATGTGTCCGAATTCTCGCGAAGTTGCAATCGTTCAGGTGTTGAGGCGAGTGGCATAGTAGGAGGTGAAATGTGTAAAGGACTCTGAAGACCATAGGGAGCCTCCGGAGTTGACATCAGTGAATGGTTAACATCATCAGGTCCGCGTAGAGAGGACGAGACACCATGTTGAGAAGGTTTGAGGAAATCTGCCTGCAAATATGCGCATCAAGCTTTTTTTTCTGAAACAAATAAAGCCAGCTACAAACCTCTGTCCGTGGAGCGCGCAACACACACGGGAGCTTCCCGTCTTCAACATTGACGGCATGCTCACCATGGGTTTGCGGTCGCAAAATGCCTTCTGTGCCACGCAGTGACCTACTCTTCCTTAGCTTGGTCGAGCTTGGAAGTACGGGTGCTGATTGGGGGTCTGCTGTGGGATCCAAACTCCACCGTCTCTGGTGGCCCTTACTTAGATTTACTGACAGGCTTCCTGCCAAACTCCTGAACTCGGCTATATCTATTGGAAGGGTGGAGGATAAAACCAACTCCGGCGGAATCTCCTCGCCCAAGTGACGAGTCAGTTTGGCCAACCTGGCCATTTGCAGTCGCCTTTCTGTCTTATGATGTGCAGTTGGATCATCGCTGTCCTCGTCCGTTTCATCTCCAACCGATATTAAGGGTGAAAAGGATGTCTTGTTTGTGAGGCTCTTTGGTGCTTTGTCTGTCATGCACAGCGAAGGTGGCCGGGGAAGCGTGCTAGTGAATGGGGTGGCATGTTGCGAAGAGGATGTCTGAGCGGGAATTGATAAACGTCGCGAGGGATGTCGAACCAATCGTTTCCTGCGACTACTAACAACAATGCCATCGCATTGATTAGGGATCACTGAAATGTTTTCCCTCGACTTGTTGGCATTCGTACCCAGTCGAGGGAGAGAAAATACTCGGCTCAGCCTTGCAGCGGTAGGCCAATGGCCGTCAAAAACTGTCTGTGATTCTGCCTTTTGCGGAATGGCGTTGAGTTGAAGAGAGGGTGGAAGTACACAAGAGGGGGGGTGTGATTTGGAAGCTGCAGCTGGTCTGCGACGTGCGCCGTACTGTGACATACTACCCTGAAGCTTGGCAGGGTGTCGAGCAGTGCTAGTAGACGAGACATGTTCCCGTGGCTGGACAGGCATGGTACTATACACGAGCAAACCAAAGTCCCCCGATAATATAATTCGAATCGTAGAATGTGAACAGCGCAAGCTCAGTTCTTTTCCTCGACATAGCTAATCAGGCGACGAGCAAATAGTGAGAGGGACAGCATACTCACCTGCGTACAGCAAAAGGTGGGGTCACAAAATTTTATTTCGCACAAGGAATTAGCAACGAGGGGGGGGGAGGGGGGACGGTGTTAAGGTTTGGAACGACAGCTAGGGTTTCCAAATTTCAAGCTGAATGGCCGTTTCAGGAGGCCTCTGCTTTTCAACGATCGTGATAGACAAACTGCAACCAGCGTTACGATCAGCAAGGAGTTCAAAACAACTTGCAAAACTCGGACCTACGTGAGTAAGATACACGCGAAGTTGACCTTGGATCGTTTCCATGATTGACCCTGATTGACCTTGGCGAGTACACGACTGATAACGTCATGTCTACCCTGGACAAAAAAATTCTCATGGAGTATTTTGGGCCTCTATACAATGTAACTTAACATCAGGCACATGCATATGATGTCAACGGGGTCGTCACCTGGCAAACGAACAGCTGAAATCCCGTGGCCGAACGGGTTATGGTTACGGATGGGTACGTTTTTTTGAAGACTTCGGACTCACCCTGCTTTTCAAGTTGACTTATGAGGTGACATATGGCGCCCGTGACGATTTCTGAGATCCCCTGACGACACCAGTGGGCATGCGTCGCGATTGTGGGGCCGGGGGACCAGTGGTACCCCGTGTGGCGACGCTACAAATTGATAAAACCAAGATTTGACAGAAACACAAGAAGCCTTGGCCTCTACAGCGGTCGCCCGGCGACTCGCATCACCTTGGTCGACTTACTGTAAAACGCGGTCGTCCATTGAGGCCAGCCGGCCAACCTGTGCTGTAGCTGAAACCTAAGCTCAAAACACAAGTCAGAAATATCGGCTCACTCGGAGGTTTAAGCTGCTTAGGTTATATAATATGCGACACAATTCAAGCGATATAACGTATGCAATAGCTATAGGCGAGTATGTAGATTGTCCAAAGTTCAATGCGAAAGGAACTATCCAAAAGAAGAATCCTCCCGAGTCATCGTGGATATCAGATCATTATAACCATTTCGTTGAGTCTTGCCAAACATCGCCGACAGTCGAATGTCTGGGGGCAATTTGACTAGCGAAACACGTTTCGCTGCTCGGGTCTTGTTCCACTCCTCAGCTTGCTCTTCAGGCGACTCTTGCGCTGTGTAAAACTTCTCATGGGTAGAATGGGGAGTACCGTCTTGCACGGATAACTCTAGAGAGCTCCGAACAGAATGAGCCGTCCGAGACTCTGAGAGACTGGTGTCGGCCTCTAGGAAAGGATATCCTGAGCCTTCCCCTTCAGTGAGGGGGGAATCCGTGATTCTCGTTGGCTCTAAGATTCTCGACACGGAAAATGTGTAGTTTGTCGGCCAGTCTGGACCGAAATCTAGAGCCGACCGGAAAGAATCGTGAACGGAGGATTCCAGAGAACTGGGTATGGCTTTGGAAGATGGTTGGTACGACGGCACATCCAGTGATCCATCATCGGGTGATGACGTCGGCTCAGGTATACGCTGCCCTCGGCTTTGCAAAGTATCCATGGCAGCGTTCAAAGCAATTGTAGCTGCCTGTTTAAACCCTCGCTCTTCTGCTGCCACATCGTTTAGCAGGACATTGCGGTGACATATGAGCCTAGCAATCTCCAGACGCAACTGGGAGATCTGCTTCGCCACAATTTGTACTGCATCTTGAAGCCGATCTCGCGTTGACCGTTGGAAGGGTGTCAAGACTGATACGTTGCGAGCGAAGTGCATCTTCGTTTCCAGAAGTGGCTGCATTACACAAATCCGATCTTCGAGATCGCCGATGGTGGATTGAAGGAGAATGGTACGATTGCTTTGGGGAGGGGAATTGTCGTCGGCTGTCAGGGAGGAGCGGCGCACAGGGAAACGAACAACATCATCAGATGCGTCATTCAGGGGCAATGACGAATCACACAGACTGAGCCGGGCAGCAGTCAATTGCGCTTTCACTTTGTCGAAAGTAGCTTTGAATTGGGATGCCCCTTCTATCTCACGCACGGCGGGAGGTTCATGAGTGATATCGTGCCGAGCTTCAAGCTCTGACCCAATTTCCGGGTTTGATCGCTCGACAGCATCTTCGTCGGTCGACTTGGTAGCACGAATGAGTGAGCTCTGAGAACCCCATGATCGAATTTTGGGCTGGGATTGCTGCACCAGCCGTAAGTCTTGGAGATGTGATTGCGCAGCAGCCAACCCGGTTAGCGTCACCTCCCTGCCTGTCATACCAGGGGGACGCATTCGTATCCCAGCAGACTTGAAAGCACTAGCATAATTGATGCGCGAGACCCATTGATTGACCTCCAGTTCACTTGATGCCTGGAACAAGATCTGACGTCCATCGGCGAGGGCCAGGCGAAAAGTGTTTGGATGCTGCAGAAATGTTAGCATCACGGAGAAGAGTAATGAAAAAGAACATGCCTTTTGGTATGACCGATCAAACACAGCGAGTGCGTCTTTGACCGACAAAACTTCATCGGGTTTGCAATGTAAGGTCGGCTGTCTGGAATAATCCGATGTTGACAGAAAAGTGGCAGCCCATGATGGGTCGCGAAAGAGAAGGACTTGTGAAGTCGTCAAAGCAACACCAAATGACTTCCACTTGCGGTTCGAGGGCTTTTTACCGCCTTCCAAGATATCATCTTTGCGGTTCAAAACAGAGACTTTTGACAGCTTAAGCCGCCAAGTCTCCTTCTGAGGTGGCAAAAAACCGGGAAGTGCGGTTGTCCCCATAAGTGATGGACTGGCTACACTGAGGCCGAACAATCCAGAAGGCATGCACTTGTGTTCAAAGCAAGAAATCTCTATCGTATCTCCTTCGGCAAAAGCAGACCAAAGTTTGTCGTTATCCCAGGAACCGCTTGTTCCCTCCCAACGGTACGGATTGTCTAGAGGGATGTGCTGTTCGACATTTACGCGGAGCGAATCAAGTAAGTCCTTCGAGGCAGAGTGTCATTGACAGTGTATTGAGGAGGTGAGACCACTTACATTGGTGATCAGATAATATGGATCAATCTTTGGTCTGCTTAGTAGAGTACCTCCTACTGGTGTCATTGGAACACCAGCTGAAGTGGGAGGTCGCGAAAGACTTCCATCAACTGATGGACGAGGGGGATCCATAGGGTCCTCGATAAATATGAAAGGAGCGAACACGATATTATCATAAAAGCACTAGGGTTATGCATCAGTTATTAGGGAGGAACATTAATGGTCAATGTCCAACATACATCCAGCACTTCGGGTATAACTCCCGAGACAGCCGTGTTTTTCTGATAGTCAGCTTTCGTCATCTTGCGCTTGTTGGACTTGTTGAATGCATCTGTGTGAAGCATGATGAGACTGAAGGCGAGAATGTATGGGATATCTAAAGTCTGATGAGCACAAGTCCCTTGCCTATACATTAGTGAAATCGCGCTGACCATCGGACATAAATATATCTGGGTTGCACTCGACATATCGTTTCGCAAAAGCTTCAATCACCCTATCGATTTGCTGTGTTTCCCGGGGAAGGCCTATATGCATCAAAAGCCGCCGCAGAGCAACATCCAGAGGATCCCCAGTAAAAGAGAATTTTCCGATGTAAAGCTTGAGGGTAGCTACATATTTGACTGCCGTACTAAGGATCAACTTAGAGTGGTGACGAGTGAAAAGTGAAGTGATGTACCTTGATCCCAACAACCCCGCAACATCAGCTTTACCAACAAGGGAGGTAAGTCTCTGCAGGAAGGCCTCAGGTAGCTCGTCCTGTTGAGGTCTCAGCTCCTCAGGTGGTACCGACGAAAGCAACGGTGGACGTGATCGAGAAACCGGCGAGGCGGTTATGGAACCGCCGGGAATTGTCCCAGCTTTTGCGGAGGCAGGGGATGATGCAAAAAAATTGATTGAAAGTCGGTGCAGGAGAGGTGGATTAGTAGCGGAACGTGGTCGATTATTTGTATGATTGGCGGAAGTAGACGAAGTGAGACTTGAGAGCGCATTTCCAAAGTGTGGGGTATGTGTAGAAGGACCGGGCGTTGTCTGTGGTGACAGAGTAAAAAATGAACGAGTGCGTGAACGGGTGGAATCGGCAGTCATGGGGCGGCGCAGTGCGGGTCTGGATAAATGATGGGAAGGAATTTGTGAATCAGCAGTCGTTGAATGATGCTGAGACGAATCAAATGCTGATATGATCTTGGGTGATGCAGGCAATTCACAGTTGGAGGGGGACGGACGTCTAGCGAACCTCTCTGAGTGACTTCGTGTCAATCTCGAAGTGGATCGTTGCGGTAGCTGCTGGGAAGATGCAGGAGTGTCCGAATGAAAGTCTATGCGAAATGGTGATGTCGGTTGCAATGCTGGAAGGGACAGAGAATCAGACGGAACTGAAAGCAGTTGTTGCGAAGATTTTTTCGACACCTGGCGAACAGGTGATGATTCATTGTTTCCACCGGTCGGTGGTGGTTCCGCATCTTTCAGTCTGGGAGATAGTCTCTGGCCGATGGAAAGACCACGAACTCTATCCGCAACGTTGAGAGGGTGCATCGACCGGTCTGCCTGTTTATGTGAAAGGAACGATTGAGTACTTCTGGCGTGTCGTAGCGGGGGGGCCGAGTCGTGTTGGTCGTTGGTCGGAGGTGAAGCAGTGACAAAAGACACTGTGTTCACTCCGCGGGGAACAGCATTATGATATACATCGAAATATAACGTAGGCTGGGCATGTCTGGGTTCAGCGGAAGTTGAAGGTATGTTTGCTCTGGGAAAGGTAGGTGAGGGGGTGGATCTGTTCGTGGATATTGGCGAGGATATGTGCAAGGACGTTGCTGCAGAGTCTGAATTGCCAGCTAAACTTTGGATCGGAGGTGTAGGCGGGAGCTCCTTATCCAGCATAAGTTTTGAGGGCCTTCTCCGAACGACGCCCAGTTCATCAGAGGGCATACCAGCTTGATTCCGACGAGCAGACACGGAGACAGGTAGCATCTTTCGTGTCCAGTGAGGAAGTGAAAAGAAATGAAGGGTACTATGACTGTTGTCACTAGTATTCTGAGGCTGGCCGGCAGACCGATTGGGTGCAGACTTATCGGAGAAGACGCGAGCACTTCCATTGGCCTGGGGCGGCGTGTTTGAAGTAGTATCAGGATGAGGACTGCCCGTCGCTGGGGAGTTCCTGCTTCCCGTACCCAGAAAGCCAACCATGCTGGAACTTCCAGGCTTCTGCAGCTGTAAACAGTTAAACTTCTAGTAGTGGCTGTGATGAGGTCTAGTAACCGGCGATGAAACGACAGTTGGACCGCCCGAGCAACGATGCCAGTTTAGTGAAAAGAAGTTAACTCAAAAATCGTGGGCATGGGCGTCAGTCGCGCTCTCCGGCACGAACGTGATTTCTAAGAGCTAATCAGCTCACACCAACGAACTTTCACAATTGCAGTCGTTTGTATTCGACATGAGCTAATACCATTACTTTTCGTGGGATTCGGTATATATTCGCATCGCAATACCTGTAATCCGAACACCGTGCGATGGGGACTCCAATATATCTCATCATGCCCTGGCCTTCCGTCGTCTGTCCTTCTCAATCTTCGTCCTCTTTTCTTCGAGTTTGGCGTGCTGTGGACATGTGAGATTAGAACACTAAAACCATTTGATAAATTAAGGACGGACCTCAGTAGCTCGTTTTTTCTCCCCGTATTTCATTCTTTCGTACAACTGGCGCTTGCGTTTGCTCATCAGTATCTTGTTCATGTCTTCCTCACCACCGCCAAGAACAACAGCGTCTTCCTTCTGCTTCTGTTGTTTCTGTTTCTTTTGTACCTCCTTCTCAAATGCGCCATAGTCGACGCCTGCTGCTTCTGCCGCAAGCTCCGCCGCCCGCAAGGCCTCTGGGTCATCTGCAGCAGCCACCGCTAAGGCAGCCATTGAAGTTACACCTTCCTCTAATCCCGATCCCATCTCCACATCTTCTACCTCCTGACTGTCCTCGCTGAGTTCAGCGTCGTCAACCAATAAGTTTTCGACATTAGCCAGACCAATGGTTGGATCATATGCTCCATCTCGCTCGCCAAATGGCGACAAGTGGGGTGGAAGTGTCTTTCCTTGGGCATACGGATCCTCGAGCAGAATTTTTCCGGCATTGATACAATCGACCACCCACTGAGGCTGTACATACTTCCTTCGTCTTCGACGTTCTCGTTCCTGGGCTGTATCACCGTTGACAACGGGCCTGTCAATAATGACGTGGGTGATTGCCTCGTCATCTTCTGTAAATGGTGAGCCACCTCCTGATGAGACTGGCCAACCTATACGACCGCCAAAAGACCGGATAAGGAACTCGAATATTGATCGTGATGATTCGCGTGATAGCCAAAAGGTATATGGGGCAAATATGTTTGTCGATGATGGTTTTGGTAAGGATGAGAGCGAGAGAAGTGTAGGGAGCGACGACGGTGCATCAAGATCAGACTTTGAAGTTTGTGGTATAAATTCCTCCTCAGGGGCATCGGGGAAGGAATCGGTGCGAGAAATATTTATATCAACAGGAGGCACCGATGATAATTCTGCAGTAATGTTCTTGATTGTCTGCCGGACATCCTTACTGGATACTTTGGGACCATCACTTTTCGGTGCTGCAGTAGCTGGATTGTTCGCTGATCTGAGATTGAACGCTCCGACACCAGCTCCAGATTCGTCTTTGCTAGAGTCCAAGGGTGGCGGATATACGAGTCCAGCGTCTGTATATAACTTGAAAAACACAAACCCAAGTAACGTCTGGTACAGTTCGAGGAAGGTCAGCATAACACGGACATCCACATCAGATGGTATCTGAATGGAAAATATGAGCAACAAAGACACAGATTCAAGGACATAGCTCACATTCTGAGGGAACTGATACGGCACGAGCCAGGTTACATTTTGATCCATCACTTCTGCTTGGTAGTATACACCCTTGATAGACAAGAAAACATTTCGCAGTGACCGTGTGTGCATGACATATAGTTGCCACTCTGCGGTCAAACGGGCACAGTTTTCGATAAGAGCAGGCGAAACCCGAGAATTTGAAGGGAGAGATGCGAAGAGGAAGATCATGCAAAGTGCATCATCGACGTCTCGTACTGCGTCGATAAATGATGGGTACCTAAACTTGATCAGCCCATTGGCCTTTCACGATGCCCTGTGTAACATACCTCTCTTTGATAATATGATCCAATCGGTATATAGGCTTATTCTCCTCCAAATTCTTCGCAGTTGACCACTCTCCCCGTCCAAGTGCTCGAGATATTTTTTTCGCGAAGGCTTTGTGCTCCCTTAGTTTATTGAGGACTGGCTCATGGGCAAGGTAAGCGATATCTTTCGCATAGTAGAACGACGTTGGTGCTGTTGATCCCTTGTTGGCTCGTTTCTTATGTCTGGGCTCACGAGGGAAGATTCCTATACAACTCTCAGTGGAGTTGAGTCTGCGAAACAACTATAACGCACCTTTCAGGATACATAGCCGACGGAAGTCAGCCAGAGAGCACTGAAGTTTTTTCACGGCAGACGACCGTGTAACATAGGCCTTTGCTGCACCAGCCTTTCCTTTTTGTTTCAATCGACCCATGGCGGACGGGAAGGCTTGAGATATTTCTTGATGATAGTATCTACTTTCAGAGTATTTTCGATCGTTTGTTTGGCCTTCACAAACAAACGCTCCTTACAAGCAATCATGAGGTAGGTGCAGGGCTCATGGCATCTAGATGTTTGATTAATAACCCTGCAGTCAATACGTGCATGTACCAAAATCAGAACTCGATGAGGCTCAGCTGCGCCAGCTGGAGGAGCATGAAATCAGCCAGGGGCCCCTTTCAGTTCTGCAACAGGCAGTTCGCAACCATGCCCAAGTCCTCATTTCTTTGCGAAATAACAAAAAGCTTCTCGCTCGCGTAAAGGCCTTTGATCGCCACAGTAATATGGTGCGTTACAATTCTCATTATTTGCCTACCAGTCTCTGAAGTTGAGTCGCCGCAGGTGCTTGAAAATGTCAAAGAGGTCTGTTCTACTCCATTACTGGCGGAGATCGTACTGAACCACGATGCAGATGTGGACCGAAGTTCCCAAGGGTAAGAACAAGAAGCCAGTCAACAAGGATCGGTTTATCAGCAAAATGTTCTTGCGGTGAGTGATATACTCATGTGTATTATGCCAGTCGCTGATTGTAATCTCTCAGTGGAGATTCGGTAATTCTTAGTAAGTGGAGGCACCCTGAAATATTTTTCTCCTTGCTAACGCCCTTCAGTTCTGCGCAACCAAGCTTAGATCAACGCCGAACGTCTGCAAGGGCCAAGGCCATTCCGCGTCCATCTCGCCCCTTGTGCGGTTCTACTCCATGTATACTACGGAGCACGGCACCAATCCGAGTGTTGCACGTCCTTAAGCATTACATTGATGTAATTTGGGGCCACCGTTGATGTTTGTATGATTTGCTCCATTAAAAAATATACTTCCTGCAGTGCTTCTAGCGTATGCTCAGGGAAATCTAGCTGAAGCTTGTTACCCCGAGCATGTTTTTCTCGATCACAACCTCTGGGTCGATTAGAGGCTGGTCTACAACCCGTGAAAAATGCTTCCCGAATGCTCGCAACGAGAAGGGTTGTCTCCGTCATCAGCTCTAGACCACGATAATTCTAGGCCGACCAGTCGACTCTAACCCAATGCCGCACAAATTTACCAGAGCGTCGAGGTTCGCAATGCAGCCCCTTGATATTCCTTCTTAAGCGGGTCGCTTCTCTAGCGCAGCATATTTATGGTCGTTCAATGACACATCGAACTTGAGTTGCTCGAAAAGTGTGCCGTTATTGTCGGCTTCCATTGTCCTCTGCCGTTGAAACGACACGTCTGTCCGTGGTCATAACCGCCGGCCAGTCAGCGGCCCGGCTCTGAACAGATAACCAAAGCACGTTTACTTTCGCAGAACGCAGAGCTTCCAGACACCACCACTTCCGAAGTGGGCCTGCTGCATTGGTTAAGGCGTACAAAAATACCTCGGGTGCCAATTGAGGGCACCAGGAAGTAGCCAGGATCAGAATGTCATTGTTCGCTTTGATCAACTAATGGTAAGATAAGCCATGGGTTAGCAATGAAGTTATGTGCCCTACCTTACCTGCGCTGTGACAGTAACACCGAAAGGCACTGAATGACAACAGAGTACGTCCATCGCTAGGTAATGCATCAGATGTGAATCACATCACAGCCTCGGTAGAACGTCCTCATAGCACTCATTTGGTCTATCTTTTTCTCAAGCATTGGCTTACTCTCGGCTGGGGCATATATCGTATGAGTTCTTTGCACTCTCGAACAACCCTCACGCGCTCCATCCAGATGCGATTAAGTTAGGCCCAGGCCCCAGCAGATATCGAGTCGAAGGGAACTGCCTCAAACGATTGACGCGGGTGGATCTCTCGGCCAGTAAGTCTGGGGTTGATGCTGGACCTGCCGTTTAGTCCTATAAAGCGTACCTGCAGGCCTGAAAGGCGCGCCTGTTCGCTACTTGCGTGTCTGAAATTTTGTTGAAATTACATCTATCTCCAGATAGCCTGAGTGGCTGATATCATTTCGACGCTGTCAGATCCGTTCCAGATAGCCGTGATCCTCGCAAGGGGTAACCGCAAGCTGTTCAAGCATCTGACCAGCACCTTCGACTGTTTCGATGCACGGTGAAAGAAGTACGGCAGAACATCAGACCATTGAGGACTTATTGCGATCTAGAGAATATTTGGCAATTATGCAGGTATTTCGAGCCTTCCTGGTGGATATCTCTCTTTGTTCCTGGTCAAAAGGTCAGATGAGATCCCAGCCTTAAGGATGATCATCCTATCCAGGGGAGAACTCTGCATATATATTACCATAGCACTCCCGACCCATTCAGATCGCAAGAAATTGCATCACGTTGCTCCTCCTTATTGCACATAGCTGAGAAACGTCCTAATTTGACCTCTCGAGCTCGGGGATGTAATGAAGGACCACCCTCTTCGCCTCGTTCCTGCTTTTGGAAGTTCAAGGCTTGGTGACTGGCACCCTGGGGAGTGATCATCACTGTGAAGAAAGTATTCTGCTGTAGGCGCATTTGAGAGCACCCATACCACTATAGCTATGCCTGGTTCGTCAACTGCAAAACATGATGAACACCAGATTTCAATTTGAGTCCCGGTCATGACGGAGCGAAGGTGGGACTCTGAATCGCGAGCTTGAAGGACTTTTAGCAACAGTATCATAGTATAACCTGAGTAGGCGAACAGGGCTATCATTTATACTTATCTTCATTGATTCTTGAGTTGAGATTAATCAGGGTTGCATGATATGTGAAACAGGGCCTTACCACAAACCGAACGCAGAAAGGTGGGTTCAACTATCGAAGTTATTTTTGCGTAGTGGGGTCGACTGTTCATGTTGGCAGTATCGCGTGACTGGCTGATGCGCTTGCCCCTTGTCAAGATATGAACGAGGGTTTATAAACAATACACCTTCATTATCTGGTTCGCAACGGGGAAACGAGAACGTAGTCTCTTGACACCATTCCTAATGGATGGGAGGAGCGCGGACAGTCGTATCCTGACTGGGATCGCCATCATGTATGCATATCCCTGCTGCTTGCAACGAAGTGCGAACCTCCGCGTCTCTGAGCACTCTAGGAGCCTTGCCATCGCAGCAACGCTCTCGTGATGATGTCGCCTACAGGGCCTGTGATGTTGGAAGTATTTGACGAATTTCTCGACGAGCCATAGCAATTTTTTCCTCTATAACAGCCTAACCTATGATGAGTGCCAGAGGCATGAATCAAGAAGAACAAAATCAACTCACCACGTCCGTCAGCCATCTGTTGCGCTCAATTTCGCTGCGAAACCAGGTGATGGTCTCCGACCTTGCCTGTGGGTCAGGAATGTCTGATGTGATTATTGAGCTGAAGTGGGGCTTTTCAGAAAACACGATAGCGCACATTTGGACGCTCTTATAGCATGACGATATAGGTGTATAACTCTCTGCTGCAAAATGAAATACTTGAGACCAAAATCTGGCATGTGCGCTCTTGAATGCTACAAACAAGAAATTGTGGCTAGAATTAGAGTTGCACTGTTTTGCTTTCCGCTCTTCAAGTCCGCGCTGCTGGCATTGCTATTGGGGCGACGTTTTGCTCTCTCACAAGTCTCTTCAACACCCCATTCACACCACAATGTCTGGTGTAGAGAACCAGGTCGCTGTCCATGATGTTGTCTTGCCAGAGAATGGTGCTGTTGACAACTTATCTGACGCTGTGGCCAAAGTTTCTCTCCGACCAGACAATCCATCTTCTCAATCACCAGAACCCGTTGCTGACAGTCTCACTAAAGACAAAAGTGATATCCATAGTCGACCCTTTGTTATGTATTCCCGCCCTCATCTACTGCTTCTCCATAAATCTCCCTTGGTCTGTACTCCGACAGGCATGCCAGCTTTGAAGGATTGGTTCGGGTTCGTTTCGTCTCTTACTCCTCGAGCTTGTGACTTATTCTACCTTTGAAGAACCGAGAGTGACCAAGGCAATCTTAAAAAGGACTCGGAAGCACTCCCTCAGCCCAACGCTCGTGACCGACGGTGAGGTCTGCCAATACCACCATTTAGACCTTACCTAATATCGTTTCCAGCTTTCGCAGAGATGCGGAGGACGGGGGTAGGCATTGTGATTACCTTCTCTTGCGACCGGGTCTGATCAGTGTCATTAGAAGGTGCTGCCCGACCTTCTTTTCGTGGGGCCGCCATCACGCAGCCCTCGCAAATGGGCAACTTCAAGCACCAGTCCATTCGTGCAACTGACCGAGACAGAGATAGAGATACAGACAGAGAACAAGAACGTGATTCCCGGGTCAAAGACGGCCAAGAAAGGTTACGGAATGTAAGTGGGAAAGCTTGTCGCACACCAGGGTGCTCATATGTTGTTCAAGTTGTCGGACAAGTATGACCGCGACCGTCGGGCTCTTTCTTCCATGCAACAACTTCGAGGAAAGGACAGGGACTTGGCCCCTCACCTTGGTGGTACATCCTCTCGAATAGCGTCCCAGTCGCAGCAAGCCCTTAGTAATCGCCAGCTGGATTCCCGAGAACCTTCTAAAAAGAAAGATGGCGAGACAAGCGAAGATTGGAGACGCGGTACGTTTACTACCCCACATATAGCTAGGTCACTAAGTCGCGGAATAGAATCAACTCGCACAGGCCGTGAACGTAGGACACTGAATTTTCTGTCCCCATATAATAGTTGTTAATAGTTCCTTAGGTTCCGATAATCCTCGGCGCGATCGAGATGAGCGTGACCGACCTCGCTCAAGGGTCCGTGATTCTTCCCGCCCACGACGAGACGTTTCATCGTCGAGACGTGATCGTGATCGGGACGACAGGGATCGTGATCGCAGAGGCGACCGCGATGACCATCAAAAAGAGGCAGCGGGATATCGAAGGGACAGGGACGATCGCGACCTTGATCGAGACTCTGAGGTGGACGATCCTCGTCGCTGGAGGGACGACGGAAAGCGTGATGAGCGTATGACAGCGAGACGGGAACGAGACAAGGACCGGGTACGCGACCGCCCTGCCGCGTGGGATGCTAGCGATCGTCAGGATCGTCGATGGACCCCCGCCGATGACCGTGATGGTCGAAACAAGCGAGCAGCTGGCCGCGAGAGAAAACCCGACGAGGCGAAGGACAGGGACGATCGCAAGGATCGTGAGAAAGAAAGAGAGAAGGAGCCTGCATGGATGGACACATACATCCCTTCTGCTGGCAGCAACGGTTTAGGCCGTGCCCACGGAGACCTCGATGGCATACAGGCGTTCAAGCGAGAGATCAAGGAGAGAGAGCAGAAGGAGCAAGGTAGTGCTGCGCAAGACGCTGATCGTTCTGGTGACTTTGAAGGGAAGGCGAATACGTCCGAAACCCACTTGGACGAAATTCAGATCTTCAAGCTGATGATGAAAATGGAAGAACAAAAAAAGAAAGCTGACCAGTCTCCCCTTGTGGGTTCATCGTCTCTCGCAGACACGTCTTCAGAGAACAAGGACGCAACTCCTACAAACGGTAAGTCCAGTCTTTCTCTCAGGCAGGCTCGATGTGCTTATACACGGGTAGAGCTGTCATCGGTTGAAGCAACTGCAGAACTTCGCACTCATCTCGCACCTCAGCCAATTTCCTCGCAATCGTCTGCTTCTCCACCTCCACCACAAGCTGACCCAGCTCTTCACGATGGGTCTCGTGTACTCTTGTCTATGTTATCGTCCCCATCATCCTCCATTGGACCGGGAGTTGCAGCTGGTGCCCGCGAGTCTGACATCAACAAAGGAAAGCCAGGAGGTTCTCGCTTCTTCCCTAAGCCTGTTACTACTGATTTACCGGCACCTCAAGCATTGACAAAACCCTCTATCGAAGCTCTCAGCGCCGCTGTCCCATCAACTCCCAACACTGTTCCTCCGCCAGGTTGTCGTCTTCTTACTTTGGCCTCCAAAACTCCTCAGGGTTCTGTAGGTGTCGCCCCTCCCTCGTACGCAGGTTCGCATTCCCCCGTGTCTCTGTCGAAGAATGGCACGCCGGCAACTAACTCATCTATCCCCTCAAATGGACATTTGTCAACTACACATCATAACGACAACTTGGATGCTGTGAGAGCGGCTCAGGGCTTCTCGCCGTTTGAGGAAGCTCGGGAAGGACTAGGATTGTCGCCTTTGGATGCGTTCCGTCGAGCTTCTGTTGCACCCCATGGAGATCGCAATGCCTTTGGGCATATGAACCTCGAACAGGTTGACGTACCCAGTAGTGGGCCTTTGCCGAGCCACTCTGTTCCATACGAGCAATTGAACTCTGGAATCGCAGCCGCCAAAGGCAGCCGGTTTGCGAAGTTCTTTGACGGGAAAGGGAGAGATTCTCAACCAGGAATGGGCAAGGCTCCGGTGGGCGGCCCAGCGTCAGCTCATAGAGGCGAGCTCAGTGGATACAATGGAATGCCCACAAGTAATCCGGATGCCAGAGCTATGGAAGATATATTTGCCATGTTGAGCAACTCAGCACATGTGGGTCGTGTCATCATCTACATGTTATCAGCGCTGATATCAGTTTCAGGGTCAGAGGCCTCATATACTACCAGAAGTGTTGGCTTCAGATGCTTCCCATTTTAATCCTCCCTCCAACCTTCACCACCTTCAGAACCAGCTTGGCCACTCCCAGCACTATCCTGGTCACGGCCGCATGGACTCGTTATACGATAGTCGCCTTGACGACAGGAATTTTGTCCCAGATGGCATGGTCCCCGGCTTACGCTCAGCTGCCCCTCCTCGGAGCAGGCAAAACAGCGCCATGCTCTCTGACATCGATGATTCCATGCAGTTTGGGGGTCAACGCGGTCCTGCTCAAATGTACCAAGGATTACATCAAGCGAACATGAACCGCAATGGGGGCATGCCTCTTCAATCATCCCAATTCCGTGGCGGTCCTTCACCGAATCCTTTGCAGCCTTCAGCTCAACGCCTGCCGCCTGGTTTGGCTAATTTAGGTGGGCGACCACCGCATGAGCCTGCTCAATTCTTGAACTCGGCAATGGCTATCCCTGGTGGGCTACACGGTCCGGTGCATGGTAATGCCGCGCTTCAACAGCAGTTTAACAACTTCCCTCCGGGGGGTATCGGCTTCAACGGCGCTCCTCAAATGCGTGTGCCTCACCCCGGAGGAACGCATCAGCTGCACGGACACAATACCATGCAAGGCCTGATGCACCCTGGAGGTCTTAACCCTGCGCAAGCCCAGCTTCTGGGGATGAACGGTGCTAACGGTATGCCAGGTAGTCTCCGTGGTCCTAACGGAGGTTTCGGGCAACAGGGCCCTCAAATCCAGCCGCCTCTTCTCTCCATGAGGCAGCAGCAACAGCAGCAGCAAATCCCTCCGCACATGCTTCCTCTCCACTATCAACAGCAGGGCCCACCTGGTCCAAACAATCAACCCGCCCACGATCTCATGGCGCTCTTGATGAGCGGAGGAAGAAGGGAATGAGAGTTTTCACGGACTGCTTACGGTCTCTTATCCTCGCCCAATATTCATTCACTGTCGGACTCACCTAATAATTTTCTCTCGTTAGTTTTAACAGTTGTGCTCATACCGCCCGTCTATCATGTTTCATTCTGGTTCTCTGCAAGCGTATATTATTGACCATTTTGGGGTATGGCTACCTACCTTGAAGACTTCTCCGATGGATGGCTGTTCAACGTTCAAGACCCGCGTCTGGGACCTGGTGAATCATTGGAGTTAAGCCACGTCAACCGCTCAACGGACGATATGTGTATATTAATAACGGCTCATCGAGGCCTACCGCCTGAACAGCGAGACCTGAGGCCTGATCCTCTTGAACGTGAGTATTTGAACGCCACCATCATTACGATGGGCGGAGGACCTGGGACACAAATACTCATGGTTCTCGCGGCGTTCTAGATTTGGCTTGAGATGAATCGAAGGACTACCATGCTAACTGCATAAAGAAGGACCTACTTGTCTACGTAACTTATGGAGCTCTTGACGGTCGCGCCGCACTGGTTCTCTTCTGTAACTGCTGTGCAAGGAGTGCTTGGCGAAATGTGTTACGAGGATAATGATTCTTGCGAATGCGAATATCTAAGGATCAATCGCAGATTCCTTAACGGCGTGCACTTCAAACTTTAACATATCGAGCCTTCCATAATCCATGTCTGAAAATTCCGTCGTAACCACGAGATCAGTGACAGGCGGCGCTCACGAGTCGGAACGCCGTGGACATGAAACTGACTGCTGGCTTGGGATTAGATGTTGTGAAAAACACTCTATCCCCGCATTCTCGAATGATATCCAATATCTTGTCCAATAAATACGTAGAGAGTGTAATGGACTGCATCATGATGAGTTGTGGTGATAAGAGCTTGTTAAGTATATGCGCTCAGTGTCTTCTACTCGGTCCCCTTGCAATGATGTGGCATTCTCCTGATGGCCAGTTGGGCCGCTGAAGCCGTAACTTACTCTAGTTCAAATCGATAACAGAAAGGGTCATCCGATAGGGACGCAGGCTGCCGCCTTCGATAATCGATTGGAGCGATGGACCTATATGGACCGATGCCGCATCGTTTGACGCTCGATAAGAGGTGACTGATGGGAGGGTGCGCTGTGGGAGTTTGGGTGCTTGCTCGAAATACAAAACTCATACGTACGGTATCTATACAGTAAATTGGAAGGAAATTGTGGCAACTATCGCAGTCAACTCATGATCATGATCTTACAATTGGCAGAGTCTTTGGAAGGGCGGGCTCAAGGATGGAATCTTGTCTACCGCTAAGCCGCACAGAAGGAAGATATAGAACTTACATAACGCTACGCCTGCAGGCAGACAACGTGGACTTGACGCTGCCAAATCAGAATTTGAGCATGTCTGAACTGAACAATTGCTACCGGAAATAATAATACATATCGCTTGCCTTGACAAAGGGATAAGCGGTACACGCCTTCTCTGCATTGCACTCGACAATTACCTCCTTCCGCGATTGAAAATTTGCAGGACTTTACAGTGTTACACTAGTCCTCTATCTCTCAATCCCGTTCCCCCCCGGCGCAAGCCAGTTTACGAGTACAAAGCCCACCTCTGCTCTTGTACCCGTCACGCTCGATTAGCTTCGAGCGATTCTTTATAGTCGTTGCTCTGCCTTTACTCTACTACTAGAAACAAACAGCTCACTCAGTCTTTCATTTGCTTGCTCTTTCCCTCCCATTCTTTCAAAAGTTCCCCGACAGCATTATTTTTTGCCTGAATAATTTCCCATAATCCCTCCCCCCCACACCAATTTTCTCGCCGAAGAAATCACCCTCGTCGGTCACATCTCCCGAGGTCGCTTGTAAGCTATCTGCCTATCCGATACCATCGATTGTGACTGATATGAGATGTGAAATGCTTCGGTACAGGATAGCCAGCACACCGGTGTCGCTCAACATTGTTCACAAGTGCGTACCTAAATTATGGCCCTGACAGCGCAGAAACAAGCTAACGGTACTTGACAGCATCATTGAAGTCACATTCAAAACCAGTGCATTCGAGGTGAGGATTAGTTTATTGATTGATGTCATTCTTTTGGTCGCTGTAAAACGTGGGGTCGTGGGAATATGCGCCTGATGCGGCTTCCCCTTGGTCTCGACCGAGGCCGTTACAGGGCATCAGCGCTCATCTAGGGCCTTTGGGGCAGGGTTGAGGGACATTCTGACAGTGTAGTCAGATGCCAAGCAGACTACTAGGGATCTGTCTGATTTCCTTTCTTCTTGTTGACTGCGATGTTATATTTTTGTACGATTTTGGACCTTTCACAGAAGTTCACATATAGTGAACAATAGTTTTTTGTTCAAATTTCCTTTTTTGATTTCCCACAACTTGATGAGCCGATTGTGCCGTTTGCATCTTCTTATACTCTTTTCGAGTGTCCTCACTCTCTCTTGTTCAATCAACAAGTCTTCTTCACCAAGGAGACTTTTTTTTGTAGTCACTGTCGTCCACAATTCTCCCTTCTCTTCAGCTCCCTATCCTTTCTCTCTTTACGACCATCCACGCTGACCACGACTTGTTCATATCTAGTCTTCACCTACTCGCCACACGCCACTCTTCACCTCAATCCTCACTTCACGACAACCTTTAAAGTTGTTCGCTTTCGTATGATCAGTTTCTGATTCTGGTGAGTCTGTTCTTCTCAGATATCGCTTATTCCAAGTGCTGTCACGTCGTGAGATCAAGCATTCCAAATGCCGCCGCTCCATAGACGTAGGCATTCTGCAACGGAATGAATGCCTTTCTAATCCACGACGTTGAGCCGTCAAGTGGTTGTTGTCATTTCTCTTCCTTCGTCTTGTGCGCGCTTGAGGCGCTCGCGCATTTAATCATGTCTTCTCCCGCCTCGTTTGATGAAATGATTGCTGATGCAGAGTCTACCCCCCTCTTTGCTCAATTACCACCCTCTAGCCCACTATCGGTCTTACGCTTTCCTAGATCGATCTCACCCGCCGCTTCTTCAGTTATGAAAGACATCTCCACGACTTCTTACCGGAGTTCTCGAAATGCCGCGTATCCTAAGAAACGGCCATCACCTTCAGGTATATCGAAACATCACAAGACGCCCCCTCTCGGCCCCCCTCCTGTAACTCGCCGAACTCCTTATTCTGCCAAGGCAGCACTATTGCAACAGCGACAACGTCAAGCCCAAATCGCCGCTCTTCGCAGGCAAGGCATTTTCCTGGAGGAGGAGTACCGCGAAGATATCCGCTTCTACATGCATGAGATGGAGGTTTGTGTGATATTTATTTTTGGCTTATTGACAGAGTCTAATTCTTCTGGTATAGCGGTATACCATGTCGTCCTCACAGTCGATGGATCAGCAACCCGAGATCCGATGGCACATGCGCCCATGTCTCGTCGATTTTCTTGTTGAGATTCACTTCACCTTCCGACTTCGACCTGAGACGTTATATCTCACTCTCAATATCGTGGACCGCTACGTCTCTCGACGAATAGTCTACATCAAGCACTATCAGCTCGTAGGCTGCGCGGCGCTGTGGATTGCTGCCAAGTTCGAGGATGCGAAGGAACGCGTCCCGACGGTTCAAGAGCTTGCACAGATCTGTCGCGACACATATGACGAGTCTGCTTTCATTCAGATGGAAGGACATGTGCTCCAGACTATTCAGTGGACGCTAGGACATCCGACTGCAGAAGCATGGCTCAGATTGATGTGCTGTGAGCCATCTGTCGAGGAAGAAAGGGTGCAGCATGTTGCGCGTTTTCTGATGGAAATCACTCTGTTTCACCGAGAGTTCATCAAATATCCTCCCTCTTCGATAGCCCTTGGAGCACTCACGCTAGCTCTCTTCCTGTGCGGCAAACCACGTCGCATCTTTGAGGAAACGGAGGAATGTTTGGAAATCGTCGATTATCTCGATAATCGCTTGGCTAAGCATGTCAACGATCTTTCAGAGACGCTGGTAAAAAAGTACTCCTACGCCTTCTACTCCAAGGCGGCAACATTCGTTGTACAGTACTACCTCCAGGGTGGGCGGTTCGTCCGGCAGTCCTTCATTCCCCTTCCAATGACGCCTACTCGCCCATCAATCTCGGGTGCCAGCACGCCCACGAGTGTCACGACATCCGTCTCTGATCTATCTGATGATTTCCCTCTCACTCCAACGAGTCCCTCATCCTTCTCCCCCGACGCCTTTTCGTCTTCTTTCCTCCCAGAAGACGACAAGGAGAATTTACCAACAACATTTGAGCCCATCATCAATAAGCAGCGTACAGAGGCCCCACCTGACCATTTTCTGCCACATGACTTCGTTGTCTTTGGCCGTCCGGCCTTGCACCACTTGAACGGCTCACCACGAATGACCGCCGTCTCATAACGCGCAGGTCCATACATCTATTCAGGTCAACTCCAATCCGTGTCGAAAGTCTGTTACAACCTCCCGCAAAATGTAATACCATCCTACACGCTCAGCCACTCTGCCCATTGTCTTTGCAAGTCTCATCATCCATGCATCACTTTCTTTTTCTGCAATTGTCTCGTTTCCCATCATCCATCCTGCGCACAATCTACTGTAGGGTGAGCGGTCGCCTTGAGAAGTCGGATTCGCACCAGCGTGCCGCATACTCGATGCAGGGACGGACGGGCGACGTAATTGACCTGTACCCCTCTCCTTTCCGCTGTCATCCTTCTCAAGGAAGGTCCGCCTTGCCAAATCTGGTCGTCCTGCCCAACCACAACATTATCTGCATTCATTCCACTTGTTAGTCTATGCATCACCCACCCATCGTTACCCCCTCGACTCCCGTCTTCTTGCAACGAACCAGGTCGACAACCGCTGTCCCATTCTGTGTCTATCGCATTCGTTCTATATTATTCTTCACTTTATCGTATTCTTTAACTTCCCTGTCGACTATCTGGTTCGTTGTGGGGTGATTTCTTGCATTCTCTGTCCCGTGCCCTCATCGTGCGAACCGCTTCTTTGTGCTTTTACTCTACCCTTCCCTCGCACACAGTCCGCGCATACATCCTCGTCATTGTTGCAGCAATCTCTCTACCACATCGAACTTTGTCTACAAATACATTTGCAATCTGAAGGGTTCAACGGGTGTTTCCATTATTTTGGTAGCGTGCTCATTCTTAGCGAGAATGTTCGGTGCCGGATTCTCTCCGGTGGGACGTCCATCAGAACAGGGGCGGCCTATATATCTCCTGCACAGCAAAATGAGCATGACAAATGTCCGGGATGGGGACTAGGAGCTGATAAGTATTTTGAGTAGGTCACCAGAGTACGGGTTGTCAGTTGATGGATTGATGCGACGACCAGTGATGGATCGGCCTCCCACACTTTTGTCATGTTCTCAAGAGGTTCTTCGAAATTTCCCTGTTGCAAATCGATCCACTGGCTTCCAGAACTGGGTGCCTGTTCTCCATGCGAAGAGAACTTGAATAAAATAGATATCATTATGGCAAATGAACATTTATTAACATGAGTGGACACAGGGCGCGGGAAGGAATGAAATTTGACATATCTCGAATTCAAGTTTGCACATGCTCAATATTGCTCATTATTCCTCCGCGGGCTGTGGCACGGAACTCGGGCTTCATATTCATACAATACGCTGATTTTTTTGAGGACAACAACCTCGGTACACAAGAAAATTATTGTTGCATGGAAGATCGTCAAGGCAAACCTCTCTCATTCTAGTATCCATTCGTCTCCGCTCTTCTTGATACCAACAGCTCTCTTCTCGTCCAGACTGATACGGCCAGCATTGAGAATAGCAGTCGTGAGCACGGTGTTAGCGATAGTCGGATAGCCGTGACCGTCATAATCGGAGGGTTTGGCAATACCGGCGTTGACTTCTCGGGCGGCATCGATGAACTTTTCGATAGAAATATATCCGTAGCCTCGTTGCCCATCAAAGTGACCGCTCTCCGACGGTGAATACTTCATACTAGCGATGAATGGTTAAATCAGAATATCTTCTGAGGCAAAGGAACGCACTAGAAGGGATTGTACCATGTCTTCCCAGTTTCGTCAACGGTAATATCATACCCACGGTGAGCTTGGTCAACGTTTATGTCACCCTGCAAAACATCACCAGTGGATTCCAGTGGATTTACGTTGGTACAAAAAAGACAGTCGCGAGACCGACCCACCTTAGAACCCATATAATACCAGTGCTGGGCAGAGTGAATACCCGCCTTCAAAGGTGCAGTCCAAGATGCCGTGTAAACTGCCGTGCCCTTGTGTGCCGAGCTCGTAATCGACTGCCAGTCAACGAGGAGCGTGATGGTGTCTTCTGTTTGAGGGACACAGTTGTATGGCTCCCCCGTTGCAATGCCGGTCGCTGCACTGGCAACTACTCGAGTGGGTATTGCTTTGTCTTGGAGAATCCAGCAGCAAATGTCAATATGATGTGACGAGAGATAATAGCTGGAAAAGCTGTCAGCCAACAGATTCATCTATAAACTGAGGAGCTCACCTGATGTCTGAATCCTTGCCAGCCCAAGCGCGGAAGGTTTCTAGCTGACTCTTCGGCTGGCTCATCCATGCGTTGAAGAAGTTGAATTCGCCAAGTGCCTGTGCTCTGGCTTTGGCATCACTATACACTGGATCAAAGCGCTTATGATGCTCCACAAAGCAGACAACGTTGTGCTTTCTTGCAGCTGCAACAAGTGCGTTGTGATGTGATAGCAATTTGGTTGCGGGTTTAGTGATGAGAACATGGATGCCACGTTCAATCGCATACAAGCTAATGGGGTAGTGAGTGCCTATGAGTGGTTTCGTTAGTGAGGATCGAGATGTTAGACACGGGAAAGATCGTAGCTTACTGTCAGGGGTAAACACGATGACAGCATCTCCGGGAGACATTTTGTCGATGGCCTCCTTGTCTAGGAGGGTAAGACATCCGTGCAGTGCATTTCTAACCAACTCACAAGCCTCAGGATCAACATTTGCCTCTTTTGGGTACTCATCAAAGCTGATCGGCGATCGCTGGTTGGTCAAGAAACGAGCAGCATCAATGCGATCACGCACGAGGTATCCATTTCCTTGTAAACATTCTCGATGTTCTCTCGCAAGTGTTGGCGTATAGCGGGGAATTTTCCACCATTAACGCCGACCATTGCGAGTTTACCGATCTAGCGTTAAGTCGTAAACACGGAGGACAATCGCTCCACTGTCGATTTTACGCACTTTGCCTAACCTTCGAAGATCGAACATCGTAAGGCCAACGACCTTATGTCATGATCTCAGTCATTGACTAAACGACTAGATCGGGGATGCGCATACCCCAATCTACGAAAGAAAGGCCTTAGTGGCCAGCGAAAATGGAGAAGATAAAAGAGTGGCACCTTCTTGTCGGATGTAGAGGCTCCAGAACCAGTCCATCCAGTGGTGTACTCTCCCTAGGGATCACGTCAGAAACTTGGTGGGGCTTGAATTGCCGGCTAATTGAACACTCACAGTACCACCTGTTGCGATCATATTGCCTAGTTAGATTTGTGCCAGGAGATATTGATCAACTTACACATTAAAACGTTCAGTTTACTGAGGTTCGACATGCTAGCGATGTTAAGGACCAACGGTTGAGATATCAGATGAAAGAAAGGTTTCAACGGCAGTGGTCAGTTATCTTAAAACTCGGTAACGCTCAGCGGCCCGAACGCGCGCACCGGACCGAACATAAGTTGCATCGCGCAAGCCTATCGGGACGACCATATCGAAGAGGGAACTTCTAAGGTGCAACTGTGATGTCACGCGGACCGTTTGTGCACACACCCAAGTGTAGTCCTCATATACAATCATAATGTGCTCGGAGAAGGTGTCCTTTACCCTCCGCAAAAAAGGGGAGGCGGATACGAGTCAGATGATCCAAATTGGCTTTTTGATTGCAAGCCTAGGTTCGCGGTTTTGATCGCGGAGATGTGACTGGAGGCAAATTTAGTCACCACACAAGAATCAGGCTGGACACGCGGAACAAATTGCAACTCGAACAGGATACGAGGCTCGTTGCCGCATGGCCGTTAAGTTTATAAAGCCATCTACCCCAGTCGAAAGCAGCTCGTGTGACGAACAGGCATACGTTCGCTGCCTAGAATTTGGAGTTTGGAGCTTTGAAGCTTGAATGAGATGGAAGCTGACCCGGTTCTGCCCAGTCAGCCAAATGGAAGGGCGCGGGATCTCCCGAGAAGAGTCCGCAGGCTTGCAACGCCGAGTCAAGCTCTCACAAGTGCCTCGTTGAAGGTGTGCAAGACACCTGACCATGGAACACAAGAGCCGCTCCCGCAATATCCCTTGCATGTCTGGCGAGGGTCTCGGTTGATCGAGCGCCCCGGGCCCATCGGCCATGGTGGAAAGTGCGAAGGTGGCCCATTCATTCAATACTAGTGCTACTATGTAGTTCGCTTCAACCTGCCAAACTTGTCCCTCTGACTAGCCAATGACTAGCTAGGGCGCTGATGTTCTGATCGAAATATCTTTAGTGAAGTCGCTGCAAATAGAATAAGCACGTCGTACCTTCTTCGCCATCACCTCCACCAAGAGCACAGGTATTGGTCGTTGTCCACGAGGATTTGGAAATATAAATATTCAGCGCTGCAGCCTGCATGCTCGTCCATTGCATCCCATTCGAAAAGTCTTGTACCGAGTTGGAAAAGTCAAAGAACTACGCGACTAGCACGTGTTTTATTAAGTTGTGACGTCACAGGCCTTAAGCCAACCTCGTGGCTACTACTTAACTTGCGTCTCCAATTTACTGGCTGCACACACGAAGCGCATAAGAACCTGCTGCGCAAGCGTCGTCTGTGCGGCCAACCTCGCCGTGTGTGCCTCGCTTTAATCTGCTTGGAACGGTTAGCGCACTCTGGTCACTACCAAGTAAGTTTAATCGATCTGGGCTTGATTTCCCTCCTTCGCTAACCACTTTCTGCCAGCCGTTTTCCGCCTGGAGTCCATCCCGACTCTCCGTGCCTCTTTTTCTCTGGCAATATCCGTGTCAATTTGTTGTCTCCGCTGGACGCAATTCGTCCCGGCCAACCATCACAAACATGCAGCCAGGCTCTGTCACAGACTCTGGCTTTATTCCAAGGAGAGAGTTTATTCGTGACCAACGAGCCACGAACATCTTTGGCCTTCTTGCTATCTCTGGCTCAAGCTGCATCAGGCTCTATTCTTTCCCTCCCGATGTCATTGCAGCTCTACGTCGACTCCTTGATCACTTTTACCTCACAGGTGGATTTCGCGAAGATACACAGCAGAACCTCTGCGAATTCACCATAACTCAAAAGCCCTGGAATGCACCAAAGAGTCCTCGTACAGAACGAATTCTCCTCGACATATTCGCTGTCATATACAGGTTTGGATATACTATACTTTCTACCGTTGACTATGGTCGGGAGCGCGACGATCGTCTAGCTATCTCGTTTTCAAGGCTCCTTGTACCTTCTTCACCTGCTCCACCTTTTGCTCCAGCTCCCGCTGGCTCAGGGAGTAACCTTTCGCATCAGACGGGGGCACAAATTGAGAGAAGAATGCCCTTTGCCATCTCGTTTGTCTCGCAGACCATCATGCGAGTCATTAATCCACCACTAAACGCAACTCCAGCAATTCTCCAAGCCGTGCGAGGATCTTGGCCCCGGGGCGTATTGTCGGAGAAGAAAACGGACAATGCGTATGAATTTAAGTTGAAGGGATATAGCTGTGAGTGCCCTTAAGTAAAATTTATGTGCGTTTTAAACACTTGATGCAGGGTTCAACGAAGACACATTTGCGACAGACTCTCTGCGACACATTCTTTCACTTCTCTCTTCCCTCGATACTCATGCATGCTCCCTTGTCATCTCGCTGGCACTCAATGGCCGTTCCAGAGTCAAGGACCTATGGGTCTTTACTGGCCCTGGCACTACTGAGACTGATCCTTATTGGCCCGAATCTCCTATAAGCCAATCCGGCTCGATGCTGGATGTAAGAAGATCTCATCGGGTGTCGACGCCCGAACCACCAGAAGCGGGTATGATACCCAGCTCTTTGCATAGAAGAGCTGCCACTGGCCCTCAGCACCTACCACCTTATAGCTTGCCGCCCTCTCAGTTGTCGCCTCACCACGTGCGTTCGGCAACAGAATCTATCGTATTACCTCCCCTTGCGACGAATTTGCCACCTCGTGCAGTGCCTGGCAATCAAATGCGCAAGCCTGCACCCCGCGCACAAGTACCAGTGTCCGTTGACTTCGACGCCCAGGATGATGATGAACATGGACGGTTTCGCACTTCTCTCGCTAGCGCTGTGCCAAGTAGTTGTGAGAACATGACTGGTATAGGTTCGATGGCGCGTAATAGATTCACTTCCAATCACATCTACACAGCAACCCCTGGTCCACTTCCTGAATCGGATCATCCCAATGAAGACGATGTGCACTCGTCGCCACCTCCTGAACGACATCATCGTAGACCGAGGTCGAGATCTCCGTCTCCCCAACGCCGGGTAAGCGCTCTGCGACCGGTGTCGACTCGTTCGAAGACCCCTCCGCTCCTCCGATCGCATTCCCCGCCCAGGGACCCTCGCGCCCCCTCACTGCCGCCTGCTAGCCATGATATCTCGATGAACGAGAGCCCACCTCTCCTCAGCCCAGGGATGTTTCGTATGAGAGACTCAGCATACTCTGTGAATACTGTTGACACGGCGGACACATCTTCTGGGGTCCCATTCAAATGGCCAGGACTTGGCCGGCCAGATGGCATTGAAAACATTGAGGAGGTGTACGAGGAGCCAAGTGAGGAACCAACCCCGCGCCTTCCTGTTCTGCCTGGCGCATGGGCATTGTCGCCTGATGAGGAGCGCCCAATGGTGTTGCCTCGTATGACCGAGGCATCTATGCCCGATGAGCGCGGTCTTCACCTGGAACGCAGAAGAAGTCCAGACAAATCATTGCATGATATCGATGCGAGGATTGCCTTGCCGGAGCTGGTTAGTGATCAGGCTGTGCGCAAGAGTGAAGCGGGACTCATTGGGATGATATCTCCCCCGAGGCAACCTCCTCCACCGATTCATCCTCCATCGAGAGATAGCCTTTATAAAAGGAAGGCATCAAGTTCAACTGATCCACCTGCATCACCTACAAAGCCTGGCAGCCGCAGTGGGAGTGGGAATGGTTGGGTGCTTGTGAACGTTGAGGGCAAGGAACACATGACAGCCTCCATGTCAACACCAGTTGGTAGCCCCACGTCCCCGACACACGTCGAACGTGGAGGAAAGCGCACTACAAGTGCTGCCGCAGAAAGGGCTTCGATGTCTGCTGCAGCGAAGGCGATTGCCGTCATTGACGCGCAAGACACAAAAGCCAAGGAGAAGCGCCAGTCCACTTCTGGTCTACGACGCTTGCTATCTATTTCGCGGCCTGGTGCCAAGGGCGCTGACGAAGTGAAATCTGATCCCCGTCTCGCTGCTGTACGCTCAAAGGAGTTGGCATCCAGCGAGAAAGAAAGTTCCAAACTCACATCCCCTCGCCAAAGGCGATTTCGCAACAAGTTCACTCGCTTAGGAGCTTCAGAGCCTGCCGCTCGGCCTCCAGATCGAGTGCGGGTTAATCTTGACTAAATTTTTCATTCTTTCCATGCTCGATTCCCTATCCATTATATCATCGACAATATGCTTAATCGCCTCTTTACCACTCAGCATATGACATCTACAACCCACATTTACTGACTTCTTTGTGTTTTTCGTTTGTCGCTCATGTAGTACTTATCCTTTACCTGTCTACAGGTCCCTTACGACAGACTACTCGTAATTTTACGGATACAGCATATCGTGTTTCAAACCGGAGTCAACTTACTCCTCACATCCAACTTTCAACTTACTCCACCGGCAACCACCGTGGTCCATGGCTGGAATCATTTCTCTCTCCGAAAGAAGCGCACGTTTCAACATTCGACGATCTTCTTCAGCTGCGTGTAAATTCTTCTCGTGCGCCGTTAATTCTAAATGTGACCTGCTCCCGAAATTTCTGTGTATTTTCGATAGCTGAAATCACAATTTAAAGCTGCAACGGATGCCGTTTCCCACAGGAAGATAGTGACTTCCATTGCACGTCTGTCGTCTGATGTCTTTCACGGTCGAGTGCCTCTCTAAATTGGTCAACGGTTACGCTCGTGTGCTGTGCGGGTACGGTTAGTATCGACCCGTACACCCCGCGGTATTGCGATTGTCCGCGGGTGCAACTATACGACGTAGGTCTAATGACTATCACTCGGAATGATCATCCGATAGATCTGCTCACGGATATTATGGTCCGTCCATTGTTTGCAAGTGGAACAATCATGATACGCTCAGTGATATATGGGTCGCACCTTGGAATCGTCATGTATTGGTATGTCTTTATAAGTATGATCGGATACTGCGCAAGTCCGCATGTTGCGTATCTGATGGATCGTGTCGTTCAACTGTTACAGGCTCTACATTTCACCTTGGACGCGGAGAAGAAGATCTTTGCGGAGGTCGACGAAACCTTCACGTTAGAGCCTGATGATAGCGATAACACATGTTGCATGGGGAGACGATCATCAATGTTCCCAACCATTGGTCATCATCAGCCAGCTGCTGATTGGCATGTTGTTTGGACTCTGGTGCGGTACTATCGGCATAGTCGATCTTTCTGCGACACTAGTAGCTCGCATGATGA